TAACAAAACAATTTGATATTGCCAATGTTTGGAACCTAATAGTGAATGTTTCTCTGAAACCTGTGAGTTGATGTGTAATACTAAGAAAGATAACTCCTATATATTCTGAAATATTTTATGGGGAATAAATCCTAGACTGAGTTTCCTCCCTTCACTCATTCAAACCAGATCAATCTATATGTAAACTAAAATGAATGTAAGATTTTACCATAAAGTTGTATTAGAGCAATATGAGCTGTATTTTTGAAAATTTTATTTTGCTGGTAAAATGTGTTATTATGGTTAATCTGTATGTAATCTAAACCCTTATGATCGATAAAACCAAATTAAAGTTTAAAAATGTTTCAGAAGAAATACTTCTGTACAAGTGAATATACAGAATTATATAAGAAATCATTATTTGTACAGGACAACAATAATTCAATTTTACTTCAATCAAAGCGTATAAAAAGTTCTTTTGTAGAAAATATGAACAGCAGAAGTTTATAAATGTTCTATTTTTCTGTCATTGAAATAGTTAATTACAAATTTGCAAAAAAAATTCTGATGTCAAACCAGCAGCTCATATTGCTTTCACATTAATGTCACATAATAGGAGGCCATTAGCAATCAAACAGTAATGCACATTTTTTTTGATAATGGATGCACAAGGATTAATGCTCAAGTTGACCAATATTTGTAATAGCAAATTCTCTTATAATGAAATTGATGCTGAGTCACACAGTCAAGTCAGGTTTTCTTTTCTCAAGACTAAGTAATGTAACTCAAAAAATATTATGAATTACATTATTATATAAAAAATGAAGCAGAATCATCCATCCTTTGAAAATTGTTATGAGTACAGTGTTTTAATATATGTAGATCTACATGACTGATTTCTTAAATTAATGAAAACAAGAGGGCAATTTTTGAAATAAAAAGCCAGTATAGCACCTGCAACAATCTGGATCTGTCTGTCAATGCATTTTTTTTTTACGAAGAAACATTGAAAATTCATGCTTTCATTTATTTATAAAGATGGTGTGACTTGACCTTGACAAAATACCATTCTGACATGTTCAAGGTCTCTGTTTTAAAACAGATATAAATTCTTGTCTTCTCTACAACTTCTTTTTGGAGAAATGTTGAAAGATAAAGGTACAAAATGTATGTTATGACTTGATCCAAGGTCATTTGATTAGTTCAAGGTCACTTTAAAAAAGTGTAATTTCTATTCTTGCCATATCTTACACTGGGGATTAGAGGCTTGATCATCACAAATGATGCACAAGATTTCCGTGGGCATTTATCTTATGTCGATTTCGATTTCAGCATAATTCTTGCATGGTGTAGTACCGAAAATTTAAACAATAAAATGCTTTCTTTGTTTGTTATTACTGGAAGTAATGGAAGCAGTTGTTGCAGAAAAAATACATAACCCGCGTAAGCAGGTTATGTAAATTTTTTCTGCATTAGCTGCGACCGTTAATTCCATTTATAACAAACACAGAAAGACATTTCATTGTTTATATTTATATCTGTTTAAATAATCATTTAAAGAAGGATGAAAAGGTTTAATTATTGTATTAATGATGCGAACGTCCTTACACGTTTCATTGATGGAACAGCCACTGATCAAGAAATCTGTACAGGCGACATGCCTTATGTAGTTGACTAGTTCATGCAGTGATTAACGCAATGGGTTTTCTTAAGAAATAAAGGAGAAAATATTCAGTGGATGTAAATATTGCAGAATTAGGGAATGAACTTTGGTAGTAATGTAGATTGTTTATTCATAGATTGTAATAAAAAGTAAATTTTAATAGATAATTTGATTCTTAGATTTTTTTATTGCCAAAAGTTGCAAGGAGTTCCATACCCATTTTATGAAAACCCCATTTTTTTCAAAAAGTCTGATGAAATGGGCCTTTATAGAGGCCTGCTGTGCACTAACCAGTCAATCAGTCTGAATGTTTTGTGGTTTATAGCTTTTGAACATACAGGTTTACTGATTTCAAAATTTTCAATTCCTATTTAGCTTGTTTTAATGTCTGACAATTAGGTTATTGTCATCAAAGCAGGTCAATTAAGGTCCCTCCTCTAACTACCTGCTGCTACTCCACACATTTTTCTACTCCCCACTACACAGCTGCCCTATTTGAAATCAATACTGTGCTTGCCTTAGTATTGATTTTTCCCTTTCTGCATCTCTAAATAGGTTTTTTTTTTTTGGCTGATGAATCTTTGGGAATTGATCAGCAATTCTTTTTTCCTGAAATTAACCAAAAAAAAAAGAGAGTTCTGTTTAGAAAGCAATGCCCGTTCATTTTTATTGGTTTAGGGAGTTGAATCATGTTGTCGTGTTGCTTTCCTCTGTCTGGTTGTATGGTCCATGCTATTGATTTGCGTTGCCCAATAGGTTATCTTTGATTGATGATTTATTCATGAAAACTGTTGCTGCAGCAGACATTCTCTCATTTTCAACCAATCAGAGAGCAGGGTGAAATGCGGCAAGTTTTCGCATTTCTCTGAACCATTTATGGTATGGAGTTTGGATATGGGTTGGCAAAATGAGTAGTGATGCTAAACCAAGAATGGTGAGTTTTACATGGAAGTGTTCGAAAGATATTGGAAGTTGATAAAGCTGTAAAATGTTTTGTCACTTGAAACATTTGAACTTTTATATATTATAAGAATATTGCCATATAAGGAGTTTATTTTAGAAAGGGGAGGGGGGGTTTAAAATATTATATTTTGGTTTATTCTGAGTGATTAAAAAAACTGAAGAAATTAAAGTTGGAATACACATACCCAAAAGATTTAGCGGTAGCTCATAAACATTATGAGGAAGGTTTAAATATTGTAGTTCAGTTCAACTAGTAATTAGTCATTAATTTTAAATAAATTATGCATTGCAAAAGAAATTTGTTGAATTTTGAAAAGATTATTGTTAATAGCTGTAAAGCTTACTTCTTTTTTTAAAAAGTTAAATCTTGATATCTTTCTATTGAAAATATTGAACTAATCTGCATTTCTAAGATAAATTTCTTTTTTGCTCTTGCTTTTGAAGTCTCTTATGTGTTTATATATTCTTGAAAGCTGTATAGTTTAGTATGAATTATTCTTGTAGAATTCTCACCTAATTCACAATTTTAAATGTCAATTAAAATTCCCTTATTTGTGTATGTCAGTCTTAGTATGACTCATTGAAAAATTCAAGGTGATTATAATATTTTGTTTTAAAAATATGAACATACAACAGACTATTAACCATATGTGTCTTAGCATCCTTGTAAAACATGGCGAAGCGAGAAAAGCATATAAAAAATCTCATTTCATTCAGTTTGATGATCGTAATAATAAGTGTATGAATTGTTAATGGAGGTGTCGTTGTCTCACTAGCGTAACACACGGGGAGTTTTATTGGGAATCTATTGATTTTTTATTTGTACCTCGTCTGAGAGCATCTTTTTTTTTTGTTTACCTTGAAGACGAGTCATCCAATGCTATACTCATCTTCCTTAATTAGCTAATTAATGTAACATTTGTAGTTCAAAGTGGAGCTTGTGTGTTTTGAAGTGTGTCAGTGCTTCGTGACCTAGCTTTGATCTTTGAGAAAATATAGAAAGTTGTATTGTATGGTGATGCAACTTTTGTCCAAGATCCTAGTAGATCAATGTCTATTGGTTAAAACACTTATAAAACTGTGATCTCAGTGTTAATGTAGCTATTTAAATTCATAACATTTCAAATGTGGTCTTTTGGTTTAATTAAGTCCCAAATGTCCTTCACTTCTCCCCTTGACAAGCAGGTGGACAGACAATTATCTACCAATACAGCCTCCTATAATATAGTGGTACATTCTCCACATAGAGGGGTTTTGCCAAAAGTCAGGGTACTTTGATAAGATCTGCATTCTGTGCACTGAGTAATAGGAATTGTCACTGATACTCACACAGCACATTTCTCAGAATGCCGCAGAAATTCTGCAGCTTGTGGCCACAAAGTGTGAACGTCTTATGTTGATGGAGAGGTGTCCAGATGAAATAGTATAAAGATGGTGAAACAATTTGGCAAGGTAAGACTGAAAAAAAGTCAAATGTATTGGTATTTTAGTCATATGTTAATGGAATCTAAATATTGAAACCATTCTGGAAGGTCATCAAAAATTGAGATGGAGATTTCTAAAGAAGGATTCTTATTTTCTCATGAACATGATGAAAGGACACATGATTGTTAGATTTATGAATGGATTTGACTTTTTCCTATAGAATAGAACCCTGTATTGTAAAATGGTCAAGAATCTAAAACCATTTGTACAAGGGTTTATTATAAAGAGTTGCAGTATTCCAATAATTTATGGACATATTGGTAATTGGTGGTTTCGGAAGCTGGCCTCTGGTTTGGTGATTTCCGCCTATGATCAGGTAATCAATGGCTCATTGCAAGCAAGTACAAGCCATGAATAGTAAATACATAGTCCAACAAAAAAATCAATGTGTGTGTGCTGAGACCTCACCATATACTGCTAGACTGCATTAGGAGAAGGATGACAAAGATTAAAAGGTGGTGAAGTGGGAGAGTTTGTAAACCAAATGGAAGTGGCTTCGGGAGATTCTGTTTCGAAGGCTCGGAAGGTAAGGAAAGAAATCGTAAACAGGTGCTGTTGATTAGAAAGGTAGGCAGATAAGTTGTTCAGAAACGTTCCTCTAATTTGGAGCAATCTTCGTCATTTTTTTCTTCAGTTGTAGCTGTTGTGATAATAATGAGGCTGTGTTACATTCCTGTCTCTGTGATGTTTACAATATATCTAGAGAAACAGCAGTGGCTTTTTAGCTTACCATTTGACAAGGGGGAGAGAAAAAAAAATGAAGGTTTTGTGTTTATCTATATTTTTTTTTATCCCCCTCCTAACTGTTTATTTATAGTTATTAAATCATCTGATTGTTGGTGTAGATTAAATTGAGTATGTAGAGGGGCCCTCCCTACAGTAAAATGAGTTCCAGACTCCCAGTTGTTTTAGAAGGCATGAACTGAGCCCACCCCCAAGAGCTGTAACTCGAGATGAATAGATAAGATTATGACATCATCTGTGTGAATGAGTATTTTTTGGAGGCAGAATGTTTTAGGGGTGTTTGATTTTTTTCAAGAGCAAAGTTTTTCTGTGCTGAGTTACCTAATTACCTTGGAAACCCATCTTTTCTCCAGATTTTGTTTTTGTTCTTGTTGCTCGTATACACACCAGCCATTTTGACCAGAGAGAAAGACAGTGAGGGGTGATGAACTCTCTCTGAGTATAATGCCTTAGTGCCGATATAACAAATTATTGCTGCATTATCCAGGAAAGAAAGGGAGGCTTCTGGTTTATATACAACACATTGATTGACTGATTAAGTGCTTGATTTCAAGGATATTTGCAAAGAACATCAAGGATATTCTCGATTATTCCTTAATTGCTTTATAAGAACTTTTGGGATTTATTGTGAGATATGCTGAAAAAGTGGAGACTGTCTTGGGTAAGTCGGTGCAGTTGCATCTGATTTTTATGAGTAAAAATAACCACAAAAAAATATTTACAAATTACTGCTTAATACAGTGAGCAGTTTTGTAACCTTGGAAATTTTCTGTTTTTTATTCTTTAGAGATTTGTTGCATGCTCTTACGTAATCTTGGTAAATTACTACAGGAAAATACATTTGATTTGCTGAAAGTTTTAAAATGCAGTGTTGGAGAAGAGTTGAATGTTTTTTATTTATTTGAAAGTTGCAGATTGTGAGTAGAGGATTATTTTTTGACAGTTGCTATCTTGGCCAGATGTTCTGAAATTGCAAAGTTAAAGAAATGGCTTATCTTATAAAAGAGGGTGCCTTGAAGTTTATTTTCCTAGCTTAATGGTGGTGTTATTTGAAGAAAAATGTTGACTGGGTGCACTAAGATTAAAAAAAGTTTCTCAGAAATGCCCCTGCTAAAACACAGTAAAATAAGAATAACAAGTACATTAATTTTGCAATGGATCTAAATTTCCATCATATGGCACAGACATCAAATAAAATAAATACTTATGTAAAGAGGGAAATGATAGAAAATCCCTGAAGTGTGATTGTCTTTTATCCTAAAGAAAATAATCCCATTCATACAGGAAATCAAACCTATCTGTACAATAAGGCTGTGATAACATATTTTTAATGAGATAGTTATCTGGCCATCTGACATAACCAGAAGCAGAAGACAGCGGCAGCCATTTGTCAGGACCCCCTGCCAGGTGATGAAGGATCAAGTTCTCAAGGTTACTCTAACACACTTCATTCATAAATAATGGTGTCATTTTATTATCATGTTAGGGTTTTATCAAGAAGACATTAAGATGTGTCTTGATAAGGGAATATGGTTTTAATAAGCACTGTGTACTTTTTAACCAGAATTTATCAATCATAGATATATTCTAAAAAAAAATTTGCAGATAATTTCTGATGAATTTTGTTGAGGTTTTTGTTGCACATGTACCGTACCTGTATTGATTTTTGAATTGGTTGCATATTTACAACTCTGATTATAATAAATTATCTTTTGTTGTTATGCATGACTCCATGCACCTTAATATCAACACAGGTGGATTATGTTGTATTTCTCCATTCAAGGAAAGAAGTGCTTGACAAGCAACTTTCATTTCTTCAAGTTTCATGACCCATAATATATATACTGTATAATTTATGATGGCACACACTGTGTCTTATTTCCACATTGAATAAAAAAGAAGGAGCTAGGAAAGACAAACCACTGAGTTATAAATAAATAAATGCAAATATAATCTATGTACTTTATGTCATTGTCTACTCCATGAAAGTCATCTAGTTCACGACTCATACAAGCTTGTGAGGAACCTTGTCTGTTAATCTTCTGGAAGAATTTTTTCGGAAAATAATGAAAGAGGGCATTATTAGGATTATGGGATACTTTGGTCAATGTTTGGGGTCAGTGAATGATGTATTTTGGATGGCTGATTGCTGAAGAAGTGTCAGTGATTGAGGAGGAGGTGACAGGGCCTATAGTCACCATGTTGTCAGAGTATTTTAGTCCTGGGGAGGAGGAGGTAATATTTGTCAATAAATGCCTCAATTACTTTCATAGATACAGCGGATATAACTGATTAATATTTTGGTATTTTATGAAAAATTGACTTTGTCAGAATCTGTTGGAGGTTAATATTTGATTGAAGGATGTCTTCTAGGTCAACCTCTTCCGTCTGAATATCAAAATTGTATATGCGTGTAATTTGTACTCTACCATAAATATTATTCAAGTGTACTTATGGAAACCTTGGGTACAATATACACAGTATGTAAAATCAGCAAGTCCAGAACAGTAGGTGCTATGGACTGCTTGACTACCATATCCTATCACTACCAAATATGTCATGCATTTAATATTTTTTTCTATCTTTCAGAGTGATGGTAATACAAGCTTTTTGAGAGCTGCCAGAGATGGAAATTTACAGGAGGTGCTGGAATATCTGAAAGGAAGCACAGACATCAACACCAGCAATCCTGTAAGTTCATCCCTCCCAAGTTTGACCTTAGAGGTCAAATGTCAAGGTCATCAATTTAATATGAAGGTCAGTTATGACCAAAATGAAGAACATTATCTACTTTGAGACTGTAACCTAAGATGTAACTGTACTTTTGTTTTTCTTAGGAATTAGATATTGTATCTACAAGTCTTGGGGTGATGTATCTTCTGACTTGTTTGTTTAAATATAACTTGTATCCTATATAAGACAGACGTCAGAGCTGTATTATTTGACAGATTCACATAGGAGTGGGGTGTATTTATGGCTTCCAATGTAAACTAGCAAGCAGAAGACATCACAACAAAGTGAAGCTCTGTTAGCTGATTTGAATGCTTAGATACAACAAATCAATGGCAGATTATTATTGCTCCTTGCTCAAGAAGCACAAAATGGTTTCGTGTTGTGATGGCAACTTGAAAATCAATTCAGATATGAAACCTTTGGCAGAATATTTGCTTTCTTCATCACTCAACTCCATGTTGTTCTTATAAATGTGCAAAAATGATGCTGTGAGAGGAATTCTGCTTGCTTGGACTCTAGTATTACATGTAAACAGCTAGAGCTCCCATGTAGAGATATTCGTAGAATCAGAATGTATTTTGGTGGTGGTTTAATGTCCCATTGCACCTCATGAGATCGATCACTCATTAGGGTCTTATTTGATGAAAAATATATGATGATTAAAAAATTCTTCTGTTTAATGTCAAGTACTTATATATCATACTGTTCACCATAAGTATTATTAGCTCGACTTAACTAAAGGCACAAGTGAGCTCTTCTGATCAAATTGTCTGTAAATGTGTTTGGCTTCGTGGTTGCAGTTGTCATTGAAATATCTTCAGAAATGTCTTCAGAACCACTGGCCATATATGTTCAAGTCATGACCCTGGGGATAGGATGGGTCCCGGCAGAAGATCATAGTTTTACATTAAAAAAACTTTTTTTCTCAAAACAGCAGCCCAGGGTTGATGAAATCCTCAGGTATTGCAGGTTCAAGTTTTGGCTGGGGTGAAGCCAATATTTTAAAGAATTGCAGAGCCAAGGTGATTCATATGAGCAATGTTGCCCATGAGCCTCTTGTAGAACTGATTGTTGCTTTAGTTAAATATATACTCTTTGCAGGAGGTAATATTACTATATAGCACATTTAAAGCTACAGTCTTGAGTCAACATACCAGTACTGTAAACATGAAGAATTTAGTGTGCTCATCTTCCATCCTCATCTAGATGGATGCGATCATAACTATCCACACTAGAGTTTTATAATTGACATGTATTAATTAGTTTAAATTATGTATTAGCTAAACTGCTTATATATGTACATTAGATTGTAGGGGTAAGGTGCTAAAATATACATGTATGATTGCCACAAAAATACTTGGTAATTAATGTTTACACATGATACAGTACATGCAAAATCTTTCTTAGCTTAATGTTATATCTCGAGAATGGCCTAGTAATTAGGTTCCTATTATTTACTATCAACCTAATATTTTACCTCATCATGTTACACTCACATACTCTTTATAATGACAATATATTAATTTACTAATGGCTAGGCTTATTCTAGATAGTCAAAACATCAAGACATGAACAAAATGAATATGAATTCTAATAATGTTTTGATTGCATATTCCATCAGATAACATTGATTTTTTTCCCCTTTCTCTCCATATTATCGGTGTATAATTTGATCAATAGGAACTGTATACAGGTTAAAGTTAGCTTTCAGTCTGCCAACCTAGTATGCAGATGTAACCCAACCAGTAAAATCAATAGGCAAACTAGTATCAGGGGAACGATGTGTCAGAGCCGGAAACAAAGTGCAGATTTAGTGGAGCAGAAGACATTGCTGCAGTTATCGATGCAACAGGATGGGCATTCTTATGCGTAATGCAATAGGCTGCAAAGAAATCAGATGGCTTTTGTAGCAGGACGTAGAGAAATCAAATCAATAAGTTGCACACTAGAAATTTAAGGAAAAAATCATTAGAAAAATGCAGAAGAAAACAGTTCTCAAATTTAATATGTAAATAAAAGGCATGAAGTGTCCAGATAACTAGGATGCACTGTAGGCTAGCTTAGTATATAAGTTTGGGAACATTCTGTTTCTTTGATCATTGAACAATGATTACAATACACACAGTATGAACATGTTGAAAGCATAAGATTTGTTTGTCCGCAACATCTATTTAGTTGAATGGTGTATTACATAATTCTTTGATTAAATATGAGATATATTTATTTATTTAATTTACCAGAGTTTCAAAATAAGACATTTTTAATTGAATTGTATCAACTGTTGTAGAATGGACTGAATGCACTACATTTGGCCTCCAAGGAAGGTCACATAGACATTGTACAGGAACTTCTGAAGAGAGGAGCCAATGTTGAGGCAGCCACCAAGGTAATGTATACCAGCATGCAGCCATGTTAGAACAGAAATCAGATAGGACCAATCAGACATTCAGTCATCTTCAGTAAATCTGTTTTTAAAATGGACATACAGTCATAATTTTGATATTTTGAACATTGATATCTAGAATACATGTTGAAGTGAGTTGCTTTTCTAATGTACTTACCTCATTTTCTTTGACTTCTCTGATATCTGAGCAAGTTTTTTACTGAGACCCAATGACGGTAATGTCAGTTTTAGATTATTAGATTTGACAGTATGTTTAAAAATTTTAAGGTATCAAGTCCCAGTTGAGAAAAAATACAAGTCCTTCAGATGCATTTCAACATTCTTATTTTCAAATGAGTTTTGGTACAAATCAGTATTTCATTATGACTTTTTTCATTTTACAGAAAGGAAACACAGCTCTACATATTGCCTCCCTTGCGGGACACCTGAATATTGTCAAACTACTGGTAGAGAGTGGGGCAAAATATGATGTACAGGCTCATGTAAGTTACCACAGGGCAATGGACAAGTAAAAGGATGGTTCAAAATCACCATCTGGTTCTCTTTTCTAACAAGGGCCTGCTTAGTCATATAAATAATCAAATTTATTCTATTTCTGCCATATAGATGTACATTAAATGGGTATTTTTGTGTTCAAACAGAAATATATATAGCATAACTTATTGTTGAAAACCAGTAATGCAAGAAATTAACCATACAGATGTCTACACAAATATCACATAATACAACATATTTATTGTGTAACAGGTTGTAGACATCTCAATGTTAATACCCCTTATTTTGAAATATTTAAAATCTTTAATAGACAAAGGATTTCAGAGATGAATACTTTAAAATATACAAAATTCATCTAAGCAGTTAATATCAGTTTTCAATAGACAACAGAACTTTTTAGGTCATCTTAAAATATTCTCCCATCCCGTGGTTATAATTTTACTGTTAGAAAATAGCTATGTTACAGCCTGTTTATATCAATCCCACACAGCGAATATAGAAAAGGATGTTTAATTCTCAGCACCCCAAATATTGGCAGATCAGCTGTTGTTATCTGACTGTGGCTCTTGTGCTGAAGGAGAGTTGAAGACATGTAGTCAAACGTTTGGGAGATTAGGAATGATAAAAGGAATTAACAGTTAATCAAAGGATGTTATTATTGAGAGGCAGTCAGAACGAAGAACAAACAATCTATTCCTGCTTTAATGAGTAACAAACAATCTATTCCTGCTTTAATGAGTGGTGATTATTAGAGAGAGGCAGATGCCTGGAATATATGAACAATGTAATGCAAATGATAATTAGTGCACTATGGTTTAAATAAGTGCTGTTTTATGGTTTTGAAGTGTAAAATTGTTGTTCTTATGAACCCAAATGAAAAAAAGGGGGAAACAAAATACTATAACAAACTACTTACAAAACATATGTTTTGAAAGTGTTTTGATAGTATAGCAAATCACATGCAAATGAGCTAACAAAACACTATAACAAGTTACTTTGAAAACACTCTAACAAACTACTAACAAAACGCTTTAACAAAATACTACTCACTCTAACAAACTACTAACAAAACACTGTGTTTTGATAGTATTCCATAATAGAAAATCACATGCAAATGAGGCTAACAAAACACTCTAACAAAATACTAACAAAGCATAAGTAACAAATCATCAATAAAACACTAAATTTGAATTTTTAAAATTATAATTAGCAAATTCACAAGTCTTTGAAAACATCTAAACACAGTCTCATATTGAAACATTACAAGTATAAACATCTTGTTTCACAGTATTTTGAATTCCAGGTTTGACATTATTGTTCAATAGACAATAGCACACCATTCCAACATTAAAAAACACCAAGTTCGATTCATGATCACTCTCTTATATCAATCATTCTCTGCAGTGAAATCCTTTGGTGTAAGAGATATAATTCTCAATCCATTGACCATTTCTCCATTCACATACATTTTCACAGAATTTTCAAGTATAATTATAATTCATTTAACCCAGTGCTTAAAACTGATCTAAGCTGGGTAGTATATGGATTAAAGGGAATCAATCTTAAAATGAACAAAAACCCAATAAAAACAGGCCATATACACATCCACATTCACAGATTGAAGGTTTAACTGTAGTCCAGTTTAAAAGAACTTTATGTCATGCAATAAATAAATACCTTTGTTATATCCAGATTCATCCTGATTTTGCTTTTTCCAATCAGGGATCAATATATATACTAACACTTTACATGTCCCTTCACCAATCTCTTTGTTTCTCTCTTAGTGCTGGTGGTTTGAAAATTGGCGCAAAACTAGTAACACGGGATATAAATAGATAAGTTGTTCTTGGAAGATTTTACTGCTCTTAGATAAGTCAACCCCTAACATGTCTGTTAATCAAATGAAATGCTAACAAAATATTAATTTGATGCAGACAAGTATAATGAAACACTTTCAAAATGCAAATATATGAAACATTAATAAAACACCAACATTGTAATGAAACATTAACAAAATGATGCCACCCCATCCTGTAAAGTATAGCATTGATGTTTTTAAATCAAAACATACTAAGAAAATATAAAAGTATGATTTGGTAGTGTTTTGAAGATATTTTGAAAGTATTTTGTTGGATTTCTTTTTCATTTGGGAAGTATTTATGTACCAGTACCAATGCAAGGAATATTTCCAATATAATAGGCATATATCAGAGATGCTATAATAAGGCTTCAAGCTCAAACAATCGCTGCACATTTTAACTATATTTACAAAATGTGGTTAATTTCAGAAACTGTTATCAGGGTTATGTCAAGAAAACATAAATGAACATCATAAATACAAATTCAGATACACAGAATTTCACAGACATAGTTCGTTTATTTATTCAGAGAATTTAGAAAATAAATCTCTGTTAGATTGATTGTTGTGATACAGGGAAAAACCTTCAAATGATCATGTGGTTATTTATTTTCACAATTTCAGAAATTTGATTTTTGTAATTTGTCATCTAGTCACAATAAGTCTATCGTTATAATACATTGTCATTTGATGAATGATATATTTTGTAGGTTGGGTTTACTCCCCTTTATATGGCAGCCCAAGAGGGACATGCTGATGTTGTCAAGTACCTGCTCTCTAGTGGAGCCAATCAGAGCCTGTCTACCAAGGTACAGTCAGATAAAACTGAACATGATTTGTAAAAAGAATGTGTCTGCAGCCATTTTTTATCAGACTCTCGCTATATCTGAGGACCCCTATATAAAGGACCTCACTAGGTCACTGTTCATTGTAATCAGTTGAAAAAAATGCACATTAAAACTTTTAAATATTTTAATTAAGCAAACACATGCAAAAAAAATTGGAACACTCACATTGACATGGTTTTAATTGTGTCACAGGATGGATTCACTCCCCTTGCTGTGGCATTACAACAAGGACATGAACGAGTGGTCAGTGTCCTTCTGGAGAATGACACAAAGGGCAAGGTCAAACTGCCCGCCCTGCACGTGACCGCCAGGAAGGATGACGTCAAATCAGCCGCCCTGCTCTTACAGAATGAACAGAACAATGTCGATGGACAAACTAAGGTACCAACAGAAAGCATATTTCTATCTATATCTAATGTATGGAGCAATACTTGAGAAAGCTTTTGATATGCCAAGGAGAAGAGCACATATATAGGGATAAAAAAAAAAGTTCATATAGTTGAGGGGTAGGGATGGGGGAGAGAATTTCCTGAAAAAAAAGTTAAGGTAACAAGAGAATAACCTAACAGCATATTCCATTGAGATGTAAGATTGCATTACCAGAAGGAAAAGCAAGAGTAAATCTTGTCTATTCCACTTGTACAAGAGCACTGAAGCAGTTATCTCCCATGATGTTGTAAAACTAAGAAGATATGAGTGAATTTTAGAGCACATGTCGTTAGATATTTTGTAGTTACTAGAGAGACCCTCACAAGCTTTCTAACCTCATGAAACTGTTGTATACCCATGTGCATGATATGAATGCATTCATTTCTCATTATTCAAGAAAAAAAATAACATCATACTAAACTAACAACTGTACAAAGAAAATGTATCATATGCACTCATAAATGCATGCATATGTAGTCAGTTTTAATCATATTATAGAAGATAGATAAGAAATTTTGACTAGAGGTATTTTTTGCTTCAATATGGCGGCTTGCTGCCGATTTTTGGCTGCGAATGAGCACCTAGATGAGGAGTAATTGATTGTGTTGTATATTTCACTTACGGCATCTCAGACAGGAGGTCTGGTTAATGACACAACCAAGGTGTGTATCAACATAGTTACGCTTTCATCTCACTGCAACAAAATGGCTTTGTTTTTTCGCTTTTTGTTTTATTTTCAAAATTGAATTCTAATGTGAAGTCACTTAAAAAAGGGAAAAAAATCCATTTACATGTCTTCTGTGTATATATAAATATCTACAGTCAAACCTTGTTATCTCAAACTCAATGTAGCTGAGAATAAACTTTGAGATATCCAAGGATTCCAGATGCTTAAAAAATAAGGGGTTTTGGGGGTTGAGGTATCAAGGTTCTATTGTATATGTAATTGACTCGTAATAAATCAATATCGGCAAAGATCAGAATGAAAAATCTATCAAAAGTTTATTGTTGAAAATAACACTAGTACATGTAACTTGTTTAAAAATAAAGTGATGAAAAAATTGAATTGATTTCACACTGGAAAGGTCTTTTTTATCTGATGCTCACAAAACCATTTATGCAAAACATTTCGGAATTTCATTGCCAACAATTTTTGATTGCTTGATGGTATAGGAAGAAATTTGTAAATTTAAATAAAAACATCAGATAAAATGTAAACAACCTTCATGGGCTAAAAATTTGTGGCAAAATCTGGCAATGGAAGTCATTGACATTATAACACTTTTAGCTTTTGTTTTTATGAAATGCTTGTTTTGTTGTTGGCATTTTTCTTGCATGAAATAGCACCTATCTAACCATCACAACTGCTAGATGTTAGTTTGTCCAGTTTTTTTTTTATTGAAAAACTTGGGTTGTACTAATATAGTATTTGATTATGAATAGTTGGGTAGAATATGAGATAATAATATAATATTTGATTATGAATAGTTGAAGTTAAAATAGTTGTTATAGAGTGAGTACTGGTAAACTTCAAAGGTACTCCGTCTCTTGTATCACTGAATCAAGATGTTGTCGTTAATTGATCCATTGCTCTATAAACATGTTGACATCATTGCATATGTTAGAATAAGTGACCTCCCCTGCTAAGTTCAAGTCTCAGGTAATTTCTCTTTATGGTTGACAGTAGCTCATGCTAAATTTGAACTGAACCCACCTCTTCAGTATACATCTGAGCTTAACATTTTGTTACGTCTTTTCAATCACCATTTTTGTTAAGATGGCTAGCGGCTTTCACTGTTTTCTCTCTCCTGTGTTTTTGTACATTCACCTTTTTGTTGATTGTTCTGTTTACAGGATTTTCACAGTGTCGGTGTATGTATAGCTCTGTCCAGTAAAATGACCTCTTAGTTGTGTGTGATTTATTTCCCTTACCATGCTCCTTTATTTCAGCATGCCTTGTGCAGGATGGAGTTGCAAATGGTTCATTGTAGAGTTCAAAAAATGACCATATTGCATTGAATTTTTAAGTTCCTTGGCCAAAAAAATGTTATTAGATTTTGCAAAAAGGAATGGCTTTAAATTAATGTAGGAGGAAATATGACATTGATCAAGTTAAATTGTTCTGAAACCTGAATTTCCTCTGTTACTAGCTTAAGTTAAGATTTGGTCATTTATAATACTTGGCTGAGTTTATTTCTAAATGCTTAAGGATAACTCATTCTAACATGTCTCTAATAATGTTTTAGAGTGAAAGATTCTTGTTTCTGATTTTTTGCATTTTATTATTTGGAAAAAAGTATAACATTTACAATAAATTGAAAATGTGAATGTAAAGACCAGTAATTTTTCTTTAATTTGTAAAAAAGAAAATTTTAATTTGTCTGTTTAGTCTAATAAAAAAAGATATTTATAAAATATTTTGGTTTTTGAAAAGTTTTATTTCTGTACATAAGCATTAAAGTTTATGATTGTCACTAATTCTTTCAGACTGAGTGAAGATGTCATAAAGTATGAAATGAATTTTTTTAATGATTTATATCATTTTCTAGAGTGGGTTCACTCCCCTGCATATTGCTGCTCACTATGGCAACACAAATGTTGGATCCCTGCTCATTCAGAGAGGAGCAGACGTCAACTTCAAAGCAAAGGTAATATATTACACAGAACATAGAGAAAGGAATTGAATGAATGTAATTCAGACACTGGTATGTTTTTGATTTTCAAACAGTAAATTGGTAAAATATGTTTATTTATTTCTTATCTAGAACAACATCACCCCTCTACATGTTGCATCTCGATGGGGAAAACCAAATATGGTGACACTTTTACTGGACAACAAAGCAATTGTTGATGAAAGAACCAGGGTAGGCCATCTTTGAAATTTCAAAAATGCAAATGATCAATTATTTATTTGTGCAAGGATTTCGGGTTTCAATAAAAATCACTCTGTGTTTGTCTGTGGTCATGTCCACAAATTTTCTGTTTTTTTTTCTAATAACTTTTTTTAAGGTTGCCCAATCAGGTTCAAATTTGGTATGGTAGTTCAGTAGGCAGAAATACATAATTTGATGCTAAGTTTGTCTCTCTATGTCTTCTGGTTTGGAGCTGGGGTGGTGGGGTAGATTCCTTAACTATGCATAAGAATGAATGGGCAAAGAGAGATAACTGCTGAGAATGTTACCATTGTAAACTGGGAAGGCTGTGCAATTTGTCCTTTGGGATTAATTAACCTTCCACATGAAGAAAATCCTAAGCATTATATTTATCTGACACATTGAGATTAATTACTGTACCAGCCTCTGTCTGCAATGAACTTTGTTTTGAAGGTCAATTTTGAATGATGTGTACATTCTTTGAAATATGGATTTAAAATAGTGTTCATACTTTATTTTGGTTAAAATATTACACAATGATTTAACATAATTTTATTGAATTCTAAAATCAAGATATATATTAAGATATCCTTTTTTTATTATTACTATTTTATTTTTTAATTATTTATTTAATTTATATTTTTTTTGCTGCCTTAATGCTGTTAATTTTAATAGGTAACATAATAACCCCATTCTGTCAGTATTGAAAAAAGTTTTTATTGTAAATTTATATAGAAGAAAAGGATGGGAGAGCAGTACAATCAATCCCCTGGGATTAATTATCTTGCTTGCTACAGAAAATTTAGAGGCAATTATATATATTTGTTACATGAAGATTAATGAACACCTTTGTCTGCAATTGCTGTTTGTTTTGAAGTTGAGGTCAACCCTGGGTGATATTTGCATTCACTGAAGGCTTGCATTTTATAAAACACCTGCTTAAATCTTTTTTAAATACACATTAAATTTAGTTTTTTTTTAATAAGACATGAGGTTTTCCCTGTTTTATGTTAATACAAGGTTACTATTTACAGGGTTTTGGACATTCAGGAATTATCTTGAAATTTTAAAAACACAGTTCTTACTTATAATCTTCATATATTAAAAAAAATATAATCAAGTAAAACTCTCATTCAATGAGCTGCACCCTTATATTTCTACCCCTCAGCGAGGCCCTTGCTGACAGGTCAGTTTTCTAGTTTGTGCTACTTCTTTCAATAAAAATACCTGTTTTATTTGGTCATGTCAATTTTGTAATCTTTTTTGCAGGATGGGTTAACTCCCTTGCACTGTGCTGCTAGGAGTGGACATGAAAATGTAGTGGATCTACTGATAGAAAGAGGAGCTCCTAAATCGGCTAAAACCAAGGTAAGTCACAAACTTGTACTGAGTTTATGAACAAATCATTATACATGTAGGTGATAAGGTTATATTTCAGTTATAAGGTTACGTCTAATATGGTTGCATGAACATATTCTTTGTTATTTCTTTACTTCTCATCGGCTACATGAATATGTTCTTGATTTTGACTAATGTTTGAATTGCAGAATGGCTTGACACCCCTTCACATGGCAGCACAGGGAGACCACGTAGACTGTGCCCGACTCCTGCTGTACCACAGGGCACCTGTTGATGATGTCACAGTGGTATGTGCTCATTACATGTTTGACCTCATAATAAAACATCTGTCATTAGAGTAATAGATATAGAATTAAATATAGCAAGTAAAAGGTTCTCCAGTTTCTTGAGTATCTTTAATTCTCTTGTAGGACTACCTGACACCATTACACGTGGCTGCTCATTGTGGCAATGTTAAGACGGCCAAACTTCTACTGGACAGGAAATGTGATCCTAACTCCAGAGCTCTAGTGAGTGGACTTTATATAAAGATCATTGTCATACTTAGAAGTTTGATCTTGTCATTGCGCTTTTAGAAATTCAATGTACATGTATAAGTTTACAAAATAAAGTTTTTTGTACAAAAAAATCAGCTACTTTTGGACTATTTATTTTTTTTTAAATGAACAGCTTTGCCATGATTATACATGACACAATGCTTTTCTTCCATTTCAGAATGGATTCACTCCACTCCACATTGCCTGTAAAAAGAACAGAATCAAGGTTGTAGAGCTTTTGCTGAAGTATGGAGCCACCATTGAAGCCACAACAGAGGTAACATAACAAATCAAATTACACTGAGTTTTAGTGAATACAAGTGGTAACCTTTTTTAGAAGGGAGTAGGGATGCATACTTGATAATGAAATCTGAAGAATTTTTAAACTTCCCAACTTCAGATTCAGTAGTAATCACATTGTATCAGACTATGTGTAGGTATAGAAAAAATATTTGAAAGTAGAAGAATGTTTTTGATTCACTAAATCCTGTGTCTTTTTAGTCTGGTCTGACTCCTCTACATGTTGCCTCCTTCATGGGACACATGAACATTGTGATCTACCTGATCCAGAACAATGCTAACCCTGACTTCACCACCGTACGTGGAGAGACCGCGCTCCACCTGGCAGCACGAGCCAACCAGACGGATATCATCCGCATCCTGCTCAGAAACGGAGCAACTGTGGACGCCAGAGCCAGAGTGAGTCACAACTAAAGGGAAATAACTCTTAAATTTAAAATTAATATTGCACCAACATGGTGAAAAGTTTTCCCTGGAAATTTTTTATAATCAACATTGTACCAATATATTGAAAAATTCACTAACTAAAGGTCCTTTTAGTATTATTTGGAAATTTCTGTTTTTAGGAACAGCAGACTCCCCTTCACATTGCTGCCCGCCTTGGTAATGTTGACAACGTGACCCTGTTGCTACAGTTGGGTGCAGCTCCAGATGCTGTTACTAAGGATCTTTACACTCCACTGCACATCGCTGCAAAGGAAGGTCATGAAGAGGTCGCCTCGGTGTTACTGGAGCATGGCGCATCACACAGCCTGACCACTAAGGTAATTCTGATGAAGTAGAAAGATTCATCTCTTTTAAAAGGAAACCAAATATGAATGTGATTCTAACAAATGTTGTTACATCTGTTAAAGTAATATAATAATGAACATGAATTATTTTTTGCTTTGCAGAAGGGATTCACTCCTCTCCACATTGCTGCTAAGTATGGCAACATTAAGGTTGCCAGGTTGCTGCTGCAGAAGGATGCTAACCCTGACTGTCAAGGAAAGAATGGACTGACACCACTTCATGTCGCCACCCACTACAACCATGTCAATGTGGCACTCTTACTGCTGGACAACAAGGCTTCACCACACAGCACTGCCAAGGTATGGAATCAATAAAAGTGCATTTTTTTATGTTCAACAAGGTTTCTCTTTTAAATGCTAGATTTTAATACTCATTGATATTGTCACCTAAACAAGATTTTCAAATTTATCACAGAATGGATATACCCCACTTCACATTGCTGCTAAGAAAAACCAGATGGATATTGCAACAACTCTCCTAGAATTTGGAGCAAGACCAGATGCAGAATCCAAGGTAAAAAATTAAAATACTTAATCCTCACCCCCCACCCCCCACCCCCTAAAAAAAATGGCATTCAGATTTTCAATCATAAGGAACTTAACTTTAAGGAACTATGACATGAAATAATTTCAAAACAAGATAAAAGCTTAAACAATTTTGTTTTAGAATGGCTTCAGCCCCCTCCACTTGGCAGCACAGGAAGGTCACACAGACATGGTGTCTTTACTTCTGGAGCACAAAGCAGACGTCAACTCTAAAGCTCAAGTAAGCAAAAGTTTTTAACCCCAAAAAAATTCATTTAGTTAAAAGTATTTCTAGCAGACATATCCTGCAATGTTAAACTATTCAGAGCTATTTTCTTTGTAAGAGTAAGAAAGAAGTCCTCTATTTTTATTCCAGAATGGACTGACCTCTTTACACCTGGCAGCACAAGAAGACAAAGTCAATGTGGCTGAAGTTCTGGTTAAGTACAACACAGAAATAGACCCCCAAACCAAGGCAGGCTACACACCACTCCACACCGCTTGCCATTTCGGACAAATGAACATGGTTCGATTTCTGCTGGAGCATGGTGCCTCTGTTAGTGCTACAACTAAGGTACTTACTTAAATTTATTTGATATTTAATTCAAGATTCTGAAACATTTATGGATTGAAATTAATTTGCTTTGATGGGAGTGTTGCTTGATGACAGACTGTTCTATTCTTATAAAGCTGGGATACACCCCTCTGCACCAAGCTGCTCAACAGGGTCATGTTCAAGTCATCAATCTACTGCTGAAGAACAAAGCATCACCCAATGCTGTTACCAATGTAAGTGCTCAGCAAAAAAAGTCTCACATATTTCTATTTATTAAATGTTATATTCAAAGAGCAGTTTATGAAAAAGACAGGAATAAAAAGTAATAATTTAAAAGGAGATGGGTGAACTTAGCGTGCAAAAAACCCACAAGCTTCAGATATATAAAAATCATATTCAAATTGTGGATTTAGTATTTAGAGTAAAGTTGACTCGTTTTGTCCTCTTTCGTGTGTGTATAATATTTCATAGGCAAATAACTTCAATTTTCATGAGATTTGTGCAAGTTGTAGAGATTTTACATAAAGTATACTTTACTGTTGGATGAAATATTTAGGAAAATTTTGATAAAATTGAGATTTAATTTTTCACCTTCATGTTTGTCGCGCTATGGGGTTATCTCTCGTCATGTTCACCCATCTCCTTTTTACTTGATGCAGCAATCTTTTAAAATTGGGATTTAATATCATTGGCTTTATAAAGAGGCATGCCAGTATCAAGTTTCTTTAAATATTGTGAATAGGCAAATTGAAAAAAATTAGTTTTGATTGATCAATTGTTTGTATATGTAATGACATTTTTTTTCCAGAATGGACAAACTGCCCTGTCGATTGCCCAGAGACTGGGCTACATATCAGTTGTTGATACACTGACACCTGTCACTGAGGTGTCCGAGACCCTCCCGTCTACCGAGGACAAGATCAAACTCATGTCACCAGAAATCATGCAGGAAAACCCTATCTCAGACTCTGATGATGAAGGAGGTCAGTATCAAATTACATCTACCCACATCCTTTATTTCTTGACTTCTGTACTTGCATTATTTGTTAACATTTTCATCTTTAGAATGACATTAAAATTGCTTCATGTTTCTTTTGATATTTCAAATTGATTTAAGATAAGCATGAAAAATATCTCTTTTCAAAAATATTATTTGATATTGCATCATTTTTGCATGAATATTGCATACTTTTTGTTTTGCCAAAAATTAGAGATTATGTTTAATTGTGTTGAAAAAAAATCATAACTAAGTACGAGGGTTGATCCAAAAGTTCGTGGAATTTCTTTCTAAAATTTTATCGTGATTTGATGAAATCAAACAACAGGCACATTTATAATATAGAGTCATAATACAACAATATTGGAAAATTTCATCACTTTCCAATGACCAATAAGGTCACACGAGCTTCCTGAAAATTGATAGTTGTGAAACCCGGGGGAGACTTCGACGTTACGTAAAGTTAGATATGTCACATCACGTTATAGAAGTATCTCATCCAACTGACCAATCTGAATACGTTATTCTACATAAAGCTGTGTGTCGATTTTTTTTCTATCAATGGGAAAAAGTCAGTGGTGCTAAACCTCACCAACTTATTTTTATTTTTTTATATTTCAAAATACTACCCTTTTTATATTGATTAAATGATGTTCCAATTTCATTAGCAATGTCAAGAATAGTGCGGCAGCCCACAACGTCCATTTACGCTTTTGATTTGTCTAGGGGAGTATGCACTTAAAACAGAGCCTCCAAAAATCGACCACATCTTTAATCAACATCAATGGAAGTTCTATTTTTTCTTAAATTTCTTTTGCCAGTGGAAAACCAGTAATTAATTGTTTATTTCATTTTTCCAGTGACATAAATCTTTTGATGTCATGGACAAAATACGATTTTTTAAAACAAAAAATCAATTTTTTAAATCTCTTTTAATATATTTCGTTTTTAAAATATGACTTGACCGAAAATATTATTTGACGTTGTATAACAACTTAAAGATGGACAATAAATTTTCATCAACTTATAAACTAAATATCCTGTATATATTTGTAAACTCTGTTTACAAAGGTTGTATGAAAAATCAAGCGATCGTAATAATGACATAATTTTAGTTTTATATACCGCATAGGGCGGCTTAATGCTCATTTCACGCATTAAGAATTAAACGTTTTAGCTATATTAAGGGTGTTTATTGTCATCTTTTGACACGCCCATTTCTTTAGAAATTGATAAAACGGTCAAGTTGTTTTTCTATGGCAACAGGTTTGCCATAAATATAATAGCCAATCAAAAGATATTAAAAATGTGTTTTCATTTTAAATACATGTGTTGTAATTTTCAACCAATTTCACTTAAAAATGAATAAAATATGAAGAAATTCCACGAACTTTTGGATCAACCCTCGTAGTTCATACATGTGTTCATTAATCTCCTGTTATAGATATTAGGTCAATTAATCATTTCACAAAACTCTCTATTATCTGTAGGTAATGTTAAATATTGATGTAATTGTATTGTATAGGAAATAGCAGTGAGAGATTGTCATGGTTGGCTAAATTGATGACCATAGGAAATCAACACAGTGTACGGTAAATTTCAACATGTCACTTTCAATGGGCATTTTATTGTTCAGTGAAACGGTGCTAAACCTCAAAACTCTTGAATTTTTATTTTTTTAGTATTCAGTATTCTCCCTTTTGATATTGATTAAATGCATGTTTATAGCACTTGAAATAGAGATTTTGAAAATGCAAAAAGATGTTAAACCTAAAAATAAAAAAATGCTGGCCTAATATTTATATAAAAAAGATATATTGTAGAATTCCATGACATTAGTAACTAATTGTTTATACAAAATCTAACAAGATTTAGATTCTTTTTACTATTTCTTAACAACATATACTTTCTTAAATTGATAAAATTAAGATCTTTTAACTTGAATTATAAAAAAAAATTTCCTGCAGAAACGAAAACATTGTAAAATTCAGGAGTTTCTAGAAACTGTTGTGGGACTCTAGAATTAGCACTAATTCTGTTGTTCTGACACAATATTAAGTTTGAGTGTGAAAACAATAATCATGCAAGCACTATCTGCTAGTGTGCTCTATAAAACTGGAAACTCACTGCTTCAAAAGTACGATAATCAATGCTATCGATTCTAATTTATTTGGCAGTGGTTCAAATTCCAACTCAAAAAAGTTCTTTTCTCAAATAACAGGGAGAATTGTAGGCTAACACAAGATTTCAGGTGCTGTCGTTCACTCTACTTTCTGTTTCTATATAGCCATGTGTTGTACTTTCACTTTACAGGGTCCTCTATGGCCAGTATAAGATGTGAGTGTAAAACAATAGTATATATACTTATATTGGTGCACAAAGGCCTAACTTTTCTGCTGTGTTTTGCAGACAGCAGAATCTATATTAACATATATTTGAAACAGGAATTGGTGCCAGGCTAGTTCACAGAGAAGGAATTCATTAATATTTGATACATTATATAAATATATCAGGAGTTTAACAATGCGAAAAAAGTATTTCATATCTATTTTTTCAACAAAGTTGCTATTGACCAGCTTCTTAGTGGTAAGAATTCTTGATATGGCAAAATTTCCCCTACCCTGCTTTTATGCAATAATTTAAAACACATTTTGATATACCGGTATTGTTTGGTGAGCTATTAAAAGTTATATTCATAAGGTGACCGTACATTTCAGTCATTGTAAGACCATTACCATCATGGTTGAGCCATTACATCATACATGATATATTTTTGTGTTGCTAAGTTAAAATGCAATTTTTATGTTCTCAATTTATAAATTGACAGTGAAGTCTTTTACATGCTAAAATTAGATGCTTTTCTATAATGCATTTGTGAGGGCTAGATAAAATGGTGTGTTGAAATCATTATTTTTTCCATACTTCATTATTTATTTCCCACTAAATGTTATTTTAGATGTTCTCTCACATCCAATTTATAAGAAATTGAAAGGTAAACAAATCTAGTAAAAGTATGCATATTCATAAAATCATATAAAAATATTCTTGTACCCCATAAGATGCATGACAATAATATGTCAATGAAATTTTATTTATTTGAATATAAAACAATATCTTATGTATAGTTGTTCATATAAATTTCAATAACATGTTGATATATTAATTTAAAGCTTTGCAGAATGCGGGTGTAATTCTCAATAATCCATATGGGAAAAAAATATTTTCATTCTTTGCAATTTGCAAATTGAAAGGAAGAAGAAAACATGATACAGATCATAAGGATTAAATTTGACTTTCTTTTTTACTGCTTCTGTGAACACAGGGGACGATTTTCTGCCATCTTCTCCATTGTTCGGAAAACCCCTTACCGAACAACATGTTTATCTGCCCTTCTACGAGGGCAGTAAAATGCAGTCTCGTAAGTTACAATCCATCCTCAGTGTTGTTCATTTGGAATCAAATTTTTATCGTAATTTGATGTTGTAACTTTTTTTATTATCAGTTGAAATATAATTATTTTTTTTGGTTTGTCAATCCACTGCATGAAAAAATACAATCTGACCACACTTTGCAATTATTATTTTTTTTCTCTAACAGTTTTGTTTTAATAATGCTTCAATTATTACGTAAAGAAAAAATATAATGAAATAGAAAAAAGATAGTTTTTACTCTTAGCTCAATCTTCAAAAGTAATTCTTGTTCTACAATTCTACTAAGCATCATAAGTTGCCAAGAAAAATAAAACCCACATCAGGATTGTTTTAGAGGATGGAAGTTTTTCAGTTATAACATCAGAACCATGATATTTTTGTTTTGAACTTTGCTAAGTAAATACACTTGGCCAGGGATTAAACAAGTTCTGAACATCTAAAACACATTAGACACTGACAAGAAAAGGCTCCGGAGATATGCTTTATAACAGTATCTTTTCTCACATTAGGATAAATCATTCAGTATCTCAAGTATATTGCACAGGTCTAGATGATACTGTAGGAAAATTTGAACTTAAATTTAAGGTGATACATTTAAGTTCTTGTATAAATAAGCATCTACAACAATGGTATAAATATAATGCATTAATTTGTAAATGGATCGATATGTACAAAAACATTATGCATGTTATTGAATGATACAGTAAAACATAGTTACAGCATACCTGGTTATAATGAATTCAAGCTTACAGCAAAGTGATTTTGTTTTACGTAGTTATGAAACAAAGTAAGAATGTATCGGACGAATTAAGTTCTTGACAACAAAATTGTTCATTTTGCTTTAAGCATGTTTTACTGTTTTAAGAAATATATAATTATTATATATATATATATATCCAAAACTAATGAGAAATATATATTCAAGGGGTCTGAAAAAATACTTCTGTGTAATTAATTCACCCTGTACTGGTAGAATGATTCCTATAGATGTTGTTTAATGGTGTATCTTTTTTTGCATGATCAGTAAGCCATTTCATAACATAGATGATTATTTTAACAGCATGCTATCCGAACACCCCAAGGGGAAACCCATCTCAAGCAGAGCTATCTTCTGCCACAGTTTGGCATTTTGCGCTGGGAAATTATCTGTTTGAAGAATCATTAACATGTAATAATCAGCCTTCGGAATAATTTCAAAATAAGAGATCAGTTCTAAATATAAAAATGTTATGAGTGCTGGCACCCTAAAGGCTAATTGCAGATGTTTTTGAAGCTGAGATACATAGAGATAGAGGAAGAATGTAGAGGATAGCTGGATGTTCTGTCAGTGTCGATACTGGAAGGTCAGATATCTCTATAAGTGATTGCTTTCCCCTCACTGGAACTGTGAAAGCTTTCAGGAAAAAGAATAACAGAGTGGCTGATTTATCAGTACTTGTAAACAATTGATCATGGAAGGATTTTAGCTAGAACTGAAGTTTTTTGTCAAATTTGCTCTAAACTATTTAAGTTTTATGGTGATTTGAATCTATTATTTCAAACTTTGATATGAATTGTTTTCGTCGAAGTAGAGGTAAGGATATGATTATGGGAATTTTTTCTTTATTTTGGTAAGGTTCTTCTCTTTTCAGGAAATTAAAGTGTGCTTAAATAATATACAAAATAAAATTAATTAATTAATAATAAAATAATTTAAGTAATTTATATTTATGAAATAATGATTTAACTTTTTTTGATTGAAAATTTCATCACTTGATTTCTGCTTAAATTAATTCCATTTAATGTGGTATTTATAAATTGAAGAATTATAAATATTTCAAATTTGAATTTAATTTATGTAGCTTTTCATTGGCAAACACATTTTTAAATATGACATATTTGATTCTGATTTTACAGGGGAGGACAGCATATCCCTTGGAGAGAAAGGGGGGAGCATGTCACCTTTGGATACGTCTTATGAAAAGGTAAACTGTCGTAAACAAGTGTTGTATTATCCTAAAGATATTGTACAGGTATTATTTTGGTTCATAAAATACCCATAGCTGTTTTGGAAAGATGGAAGGTTTTTACACCACAATGTAATTATTGAATCTGTATGATAAAAAAAAATTGGAATTGGAAAAGCCAGCGGGTCAAAAAGGAAGATCATCCAAGCTTGGAGCCATTTATGACTGAATTTATATAATCTGGATCATGTATTATGTAATCAATGTTGTTAATTCTTCCCTGTACTTTTATCATTAGCACATTTATTGCATTTTATTTTCAGCACTGTATAATCAATATTGTACAAGTTATGTTGCAGAATTATTATTCCTTTTTTTAAGTGCTAAGCAGTGAGTATTGTTTGATCTGACATGGAACATTTCTAGCTGTCTCTATGAGAATATTTTTTGAATTTCTTAATTTTCAAAATGAAAATTTTAAAATTTTAAGATTGTAATTTCAAACTACTTTAATGTAGATATCAGAGAATTTTTTTTTTTCAAAAATTCTTCTAGAAGCCATGTATTAGATGATCAAGAATAGTGGGAAAAAAACACGAGGTGAAACATGATGTCAGATGAAAACAATATTCTCCACTTTTTGTTGCATCGGTTTCGTTGTTTTGAGTTTCGCTGTTGTTATTTTTCTTTTATGTACATCAGGATGCTTCTCTGAGACCTGCCTCCACCGACGATGCCAGGCGTCGCATCACGAGTGAGATAGGCACCGCAATGCGGTACCCGTCTTACTTAGAACGTGGTCCGGATTACGAGGCAGAGATGCGCTATTTTAGCGGAGATTCTCTCATGTCTCCCAGGGTAGGTTTTGATTAAGAGGATTTATTTTATAGAAAGGAGATTCTGAAATCAGCATAACTTTAGTTCTGAGAAGAAATTACTACAAATCAATATACGAGCTAATATTAATGAAGTAGAAAAATGGCATGTCAATGTTAATGTCTATAACCAAATCAAATGGTTGCATAACTTATCAAATATAATTATAGAGAGGTGTGTACATCAGTAGTTCTTATATGAAAGAAAATGATTTTGCATAAAGCACACTTTGCACAGTCACCATTTGCATATGATTTGAAAATATTTAATCACTATGGTAATGTTAGGTTAGAGCAGTATAAAAATAATGTTACTGATGAAAATTTCATTATTTTTATCAATGAATATATTTGTATGTTGTAAAGCTTTACCTTAATACAAAGGGTTATATATTCACTTGGTATCTTCAAAGGAATAGTGATACATTAGAACAACTGCTTGCATGGAAACAACTGTTTTTTGCGGAGACCAAGTGTTTGCTGTTGTTTGAATATTGATGTTGTACATTTGGCTTGTATTGTTTTTCTGTGTTTATTAGGACAAACATGACAAAAGCAAAGATAGTGTTTTTGGAGGTGATTACTCGACCTTAGATAAACTTGATACCACGTCTACGAACTCTGAGTCCAAGGTTCGAGTTGTTGATGAGCATGGTAGTGAGATCGATTATGACGATGATTTAGATGATAGGATGAAGAAGGTATCAGCATTGGAATGACCTAGAAATTAACAAAGTTTGAAAAAGTTCATGAGTTCATTTCACTAACATAATGTCATGGTGTCACTTTCTACAGTTTTGATGCTTTAGAATGAAATTCGATTAGCAAGAAAGATAAAAAAAAAAAAAAAGATTTGTAGCATGGATTTTGAGAAATTCCACACTGAATTTTTGAATTGTAACAAAATGGTACTTTTTTAATGCACTCACAGCATGGAAATGAAAATGACCAGTTTTTCTGGGTACTAGATTTATAATTATTAGAATGAGAAATTATAGGAATTCTGAATTTCTATTTCTATGTTTCTGATTTTTTTGTTTTATTCTGTATTGTGTAAATGTTGTGGTGCTAGCTTGTTTAACTTTCAAAATGACAATGCCAAGAGATTTTAAATTTTAAAAAATGTAGAACATTGTTTTTAAAAATCATAAAAAATAATCAAGTTAATTGTTTCATAAATAAATTGAAAATTCAATTTTATCACATATAAAGAATCACTTGGCATTGACCATAATATGAAGACTGGTTTTCAAGTAGCTAGAAAATAACTAGCACAAATTTTCTAACTGAAGCTAGATGTCAATGTTTTAGCTGATTTAAAAAGTAGATACAAACCAGTTTTCATCAACTAATTCTTAGCATGTGCATTTTTGACTCTGTGTCTTCTCTTTCTGACCTCTTGACCTCTAGAACACAGCGGCCAATCAATTTGCGGAGGATTTCTACCTGCGACAATCCGTAAGATACGGAGCTAACACGAACAAACGGCCCATCTATCCCAGCTCGGGGTACAAGTCGCAGCCAGACAGGCCCACTGAAAATTATGCCGAGTCATTTAGTGTTGATGGTATAGATTTGAATGAAGAGTTCAAATATATGCCTGATGATTCGGTTCCCCAACAGGTATCTGGAACTCACTGGGTGCCGTGTGGAATTATAACTATTCAGAACTAAGTGTATCTCAACTTGGGAGTTTGGTTTTCAACTACTTTTCTATCACTTTATTCAGATTTATATCATTTTAGGGTTGCAAAGATGTTAATTAACTAATGTTTTAGTAATTAATGATATGTAAATGACTTACCAGTAATAATCAGATAAACTTTGGCTAAAGAATCTAAAATTGTATTAATTTGCTTTATGCTTTAGAATTTATGAATAGGACTTTATACTAGTATGAAAAAAAAATTAATCCTTTGTGAATGTCATTATGTAGCATAAAACAGTGTTTATAATGCACTAGTTCTTATAATATCGATAATTTAACTCATGTAATCATTGAAGCAATCTTAACAAGTGGAATGATCAAAGTCTATAATCATTAAATTGCTTGAAAAGTTTGCCTTTTACTGGGAAATCAAGTTTAATTCATTTGTAATCATGCATAAGATCACGTATTGAATGCATTTTGTTAACCTTTAACATAAATTTAATATGATGCTACTGCAAAATTAACTTAAAAAATTAAACTTACTTAATAAAAGCCTAATATTTGAGCTATAACGTTATAGAACTTTTTTTTAAACATAAGTAGACCTAAAGTAATGCCTAGTGGATTGAATGATTCAGAATAATGCTTGTAGACACTACTTTATAAATAGAATAAATTAGCCGTAGAAAGCTGTCTAGATTTTTTTTTAGCTGTAAATTTATAATTTTCTCTAATTACGATCTATTACAGGACTACTGTGAAGCCCAGATCATGACCTCTTCATACGCCGCCTACACTAACGCGGCCCCACCTGAGACCCACCTGGGACCGGGGGTATCCTCCGCGGACAAACCCAGGGTAGGGTCCTACAGCGGATCCTCCTTCAGTGCCAGTTTCGACCCTGACAATGTCGCCATTGATCAAATACCTACATATTCTGGGTGAGTTTTGTTTTATGTTGACTCTAGGAATAGAAATGGGTGATTTAGTGAAAGGCTTAAAGTGAAAATTACAAATTTATGAAGAGATATTACATAAATAGGAAAACAGAGTCAAAGAGGACATGGTTTATGAAATCATTAAATTTTCAAGGGTTTTTTTGCATTTGGGTAATTTAAAATGTACCAGTACTAGCTAGCTCTTATTATTTAAATTTTGCCAAAAAATTGATGCATACTAAGGAAATTTGGGACAAAAGCATTTTCTTTCATACCTCTCAAAGGACTGTTTAATGACTATGTAATCAGGCATGTTTATTTAAGACAAGCAAAAAATTTAAAAATTTTGAAAAATGTTGATCTGTTATGCAGTCATAATTAAGACAGTAATCAACAAAAAATTAGTTTCAATGAACATATTTTGAGAAAATGTGATATTGAAATTGAAGACAGGGCCCTAAAGAAATGAAAAGAAGCTGTCAAAATTGTTTTGAAAATTTATATTATTTGAGAATTTAGAATTGGCAGTTTTAAAATATCAATACTTCAATACATGTACTTGTCTCCCTGCTTTTTTGTGAAAGCAAATGAAAATCTAAATATAATTTGTCTGTCAGCTTGTATTTCACAGAAACTTGAACCTTGGTCATACCTTTTGAATGAAAGAGTTGAGAGCTTCATATTTCACATGCATTCATTACCCATGACAAGACCTTACAGAATATACTTCGATTATTAACCTCATGACCATTGACCCTGAAGATTGACTTATTTTTTAACAAAAAAAATAGCTCTGGCATTAACTTTTGAAGGAGATTTAAAGCATACTTGTGTCAAGAAATTTCAAAAAAAATTTCAAAACTATGATTTTTGACCCTTTGACCTTGAAGTTTGACTTCCTTTTCAAATATTTTTACTTTAGTACATGTAATAACTTTTGAACGACAGGATATAATATATACTGGCTTTAGGGCTGTGTATTGATTTTCTTCACAACCGTTGCAAATGAAATTAAATTTTGTATACAGATTTATCAGGTGAATATCTAAGTCAATTTTTTAAAGCGATATTTTTGACAGATATATTGGATTAGAAAAATAACTTAACAGTTTCCATCAGAAAAGGCTTCTAAATGAAATTTTAATTATCATGAATTTCATAACATGTTAAGTTTTTTAGTTATGCCCCTTGCATTAGAAAAATTCCACTTATTTGCAGTTTCCTTTCATTTTCTTTGCAGAGGTTGCACATACTGAAATGAAATTTGCTATATAGATTAACCAGCTTACTATCTAGATCAAATTCTGTTTTTAAAATAGCTCACCTCAATGAAGTTGGGAAATTCAACGTGTTCAAAGGTTAAAATTCTCTTTGTATATTCCTATATTGATTAGACATATGGAAAAGTGTGTTTCATTTCCAAAGTTTCAGACAATTTAGGAATACCAGGTTAATGTTTTTGGAATTATTTTTGATGCAGTTTTTTTAGGTCTCATTTCCTAGGAACTATAAGCCCTATGTGTGAAATAAGGATACATTACAAGACTTGGTGGTTGAACATTGAGTGAACAGGTAAATGTTTTTAACAGATCTCATTTCAAAGAACTATAACTATGTTGACCAAACTTGCATGGATGATACATCTAAGGGTGTACACTACCAGACTTGCTTCGGATGCTTTGACCTACATTTTCCAGTTGAGTGAAAGGTTAATGTTTTTGGTGCAGGTCTCATCTCCAAATAACTGTAAGCCCTATGATGACCAAACTTGCATGGATGATACATCTGAGGATGCACATTACCAGGCTTGCTTCGGATGCTGAATTTGACCTACATTTTCCGGTTAAGTGAACAGGTTAAAGTTTTTAGTGTAGGTTTCATTTCCTAGATACTATGAGCCCTATAATGACTAAATTTGCATGGATGATTTATCTTAGGATGCATACTACCAGACTTGCTTTGGATGCTGAATCTGACCTACATTTTCTGGATGAGTGAACAGGTTAAAGTTCTTTATGCAGGATTCATTTCCAAGTAACGATGAGCTCTTTAATGACCAAATTTGCATGGATGATACATCTAAGGCTGCATTCTACCAGACTTGCTTCGGATGCTGAATCTGACCTACATTTTACTGGATGAGTGAACAGGTTAAAGTTTTTTATGCAGGATTCATTTCCAAGTAACTATGAGCTCTTTAATGACCAAATTTGCATGGATGATACATCTAAGGCTGCATTCTACCAGACTTGCTTCGGATGCTGAATCTGACCTACATTTTTTTTTGGGATGAGTGAAGAGGTTAAATTTTCATGCAAGTTTCATTTCTAAGTAACTATTAGCCGTATGTTGCGCAACCTCGCATGGATGATACATCTTAGGATGCACAGTAATGGATAAAAAATTGCTCCGGATGCTCAATTCAACATACATTTTCAAGATAATGGACCAGGTGAAAGTTAGAGAGAAACTATAAGGCTCATATAAACCAAACTTGCCCAAATGATGCATCAAGGGATGAAAACTCTCAAACTTGCTTCAGATGCTGGATTTTAACACACAAAAGCTAGTTTGAAGTTTTTATATAGGTCTATTCCAAAGTATCAGATCAAAATTGCATAAAATTTGCATTTTTGAATGTACACTTTTTGTTGGGTAATTGTGTGACTTTGCCATACTTAAAGATGACATTCGTTGAGATGAGCTCTGTAATCTCTGATTACCTATGTTTGTCAGAGTTATGCCCCTTGCATTTAGAAAATCCACTTATTTGCAGTTTCCATTCATTTTCTTCGCAGAGGTTGCACATATTGAAATTTAGTATACAGATTTATCTGCTGAATATCTAGGTCAAGTTCTGTTTTGGGTACGATTGCAACATTTTTGATAAAGTTATGCCCCTTGCATTTAGAAAAATTCCACTTAATTGCAGTTTCCGTTCATTTTCTTTGAAGAGATTGTACATATTGAAATGAAATTTAGTATACAGATTTATCAGCTGAATATCGAGGTCAAGTTCTGTTTTGGATATGATTGTGCCATTTTTGATAGAGTTATGCCCCTTGGACTTAGAAAAATTCCAATTTGGGGAGGGGGCATAAGTGTTTTACAAACATCTCTTGTTTACATGTAAATTGCATGTTTCAAGATCTCTCCTTATGTATCATAATTTTTGACCTCATGACCTTGACCTTGAAGTTTGACATTTTCATAATTTTAAAATTTGCACCAGAACTTACAAGACTTTTTTAATGCAATAAACAAACAGAAGGGGAGATGAGACAGTTACAACCAAATTTTTAATTACTACACCCCAATAAATAAGACCCAAAAGCAGGGGGCCACAGTTCTCTGAATTTGCATTTTTTGTGCGTGGTCCCAAAAATTGAGTATGAATGTATTGTATTTTAATTAAGTCATTTAATGATTTGATCTTACCATTTATGCCACAGACGCCTGAAATGGAAAAGGTAAATAAAACCTATTTTTGTGGTGATGTAGCTTACACATTCATTTTACATCATGCTTTATACCTCTCACTTGTGTCAATATCTGGTATCACTGTTTGGAATCATAATATCCACATCACATATGCAATAATTCACAAGCATGTATTCATAATTATTTTTCATCAATTCATCATTTTTATCATTTTAAATACTAATATTTCGGGATATATTCATTTCTTTCACTTCATTATTGGTAAGATTTGACTGCTTTTCTTTATAAATTTAATTTATTAATTTTTCTATAAATGTCAAATTGAATTTTGATGAGACCGTAAAACAATCACTATCAGCGACATCCTATCCACACTTCTTCAGTTTAGAACCCATCTGTGACTACGTACATGTACTATAACTTTTTTACCGAGGCGAAATTCTTCATATTAAATAAATACCGGTAGGTGAATAAAGTAAAAGACAATCACGAAATTTGCAGATATTTTACACTTGCAAATATAAGTTAATAGATCAATACACATATTGTATTAGGCATCTGAGAGCTCAAGTAATGATTTTTCTGTCATCAGTGGTTTATTTTCATGAACTTTAGAATGATTTTAATTAGCTAACGTCACTTAGAGAAATCATTAGATTGCATTAGAAGAAAATTATACATCTGACAGGAACTACAAAGCTTTGACACATACAGGAGACTAAGCATTAATGTTTTATAAGAATTTCAGTTTGATATATTCTAGTTTGAATATTTTTTTTCTTTTTTTCATTTTTTCTTTAATATTTTTAAAAATATATTTTTAAAAATTCATTTTTATTACTGTATATTATAAATTAACAACAATAAAGAAAACAGAGGAAATTAAGGCAGAAATTAGAATTGAAAACTTTATTTTCTGTATGTCGTTAAAATACATGATGTAGGATAATTACTTTTACCAAAAATTGAAAACTTTTATTTTAGCTTTTGCCAGATTTTATTTTTTTCAAAAAAAAACATTTTGTAGTGCATCAGCTTACTTTTACTAATTAAAGAAAAAAAAGTTGCTTCCCTTTATACAAGGCTGGGCTTATCTAAAATTTTAATCAACATGCCATGTTTATTTGTATTCAATTATCATTGCATGAAAATTCAAGAAAATAAATATTAGTGCATCAGCTTATATAACTTCACATTTATAGTAAAGGAAAATTTTTAAAAGTTTTTGTTTAGTTTGTTACATGACTGCCTTTCTAGACCTATTGTTGGATAAAATTTTATCTTTCACACCTGCATGTTTATTTCAGTATTCAATTATCTTTTATCTGATAGCTTTTTGCTTATTTCCTACAAATAAATTCTAGAATTGTGAACTTTTATTACTTATATAAGAGTGAAATGTCTCAAAACCACATTTTTACAAAATTATATATGTACAATTTGGAAAAATTGTAGAGCTATAGTAATTAAGTACAAACATGTTTTTTTTTATGGCTTTGACATACTTTTTGTAACTGACCCAATTATCTGTACAATCTTCTAAATTCAGATATGCACCCAACTGCATTGATAAGAGGTCGTATAAAAACCTAGTGGATGGGTGCATTCTGTGATTGTGAGGGAAATGTTATATCTTGAATTACCTTTAAAATCTGTCAACCCTAGTAATTTCAATGCTTCGAAAAGAAAAGGCATTATTCATCCACAAAACATTTGCAATGCAAAAATCCCCTATAAACCATGGAGTAGCTGTCTTTGTTTTGAATTGTTAAACACTGATAATAAATTGTAAATATTGAGCTAGAAGACTGTCATTGAATCATACTGTTTATAAGTGTGTGGTTTTATATAGAAAACATTGGAGGTCATCCGGCCATGTAAAAATTGTCTAGGCTTATAAATGACAATATGTTTGTTTGTTGATATGCGAGGGGAAGGAGATTTTAAGTGCTGGCTTTTCTTACACTAAGCAGTGTTCTGTTATATATGTGTCATTACCACCGGATGTTCTACTCCCCGAAATTTGAACAGGGCCCTGCATACTCTTGTTGACTACTATTACATGTATGTCTTGTTTTGAAGATAAATATTTAGCTTTTGGATAATTGCAAGGCAATTTTTCTTCATTTCCTGGGGAGTCTGTGTGGCTCATGGTCAGTGTTGGCTGGTGTGGTGTAATTGACTGGGGAATTAATTTAAAACACCCTGTGTTAGACACTTGAGGAGATTGTTATCAGTGGTATGTAACAGAGTCGGGGTGCTGGTTTAATTCAGTGCTGCTACAGACATTACACACACCAGTCTGTAGAAAAGATAGCTGTGCTGCCTCTGCCATCTTGGAATTTTTTTTTTTGAACAGTGAAAGATGGAGGTTTGGAACTTGTATTGATTTTTCTGTGGATTCTAGGGGAGAGGGTTTTTGTGTTTCCGCTGCATTGCAGACTGTTTCAAGGATTGAGACTGTCTAGCTAGAAGGGTTTCGTGTGGTGTTATGGATTATTATGCTCCTAATTGAAAAATAACACAAAAAAGCAACAAGTGGTGTCACTGTTTTTTCTCTCTCAAGGCTGTGTAGCAGTGATCTAACATAAATGTTTTCAATGAGTAGTGTTTCTGCAGGGATTTAAAGAAAAGAAAATAAAAGCCCTGGAAAATTTGATTTAAACCACAGGTGTAAGACAAGTCCTACACAACAACTCATTGCAACAATGACTCTTCTTACCCACAGCTTCCTCATCAGTTTCATGGTGGATGCCAGGGGTGGGGCCATGAAGGGCCGACGCCACTCGGGGGTCAGGATCATCATCCCTCCCAACCGGGCCTCCATGCCCACCCGGGTGACCTGCAGACTCATCAAAAAGGACAAACTGATTCACCCCATCCCCCTCAATGAGGGTGAGGCCCTGGCCTCCAGGATCATTGAGATGGGACCAGTCGCCACCAAGTTCCTGGGGTAAGTTAATTTGATTTTTTCCTGTACAATTAAAAAAAAATGTGTATTATTTGCATTTCATTTGGTTTAAGACTCTGGTATCTTTTCTGAAACATATATTGCTTGTTGAAATTTTTTAGTCAATGTTCAGAGGTAAATGTTCAGGGAAAATTTGTGTCATAAAAAAGACCTTTTAATGATCAGCAATAAATCAAGAATAGCCTGAAAAAATATGTGCATAAGCCAGAAATCTGTTCAATTTTGATAAAGTCATCCCAGTCAAATTAACCTACAACAAAATAGTTGCTAAAGACTTTTAATATGTATTGCATGTCAGCATACAAGGTTGCATGCATAACAAAATGGCATACCTGCAGCCACTATACAAAACAGACTTGGGAGGGCACATTTGAGAGACCAGCCACAGCTTCAAGTGTGGGTGAAACCAAGTTCAAGTAAATTCATCAATAACAAATTAGTAAGCATGCCCATGAATCCAATATCGCTTCTTGTGGTTTAGGTTTGATAAATGGGTTATTTTCTCAATAATGGAAAGTAGACATAGTATGTAAATTATGTACCTTTGATGTTGGAATATCATTTAGGACGAATAAACCTCTAAACATGTTATTATTACAAACCAATTCTGGTGATTGGGTTTTGATAAAGTCAAGACATAGTTGAAAAGAGAAAACTATAGCCCAAGGTGCTAGGTGATAAAGTTGTGATATACCAGACATTCAACTTCAATTAAAGATGTTTAGCTTTATCAGATGAAAGATCAGCTGTTTTAGCATCATTAAACAATGTCTGTATTAAAACTCCGGATAAACATTGATTTAAATTTAATAGGTCTAACATTTTGACTCTTTGTATGAAATTTTCTGGTACGTTATAAAATATTTTAATTAGTAACCACCCAATCTTGAAAAGATGTGTTTAGAAACCTTCTGTATGGAAAATGTTGAATTATCAAATGTTCTCAGAAAAGTACTTGCTGTGCAGCTTTACTGTCAGGAATTGGCACAGAAAGCTTGGTTTGAAAGCTGATCTTAGATAAGTTTTAAAGCTTAGGAATGTGTTCTGAAGCAGTCCTGGGGTTTTCTGTTATAGGCAATACATACACCTTCATCTAACAGTGTGATTACATTTTAATTAACCCAATATGTTATCAAGAATCGAGGAACCTTTTAGCAACATATATCAAATTGAGTTTTGATATAATCATGACTTATATGAGTAGCTTTGCCCATTATATGAGTAATGTACATTTCTGGAAATTTTCCTGATGAAGTTTTCTTTGCCAACTGTGTGTCATAAATGATTTGTAGGAATTCATTGAAAGTAATAGACATTGAAAGCAACGTGTAATATTTTAAAAGTATAATGTTAGGCAAAAACAACAACAAAAATTCACCTTTCCTTGCAAGAAAAGGAACTGCTGTACGTGACTCACTCAAGTTTTCTCAAATTTTTGCCAAGTTATCATGGTTATTAAATATTTCAATAGGATTCATGCTGGACTCAAACTTTATTTACACCACAGTGTGAAACTTGACCACTTGACCCAGAGCTTAATAAGAGATTTTCTCAATGGTTTCCTTGAGAGGAATTGACACCAGATAAAAACCTTTTTCCTGTGCCTTATACTTACAGGAAAGATTGATTAGTTCAGTAAGTGGGGGTAATTGATAGGTGGACAGAAGGGCACCACTCCTTTTTCTAATGGTCAAAAAAGATAACGGGCTCATCCAAATATTTGTGACTACTCATAGATCATAAGTTAGCCATTGATAGTCTGAAAATCAAGGCAAGAAAAAATTTAAACAGAAGTATTCATATATAGATGAATGCCATTTTAAATTCAGTCTTAACTGTTCTTTTTCATTCCTGGTCAGGTATCTGGAAATGTCATTATATGGCTTTTTCTGAAACTAGACAGAAGTTTAAGCAATTACTGATCAATGCAAGACATTTGAAAATCAATATAACAGTTCTTTTTCATTCCTGGTCAGGTTTCTTGAAATGTCATTATGGTGTTTCCCGAAACTGGACAGAAGTTTAAGCAATTACTGATCGATACATCTGTTGCATAATGCCAGTTATAATGTGCATAGAGGCTGTTTCCATGCTCCAGTGTGATTAATCTCCATTGTGATAGGAAATAGTGTTCAGATAATGATTGAACTGTTGGCAATGATGCAAGCTTGGAGAGGAATGTATTGTTTGGGGTACACATCTGGAGTCTGTTTAGATATCAGATGAATCAATAGGATGTCTGATAACAGGGCAGAGATAAATAAACTAATTGATCACATTATCACATGCATAATCAATTTTTTGTTTTCAGAGTCAAGATTTTCAAGGAATGTATTTCAGATATACATGTGTAATGTTGCAAAAAGCCATTGGGGGGGGAGGGGGAGAGAGAAGGGCAGAAATAGATGAATAAGGAATAAACTACAATATTCTTGCTATTAAGCTCCCCAGGAACTGAGAATATTGGCGAAAAAAGAGGGGTGATCATTAGGATTTCCTAATAATGAAATTATGCTGACTATCTAGAGGGCATACATTCTAAGTACAGTATTAAAACTGAAACATACTTCTTTAAACACATGCAATCCCATCAAAAATACATAATAAAAGTGGTACATTCTAATAGAAATATATGACAGCTGGAGAAGTACAATATCTTATTAGGAAGGCACAAAGATTAGAACACTTTGCCAAAAAAAATTAAGACATAGGATAAAAGCCTGTGAAATTAAATCTCTTAAAATTTCAATTTCAATTTCAATAATTCATTATTAAATGTCATCAATGGATCATATGAATTTTGGTAAAAGCCTGTAAAATTAAATTTCATAAAAAAAACATATCAAGGAAAGGGGGGACTCATTCTTAGGGAGTTGAAAAAGGTCCAAGAGGGCAATTAAAAGGACAGGGGTGCTAAATTAAATAAAGTGAATACTGGCTCAACTTTATTTTTGTATCAGATATATTAAACATTTATTGTACCTATCATTACATCCGCTGCCATTTCCATTGCAAGTCAGCAATGGTAAGAGAAACATGTTACAAATAAATCAGATGGTATTTCTTAAAATCTAAGATGTATAAATTTCATAATTGTAAAATTACTTTCAGAATAGAGATGTTAAATATTAAGTTTTAATAAAAATTGTGTTGCCTCAATTAAATTTATGCAATTTTTCTCTTCTTTTTTTTCAGGCGCATTGTCATTGAGATCCCTCACTTTGCATCTCTTCGTGGCAAGGAACGTGAGATTAAGATCCTGAGAAGTAACAATGGAGAGAAGTGGGAGGAACATCCTATAGCGGCCACAGACGATGCTGTCCAGAAAGCACTGCATGAAAGCATGGAGGGTAAAACAAAGATTTAACAATACAATAGAGAAAAATATTTGTATTGTTATGACATTCAGAAATACATATTGTACAGTGAATGAAGAAAAATCTTATTAAAATGGAGTCCATGTTTTGTGAAAAAGAAATGAATACATAGTGATGTAGTAAAGATTTGTAACTTCTTATTCTTAGTATATAGAGGTTCCTAAAATACAGTAAATGGCTTTTGAGTCACAAAAACTTTTCTTTGACATAATAACACGACTATCTACAAAGATGAAAATATCATTCTTGTTTACATTCTACATAGATTTGGATTATGAGGATGAACTGGCTGGCAAAAGAGTGACCCGTATCCTGACTGATGATTTCCCACGATACTTTGCTCTGGTTACCAAGGTGAAGGAGGAGAAACAATGGGTGGACGAGAAAGGCCTGATCATCAGCTCCACCGTGGTGCCTCAGGTCCAGGCGGTGTTCCCAGAGGGCGCCGTCAACAAGAAAATCAAAGTCGGCCTGCAGGTGGGTGGTAGTCTCCTTTTAGAAGGTCATTTAGGTCATAATGTATTTTGAGCTTTATTGAAAATTGTGAGCAATTCATTTACATAAGTTAAAAGTAGTTACATGCAGTGAATTAGTTTACCAGATCTAGACAAGTTTATTTTGCTTAAAAAAAGCTTTGAAGATGAATGAATTTAAATGACTACCCATGCACTTAAAACAAAGTGAAAGGGTTGATACTGTCAAATCTTGGGCGTTTCTTTTCTATAGCCTTCCGGGCAGGCCAGGCTAGTTCATTGGCAATCTGATATTTTCTAACCCTGAATGTAGCACACCCTTTGACTTGGCTTAAGTGTAGTGGTACATGGTGTATTTATATTGTGTATTCATGTGGATTTAAAGGATGCCTAAAACTTTGTGGGAAAAAGTGCTCAAACACCACCTAGATTATCTTCTGCTTTTGTACTCATTTTCTTGCCCAATTCAGAGTTGTGGAGATTTTGTGTTGAATAACTGAATTTTTGGACCGACAGAGTTCAGCATTTTGTCAGAAAGAAAGAGATACAGATACATGTGTATTTCATTTGTTCGTTAGGAGTACCAAGAAGTTATTTTTCATTGGGGGATTAATTGGCCATTAATTAATTTAATGTTTGACTGTAAATTTCTTATGAATTTTTGCTACTTTTCTACTTGGATAACAGGCTCAGCCCATCTCCCCAGACATCGTGTCTAAACTCCTTGGAAACAGAGTGGCTGTCAGCCCCATTGTCACCGTAGAACCCAGACGTCGCAAGTTCCACAAAAACATAGTGTTGACCATCCCTGTCCCGAAGGCTGCCCAGAAAGGCATGATAAACCAATACGGAAGCGAGGCTCCAACCCTGCGTGTCCTCTATAGCATCTCAGGTGAGTAAATTCTGGCTAAATGAGGAATTCAGAAATTGGTCAATACTTCCTTTGCAGACAAAACAAGATCTTAGATATATCAGAGATTTCAAATATAATTAAATTTTTTTTAAAAATTATATGAGTAAATTGATTTGATGAATATGGGACTAGGATCTGTAATAATTGTTAAGTGTTTTCCCTATATTCTAAGTAATTCCTGCATGATGTTTAATTATTTGCCTGCTTTTCTGTGGTTCATATCTTGTTCATAAATTTATAATAAATGCTTTATCTCTAAGTTCAAAACCTTTACACTGAAATATTTTACTGCTCTTTCAAAAACCAGACATTCTATCAGACTTTTAGTATGGTGTTTGAACATAAGCCTAAATTACACATGATACGGCATGACACGTCTCTATTCTGTGAGTTGTGTATAAGATGTGTTATAATGTCCATTGCTTGACCAATGTCTTTCTTTATGCTTACCGACTAGGCTCCAACAATGCCCTGCGAGGTAAACTGCCTGATCATTTATATGACAATGTGCCTTATTTTTAGTAGCACTGTTCATTTGCAAAAAAATACCTTGCTATGGTATGAAAAAAAATGTACACTTATTCATTTCTGGATTTGAATTTATTGTATATATATTGTTTGAGGGAAAGAAAATCCTGGAATTTAAACCTAAATTTTCCCACATTCTTGAATGTATATATGGATGATGAAATTTTTTGATATCCTTTTCTAAAATCCATCCCTTGACTTGATTACCCCAAAATATATGGTTTTATCCAACATTTAATCAAACTTTTAAGAATTCAATTTGACACCCAAATTTTTCAGTAACTTCACTTTGTCCACTACCATTTTTCTTCTTTTAAAAAGAATTCTGAATCTATTTTGGTGAATTTCTCTCTTTATAAATATCAGTTTGAAATGCATTTCTGTTTCAGTGTTGTGACATATGGCTTTCACACCCTGAAAGCTTCTCAACTCAATTTGCTTCAAAGAATTTTTTTTAAAAATCAATTTACTTAGTTGCTTTATAGAAGAAAAAATTAAAATTGCATTACACTGATCTAAGCTGTCATCGTTGTGTATTTTTCAATTTTATAACTATATGAAAGAAATATTTTGCAAGTTTTTGTTTCTCAGGTATTGAAAATTTGTGACTTATATGTAGCACTAGCATGAAATAGAATGATATACCAAGATTTATTATTTTACTCATAAGCTGCTTTAAATAAGGAAAGAAGGGAAAAATCTGCAAGTAATGGCATATTTCTTTCCACCTTTAATAAGAGAGAATTTTCTGTCGTGGATGAAAGCATGTTTGCAATCCATCTGAGCACACTTTCATACAAACTTTAGACTGAAAAACCTATGTACTTTGCTCTTTAATTTCCTGACTCTACCTGTTTTAAATTAGAAAAAAAAATCAAATTCTTTTTAAATGAAGATTTGAAACACCAGTTACATCATCTTTGCTAGCCAAGGGTTTCTGATATGCTACTCTCCTCATAATCCCTTGGCATACGGTGTTAATAGAAGTTGTTTTTTTCCCCTCGAGTTCCGATTTGGATTCAGTACACCTGGTCGATGATGAGGATAGTAACGTATCAGAAACCCTTGGCTAGCAAAGATGCAGTTACATGTTCTTGCTCATGTTGATGAGCCTATGCATAAATACACATGCTATGTGGAAAAAAAATAGTAGACTTTTAAATGTTTTATATTTATCATAACATTCCCCCTTCCCCAAAAAATATTTGTGGGTACATGTTATAAATCACCATGCCTGTCTGTCTATATGTTCAGGTGCCTTGTCCTTTTGTCTGTTTTGCTTTGTGTCCCAATGATAACAATTTTAAAATGAAAGTAAAAAAAACACTAGAATTGCACACAGATTTCTTATCATAAAAAATATATAGTGACCCTGAACCAAGTCAGACAAGGTCAGGGTCATATAGTATTGAAATGTAATTTTAGTCCAAGCTATTATTTTGAAGAAGTTGATGCTGGACACAAAGGTTGCTTATCATGAGAGGATGTGTATTTACTCATACAAAGATCACATACAATCAAAATGTATAAACCTATCCAGATGATAGCAATGAAATGCAGGGTATTTCCTGACCTTGAGACATGGTCATTTGGATATTGCTGGATTCAAAAGAATTTTGTTTTGTTCACATTCTGTAATTGGATCAATCCAAATTATGCAGAAACCTAAATCATAGGTTGATTATGATCAGGGCATTACTAAATAAACTTGGACAAGGTCAAGGCTATTTAAAATGTCAGTTAGAGGGAGTGACACTAGTCCTATTAGGAATTTCTTGTTGAAATAGGATTATTTCATAATAATGTGCAATTTTGTATGGTTTTAGTGAAATAAACTGATTAATTGAAAAAAAAAAAAAAAAAAAAAAAAAAAGAAGTGTTACTGAGAGACTTGTACACAAGATTTATAATGCATGTCTCACAGAGTTTTACAATACTTTATAAAATACTAACAAACCTGTACACAGTACTCTCTCAAAATCACAAAAATACTAACAGGCTGTCCACTCTCTCAGAATCACTATGTCAAGTTTTGAAATTGATGCAAACTGAACTGTATACTAATATTTGTGTTGATAAATTGACTTCAAAATAATACTCTAAGCAAGATCACACCATATCTGTTTACTTTTTAGTGTAGAAGTATTTTTTGATTAAAACATGCTAGAGTTCATATCCATATGGTTCACTGGACTGCAATACTCATGTTATCTAAAGAAATATAAAAAAAAAAAAAGAGTAAGATGATAATTTAACTTTATTTTTTATGTGAGGAGTAGTGAGCAAGTATGATTTAGTTACTGGTAAATTTTTTTGGTGTATTGCACTCCGGTGAATTAGGTCTCCAGACTTGATCTATAATTGCACGATGATAGTGTACTAGAGTAGTAGATAACACATATAGGTTTTCTTTCCTCCTCGATGCATACACAAACTTTACCTATTCTATAGCATTATAATAGTAGATTCAGCATTGTAGTTCACTTGTAGTGTAATAAATCTGTTTGTATTTGGAAAAAAATATATATTTGTATACAAATAGCTTAAAATATTTCAGAAATTATATTCAGTATCCAGTAATATCATAGAATTCTTGTAACCTTATACATGTGTACCCTAGAATTTATACACATAGATAAGTGCATACTATAGAGTAGACCTTAACAATGTTTGCGTTGTTCTCTGTATATGGTATATCTGACTCTCTGTGTTGGTGGCTACTTACAGAAGGGACAGAGGCCGCAGTGTGGGATGACCTGACTGACCAGACTGAGCTCAAGTTTACAGAGGATTGTGTGTCCTTCACCACTAGAGTCTCTGGAAGGTAAGGAACCGAACAGTAAAAATAAATGAGACTGAATATTCAGTAATAGACTTGTTCAGAACTACATTTATCTTCAGTGTACAAATTTTTTTTTTTTGGGGGGGGGGGGAGGGGGGCAATTGGGGATTTAACACTAATGATTTTTCAATGGAAATCTTATTTATAAATTACAATTTTAGCATCAATTCTAGGGCAAAATTAATGAAAATTATTCATTCAACATGACAGTTTAAAAAAAAAAGGGAATAAAAGTCATTTAGTGGGAGTTATCTCCCTTATCAGAGGTTCATTGAACCTTAAAGATCATGCAAGATCCGTGCATTCTGCAATGTTTTATTGGGCTCTCTTTTACAGATTCTGGCTGATGGATTGTCAGAATGTTGCAGATGCTTGCCGATATGCCACAGAACTGTACAAAGAGGCTATTGTAGTTCCCTACATGGCCCGCTTTGTTGTTTTTGCCAAGAGAACCGGAGAAGAAGAAGGAAAGCTCCGCATGTTTTGTATGACTGACGACCGCATCGATAAAACCCTCGAGAAGCAGGAACATTTCATGGAGGTGGCCAGAAGCAGAGATGTAGAGGTAAGGAAATCATACTGGGCATTGATTTGACTGGTTTACATTCAGTGCTGATTGAAGAATTGATATCTTTTATTTTCATTTTCTTTCCAATAGGTGCTTGAAGGACGACCACAGTATGTAGAAATGGCTGGCAATCTAATACCAATCACAAAATCTGGAGATCAACTCTACATCAGCTTCAAAGCTTTTCGAGAAAACCGACTTCCGTGCCTGGTCAAGATTCGAGACCGCGACCAGGAACCTGCTGCTCGAGTGGCATTCATGAAGGAACCCAAGGTGGTCCGTGGTGAGCTGCCCCAGACTCCCATCTGTAACCTCAACATCGCTTTACCAGACATGTCAACTGTAAGTACTCAGACAATGTCTTTTATCATAATTAAGTCTGTAAGATCTTTTATGAATCTGTGTTTTAAGGTAGAGGGGCTGCTGAACAATGATATGGAATTAATTTCTCTAATGCTTGCTTTATTATTTCAGTCATCTTCCATGGAAATGGATCCAGAGGCAGCACTAGAACTTAAAAAGCGATCTTCCTTACTTAGAGAACACGGTATTGGTAAGTCTGCTTTGAACTCCGTATTTCTTTATATAATAGACATGTCTTTTGTGCAGAAATTCAGCTCTTTCACCAAAATCTCCTATAAATGTAAAATAAATTTCATAATTCTAGCAGTGTTTGCAAAATGTGTGAAATTTTATTTTCTGGACAAATATAGTACATACAATATGCATGAAAGGAAGTGAAAAATGCTTTATCTTCTATCTTCCCAAGTGTGTTACTGTAGATGTGTTAGTAAATATTTATGTCAAGTTCACTTGATTAAATCTGTGATGCTAAGTTTCCTTAATCCTTCATTTCTGCTGTATATACATATATGATATGACAACATTGCCTTGTGTGTTTAACACAGTTGTAGAAGATACCGTAAGCAAAGCCAAGATCAATCTTTCGGATGTTGCGGATACACTGAAGGGAGACTGGGTCATTCTTGCCACACAACTCGACATCTCCGGGGATGAGATCCATAAGATTAACAGTGACTATAGGACCGTCAACGACCAGGCCCTAGCCATGCTGTCACTGTGGAAGGACAAGAAAGGAGAGCAAGCCACAGGTCGGGTTGGGTGTAAAATGTTCTAAAGGATACTTGAATACATTTGTCTTCAGTTTTCTATTAAAAAAATTTTTAGGGAGAAATGTGAGTTAATTTTTTGGATTGATTTAATTTTATATCATCTCATGTTACTTATATATAATTATGTCTTTGTCAAATCAGGATTAATTTAAACCAAAATAGGATTTCTCAAGTGCTGTAGACATACTATTTTCATAACTCCATAGAATCTCTATTTCGATAATCAATGTACCTAATCTAAGATGATTTATAATACTGATAGCTTGCAGTAGAAAGATAATAGAGTGAGGGGTGTTATATTATGTCTTAGGGTTCCAGGAAATGCTTTACATATGCACAAGGGTCTTGTGTGTGTTGGGGGAAAGGCACAAATGAGAGAAAATAGCATTTATTTTAACTTTTCTAGGGATTGCATTTTCAAATGCCTTTGTTGATTTTATTGTAGGCAATGAACTAGAGAAAGCACTGAGGAGCATAAACAGAGAAGATGTGGTACAGAAATGTATGTACAATGTAGAAATGGTCCAAGACGAGGTGGAACTGGCAGCAGCTAAAGTAGCCATGGATCAGTCAGGTAAAGTAGCCATGGATCAATCAGGTAAAGGCTCAAAAGCAGCAGGTGCTTGTTTTAGTATGTGAAAGTCAAGGCAAATCATAGGCAGTGTATTTTAGGTATTGAGATTAAAGGATAGTGTGGCATCTCATTATACTGTAAAAATAGAATTTTTAGCGAGGATGCAATTTTGGAATTATTATTGAGGGTGCTGACATGACTAAAATTGAATATCGCTAAAAATTAATTGCGTATTATTTGTAATAGCTTCTTTAGTTAGCATTTTAAAATCGCCAAAATTACTTCTCGCTAAAAATAAAATATCAGTTCTTAGGTAGAAATCGCTAAATTTGCGTCTCGCTAAAATTTCCACTTATACATATTTACTGTGCCTTATGTTATACATGTTAACCTATTGTGATGAAAAATAGGGAGATTCAGACCTCAAAAGCGGTAGCATTGCACGCGCGTTGTTTTACGCTTGGATTATCGATATATTTCATATAATATACATGAATGTAGCCTTAAATGAAACCTACAATAATTAATCTTAAATATCAACAGCACTTTAAAGAAGAAGACAAAAACACCTTAAGTTTGACATAAATTTTACAAATTCAAATATTGTTCATGCTCATCATTTTGTTTGGATTGGCTGTTTAACTTAGCCTTTTGAAGAGTGATCTTTGCTGATATAGCCTAGAAGCAATAATTCTGAATGTTCATTCAGTTGTTAAACAAAACAAATGATGACATGGTTTAACCTATAGATCTAAAACAAGTTCCTATCTTTCGTTATATAAATCAGATTTCCCGCGATGATCGAAAACAAAAGTAGAGATTTGCCACATGGCTTGGTCAATCGAGTGATTTCTATTGACTTTATTGATAACATTGTGAGCTCCTGTGCTTTTATAGACGATGTCAAACGTTTTCATCTAATTCTTAAAAGCTGTATCTCCTTTTTCAAGACAGTGATGTTGACTAAATTTATCGTAACCAATGTAATCAGTGGTAATCTTGTGCTGTTGTCGTTGTCAAATTCGTGCTTGAAATTTATGTACACGTCGATACTAAAAAAGCGTTTGTATGCTTCCGAGTCAAATCACGTGATATCTAACGAGATTTTATGAGAGTGGCTTCAAAAATGGATACCCAAGCGAAGCAAAAATACTTTAGACGCAACTTTTGTAGAAAAGCGGTAGATTTCTGAATTAAATCGGTAGGCGGGAGATGGAGTGAAAAAGCGGTAGACTCCCGCCTAAATCGGTAGAGTTAACATGTATGCTTATGTAAATATTCATACGTATCATGTCATAATTTCATCAATTTTTATCTCCTGTGTCATGTTGCTGTTTTTAAAACACAATCCACTACGAAGCTTCCATACTATATCCAGTACATGTAATATATTGTGTTGCCTAGTTCTTAAATGACTGAGAGCCTCTGTATTTTGTAGGTTTCGACACATTTGAAAAGGAAATTGGAGTTGGCGCACATGACTCCTTGAAACGTAACATGTCACTAGATGTACAGTTTGATGAGAAGAGTGTTCAGAAGGTAGCTTAATTTGTCTGGTGATAATTAAGTGTTGTAATTAGCTTATTGTTTATTATCTTCCTCTTGTGATATTTGTAATGTCAACCTCCATTCATCAAGTTTTTGATTATATTTATTTTCCTTTTAGGTAATTTTTCAATAATTTTATAGGCAGTCATTGCCTACTGATTCTAAAAGTATGTGTTGTCTTTTTGTTTCAAATTGTTTTTGCTTAATTTTTCAGCTTTCAGTTGAGGTGAGAGATATAGTAAAAGTAGTTTTAACCATGCAGATCTAATATTTAATGGAATTTTTAAAATATTTATATTAACCAAGTAGTATTTGATTTGAGCACCATTTACCCATTGATTAGATTTATTAACCAAAGGTTGTAGTTTGAAAAAAAGTTTCTTTGACTGTTAGTAAGGCAGTTTGTTTTAAAAAAAAACAGGTTATGGATTTTTTTAAGCCTAGATTTAAAAAAAAAAGTTATCTCCCTTTAAAAAATAGTGCTTTCCCTTTTTGGAGATCTTTTGTGTTTGAAAACACATTTTATTCATCGAGTCTTGGTGGCATGGGTTTAAAAAGTTCCAAAGAATCTTTTAATGTTCAGTATTCAAGATCACTCAGAAATGATGGACTGTTCAAAGAAATGGCAATTTTTGTCTGAAAATTTTCAAATCTTTTAATCTCTTTTCTATTTTGTTTTATAAGGATTCAGAGTCTGCAGTTGATTCAGCATCTCCTGGAAGCGAGGGACCTGCACCCCAGGCATACGCAGAAGGTAAAAATTTTAATGCTTTAGCTAAGAACCATCACAAGAATGGGTCTTGATTAGGAATTAAACTACACAAAATTTGTTTGAACACAGTGTAAAACTGTGATCAAGACCCATGACCTATATGCACTTATGTTTTGAACAGAACTTTCTATTTAGTACAGGCAGCTGGATTATATATATTGAGCTTTTCTTGTAGAGCTTTAGTTGTTGAGCTTACAGTAGGTTTTGTTAGCATTTCAAGTTCGTTAGAATTCTTTCAAAGCAGAAAAGATATCTTAGATAAATGATATTCTCTCAATTCATTAGATTCAAAAGGCCTTAAGGGGTATTGAATAAAAATTAAATGATAAAGTAAATTCATGTATCTCTTTAAACTTTAAAAATGTTTTTATAAAGCTATAAATTAAAGATTTAAATTATTTCCAACTCCCATTGTAATTTATTTAAAGAATATTTTATTTTAAATATTTGTGCAACTCTATGTACATGTATTAATTTGCCCGAACTGTTGGCTGCAGAGAAATGCTTTATATTTAGTGTTCAATGTTGACAGAGATATATAAATGTCCTGCTTAAACGTACAAGTATTTTGCTTGTTTCTGCTAGATACAGCTCAGTCTCCGAACGACGATTTCATGATCCCTGAGATCAGTGATCGCCGGGGTCTGGCTAAGGAACCAGAAAAGCCAGCAAAAACCAACGACGACTTCTACGATTTAATTGACAAATTGGATAAATACAATGAGTTCAAAGAGAGACAAGAGCAGACCGGGCCCAGTGCAGGTAGCTTTGGCACTGGTTTGCAGCCCCCTGGATGTTGTTAATACTTAATATTGTCAGTTCTACTAATCATGCTCTAGCTCACTTATCCTTGCCATGCCCTGTAATCACTGTTTTCTAGCTGCATTAACTATATAACAGATATACAGTTTAACTTAGCTACCTCGAATATTGTAATCTTGTGTAATGGAAACGTCGAAGTCATTTTGAAATTCCACTTTTCCATGAAGTTTTCAAGGGTTTTTTTTAACCTTTTTTTTCTCACAATACAATTGAGTGTGAGATAATAAGGTTTGACTGTTTCTAGTTATGATATGAATTGGTGTTTGTTTCAGTATTGCAGCAACATCTGAATAAAAGAAATAGGGATGTCAAAATATTAATTTTCCTTAGTCGAACATTCGATTGCATTATTCGAACGATAGTCGACTATTCGGAGCATTTTATTATTATTTTTTTTTTTGATAGCACGGTGTTTCTGAAAGCTTATTAATTAAAATAAATTGGAAAATTGAAAAAAAAAAAATGGAAATGGGGAATTGTAAACACACACTATCCACATCTCCGATGAAAATGTTAAATACTGTTTGTTTAATTTATGATTGCCCAAGCTATATATCAAAATGTCTTTTATGTAAGATTATTGTGTTAATAATCATCGAACGGCTATGCAAATATTGTGTGTTCCCAAGCATTTGAAATTCGTAGAGTTTATAAATATAATTGGTAGAAGTCAATTAAATAATTTTCATAGTCCAGTATATAGCGTCGCATAATTTACTAGGTACAATAACAAAAAAAGTCAGTGACTGAGAAATAATTACCGCAGTATGTAATTACTGTATTTTCCATATGTACAATGTAGAAAATTATTTATATACTGTGACTGTGTTTGAGCTCTTATTCGTCTGAGGACATCCACTATACACCTGTATAGTTTGGGGAAGGACCCTTTTTCAATTTTGAGATGAAAATTTCATTATCATCAATTTCATTATCATCACCCTTTTCTTGCATTTATTTAATATTCGAATGTTGTTTCATTATTCGATCGTCGGTTCATTCGACTGACAGTCGAATAGTCGACTATTCGTTGACATCCCTAAAAAGAAATCATCGAATAGAATATACTATGGATTTTAGTGTGCATGATTTTTCAGATTATGCATGTCAGCCTTATATTTGGCTGGATTGTGAAGTCCAATCTGTGGATTGAGATATGTTCATCTGTCTCATCAGTTCCATGTCAAGTCATTATTTGATATAAAAAATACAGTCATTAATTCAACTTCACACAGAGTCAAATAAGGATGATACACAGGAACATTTGCCTATAGCTTGTCAATTTACTTTGAAATGAAAACTATACACATTTATACTGTTTAAGATAACATATTATCATTTTCATCTGTTAGATAAACGTTAATTTTATTTTACCATTTGAGTTTACATTTGTCTAAAGTTTTATTGAAGTTAATGAAATTTTTGTAGCTTGGATAAGAATGCCCCAATTCTATCATCTTGCTAATTAGGTGCATTAAAAACACAAACCAGTACTTATGCATGTTAAAAATATATACAATAAACATGGTTTAGGGACTAATTAATACTGTAAAGAAATAGAAATACATGTATCACTTTGATATGTTATTTATTTTTATAAATCCATACTTAAATGATACAGTATATGAATAATAGGATTGACACAGGTCCCTGAAAATAAGTACCAAAAAAATGTAAATTGTCTGCATGATCCATGTTTTGGTAAAGGCTTTGCATGTACATGTTAAACGTGCAAGCTGTTTTTATTTTATAATATTGATTCCATATAAATTTAAAAATATGATGAAAAGGAATAAGCTGTATTAATTAAACTATGAATGGGTTTATATTCAAATTTAACATGATCCTCATTTTAAATTTACAAGTATAAACATTATGTACACATTATCAAATTACAGATTTAAATATATTAATATGATTAATAATCATGGTGATGGGATAATCCAAATATATTTTGATTGTTAATTAATTTTTTTCAGATAAAAATACAGAATAAACTTTTTAAAATGATGTACATGTTTGGTAATATGGCATTGTTTAGAATGTGAGTTTAATAACTATACTTATTACAACACAGATATCCGAATGGATGAATCCCAGACTATAGCTGAAGAAGAAATGACCTCTACCAAGAAAGAGAGACCCAAATCTGAAGAGATTATTTCCAAAGTGGAAGAACTAAGTCAACAGATGGCCCCTGCCCCTCAGGAACCTAAAGATCTGCTCCCCGCCCCCACACAGGAGCCCACAGAAGGTATGGAGCGATTACCTGTATCAATCTACCTGTTATAATTGCATTGTGCATGATCTCCGGCTGGTGATTTGGTGCATCTAGAAATAAAGTGTTTACTGATCTCTCTTCTGTGAACGATACATTAAGATCTTAAAATGTGCTAATGAGAAATCATATGGAGAATGATACCTATATGTCAAGGTCATACAATGACATTAAATAGGAGGAAGTAAAATGTAAAATTGTCATTTACTAGTACTAAACCAAGTGGCTATTTTCATTTCATCTCAATGTTGGCTTTAAATATTTGGCACTTGACCAGCATGTTGACTTTCAAGTAAAATTTTATATTGATCGAGTCACAGCTTCATTGGTAAAGAGAGCAGAATGGAAAAAAAAGTCTCACCTTCATCATCAAAATACATACTTTATGTTCACAGCTTGAAAAATATTGATTGATAATGAAAAAAAAGCATTCACATAAAGATTTTCCAAACACACATTGGTATGGCCTGACCATGCACATTTCCTTTTCTCATTATACTCTTCTTCAGCATATGATGTTTGTTTTAGATATCTTGAGATGAATCATTTAGCTTTGGATTCTGTGCATGAATATTCTCATGAATTCCTTACTATGTAGAAAAACCACGTAGCACTTGAAGATCTTTAAAAAAAAAAAAATTGATCTGCACATGCTATATAACAGATCCAATTATTTTGGGTGTCAGGATATTTTATTGTCTAGATATTATCAACTACCCAGGTCATATGCAAGTAAAAATATTTCTTAAGATTCTTCATCAAACTGATCACTCATATTTCAGAACAAAAAAAAAACGTTAAAAAAAATCATTTATAATCAAAATACACAAAAATTCAACATATAGAAATGGTCTTTCAACTTGATTTTTTAAATGAGAGTTATTTCTCTTATTAAATCTTGCATACATTTTTGAAGGTTTTAAGAAAGGGGCACATTTACTAAATACTGTCTAAGAAACCCTAGACTCTCTGTGGTTTTTGTAGTATTTGTTAGGAATAGACACAAACTAATTGATGGTCAAAGAAATGGTTTTGTAGCATTTGTTAGAAGTAGTTTTGAAAAAAAAACTAATTGGTGCCTATACACCTTTCTGCATTTGTCCACTATTGACTGTTTACAGATGAGGAGGGCACTAGGACCCCACCTCCTAGCCCCGTGGAGGGAGAGTTTGTACCAGGTACTATCAACACTCATGGAATGTGTCTGCCTACTCCTGCTGCACAAAGCATGACAAAATGGCAATTTGAAACATGTTTTTGAATTTTACTAAGTGCTATTTTTTTTGTGCTTTGTATCATTTAATTTCAGTTAAAAGTAAGATATTGTGTTTTGGGTACATTACACTTCTAAGTCAGAGAAACAAATCTCCTCTGGGTAAATTGATGGTTAAAAGTGCTGCTTAATTGTTTGGGAATTTTGAATTTGGTTCTCAAGAATTCTTTTTTTTTTTTGGGGGGGGGGAGGGGGTTAAAGTATTGGTAAAGCTGTCTTAGTACAGAGGAGGGGCAGACACAGGTATTAACTTGTTGTTCCCTTGTTATTGTATTCATTATAGATATACCACACTCTGTATAGTATAATATGATGGAGTGGTGTTCATAAAATTTGTTCTAACTTTTAGAAACAATATGCCTAATTCTTTTAACTAAAGGTTTGACCCTCTAATACAAAAGCTTGACCTTTAACCGTCACTGTTTCAAAAATAATATTTGATGCAATAATTATTCAGCACTGGTGTATAATACAGTAAATTCTCTATATAATAATTAACACATCTAAATTCTTAGTCATTGCTTTAGAATTTTAATGCTTAACTTTAATATATTGAGTTAATATGAAGTTAAAGTAAGGATCATGCTGCTTTCCATTAGAATGATATATGAAGTGGATTGTTGTGTGTGCATTTTTCATAGTATATCTTGCTTAGTGGGATAATGAAATGCATTAGAGGAATGACTGGAAGCATATTGTTTGAGCATAGTTTATGGATGTGACTGGTTTAGATGTGCAAGTTTTGAATGTTAGATGTGAATTTATGGCCTTAGTGATTTACAGTAATTCAAGTGTTATTATATTGCATTCATCTTTCATAAATTCATTTTCATAAATAAGTACATGAATATGTTTGTGATCTACACAAGACTTTAAAAGTATAAAAACAGGGTCTTGCTTTGTCCAAATGGTTACCATGGAAACTTTTAGGACATACCATTCTAGTTTGTGGTTAACATACTGTAAATGTATTATATTTGGCGTGTACGATATTTGGCGGAAACTGACTTTTGAACAAGTTAGTGTAGATTTGATTTAGCGCATTTCTTAATGTTCTTATTTAGGAGTATATGTGCAAGACATTTGGCGTTGTACTTGATTTAGCGGAAGTTTCTTTCCGCCAAAGGCGCTAAAAAGAATACACAGCCAAATGTAAAACGTTTACAGTATAGAAGACATAATAATAATAAATTGGCAGAGAATTTCCTGTAAAATGTTTCTGGAACAATAAAATCTGTTGAACTTAGTGAAGGAAAGGGCATAATCAACACCAGCCCTAGTTTAATGTGAGACTCAAATGTTATCATTAAGTACTGCTTAATTTTTTTTAATACTTTGGAATTTGAGAATTTTAGTTAAAGATGTTATGGTTCTATACCTTAAAGTTATATCATTATAAGTTGATTTCCTGGTTTCTAATTTCATTATTTGTTTATAATTTGATAGAAATGACAGAATTCTAAGGAAAAAACTAATTTTGAATACGAACTTAAATATCACGAAACCACTAACCTTTAAAAATCTTTAAAGAAATATTTTTGCATCTACAATAACTAAAAATATATTCCCTGTAATTGTTTTAAGAATTTGGAACTAAAAATATTCTCCAGTGCACTCTTCTACCTTTAATTAAACCTTTTTAGCTACATACACAGCAAAATGAATAAAAAAGAATATCCAATATTGAAATTTCGGCTCAAATCCATAAAATGTATTTCAAAAGTACTAAAGCTTCCTTTAATGCTCAAACTTAGAACAAGAACAACTGGTTCATGAGATTGAGGATGCAGTTGAACAATCTGTTCACGAGGAAGATGAACCAGAGGAGGAGGAGGAGGAAGAGAAGGAGGAGACAATTATTGAGGAGACCTTTCAGGAGTCTGATGATGGTGTAACATGGAGGACCGTCCGTAAAACAACCATCATCACTCCTGAAGGTCAAACCGAGAAATTTGAAGTTTTAGGAGGTATTCCACATTGTCTGTGGAGGCTTTCAGTGTGTTTTTCAGAGACTTCCTTCCAAACTTTTTAAGGAAGGAAACTGCTTCAGTTCTCCTTGCAAGCTTTAGCTGTTTTTTTTAGTTGCAAATTTTAAATTACAGATACACATGTTGTTTTTCCTATTACAGGTTTAGTTGTTTTCTATAAAACTATTCTATTTTCTTCCTAGCACTTCTTTGGTGCTGAATATAATGACCTAAATATATCCCTTCTCTATCTGTACATAGGATCTGGGTACACTTTCAATGGTACTAACACACATATCTTTTCTCATTTTATTCATTCTTGATCTGAGAGCATGTGATTACAATGCATGTTTCTGTGTTGTATAAATTATCTATTTATAAATTATATATATGGTTTTTATTTCTCACTTTTCAATCTATGCAGCTAGTTGAATTTTAACATTCTTTTAGTGGACTTAACTCTACCTGTTGATATTTATTTTTTTTTCACTTATTAAAATATGAAAGTACTCTATGCATAAATGTACAGGTATTTTTCTTTGCAATTAACATACAGATTTACTAATTTTATTTCTGTAAATGAGACGTAGATTTTATGACATTTTTTCCCCTCGTCTTTCAGAGGAGTCCCGGGCCCAGCAGGCTGCGGTCGGTGAATTGGCTGCTCGACTTTCGACCACAGAAGAACCCCAAGAACACCCCGGGGAAACGGGTGTGTAATTTGTCAGTCTTATGTGGTTATAAGCAACATCTGTCTATGCATAGACAACCAGTATGATTATATATACATGTCACAGAGTGCAATTGAATTGCTGCCATTTCAAATTCCAACCCAAACCTCTCTTTTACTCTTTGTTCTGTATTTGGTTAAACAAGATTGGAGTGTTTTTTATTAAATCAACTCTAAGAAAAAATGCATGTTCCATAATTAAACCCGTTCAGAAAAGCATTTATTTTCTAGGTCTAGCACTTTTTATTAAAAGTTAAAATTAAAACCAGACCCTGGATTTGAAATGGTACTTTTCTATATTTCGGATGTCAAGATATTTCAAATGTATAGAATGTTTGGACTAATCATTCTCAGGAATTCTAAAAATATTCCATGACTAGGAATCTTGTTTAAAAATTCTGAATTTGAAATGAATTGAAAGAACATTTTTTATTTTCATACTTCTTTAGATAGTCCTTATATGTGAAATTATTTTATATAATTTAAAGATGTAGCTAGTTTATAAAATAACTTGCAGATGTAACCTGCTAGTGTAGAGTGTGCAATATTTGCTAGCAATTTGATACATTTGAAATCTCTGCCATTTTAAAAAAACATGTAGCTCCACAAATTTTAGTCAAGTGTATGAAAATCACTGTATATTTTGTATGAGTCACTACTAAAATGATAACAATTTCAGACTGAAACCATACTGTTTCCTCTAAAGACTTCTCTTTATATGAGTAAAGTTTAACAGATTTCAGCTGTAGCAACAACCTTTTTGCAATTTTATCTTCAGGAATCTCAGAATATTTGGAGATGATTTTATAATACTCTACATGTTTTATTGCAGTTTTATTATATTGCTACTCATGTATGTGCAGCTAAATTTTTATAGATAATATATCTATATATGTTTTATGCATACTTGATATTATTAGAATGCTTAAAGGTTGAAGCAGTTGAAAACTTGTTAATTGTTACTATTTATATACATGTATTAGAACTTGTCCAGATTTATCAAGTTGTAGAGATTTAATTATTTATGCATGCTTGAAAAGGATTTCTTATTTAGCTATTCTGCTTTCTTATGGAGAATTCATTTATCTTCTTTCAATTTATGTTCACCAACTTTGTCAAAAAATGCTTAATTGCACTAATGTTGTGATGCAATAAAATTTGGATTTAGTGTAAAATAAAAAAAATGAGCTTGTTTTTTGACTTCCTTTGTTTTCAAGTTGTTTGCTTCACCATGGTTGACAAGATATTGCTCAATAAATGTTTTAAAAACGAAAAGTGAAAGTGTAACTTCGACAAATAATGTTTTGTCATTATGCTGGTGAAATCACATGATCGGTTTGATAATGGTTTGGAGTTCTAGATCTCAGACAATGTTCCAGTGACACCCACTTCCTACACATCGTAACACCACACACAAAAATCCCTATAGTCTTGTCTCTGTCTTTGTTTTAAAATTTTTTTGTTTCTTTTTTTCTGCTGCACTTGATTAATCATATTGCTATTTTTGTGTGAAATATATATATATGCAGCTTTGTTCTGGAAAAAAAAGTTTTTCTTAGATAAATTTGGAAAGAGTCTGAAAATTTTGATTGCATGGTCCTTGGTCTGATTTTAACACTTTTAAATGTATTTAAAATAACCATTGTTGTTGCTTTGTCCTCCCCGAAAAAATTGTATGCTATAACTTTTGTAGAGCTTTAACCGATTTTGAAACTAGTCATATCTTGTATAAAATTTGATGGGATAAAATGTGGAAAAATATGAATTGGAGAACAATGCTATATTCTCACTTTTAGTTTTTAGTTTAAGATAGAATTTTTTTTTTCAATAAATTTATCTTGATTTTGAGAATTTTCTGGCAATTGTTTGGTGAAATTTCTTTTTGTTTGGTTAAGATTTTTGAATTTGTAAGTTGATACCCCATAATCTGTGATTTCTCCAGCCTAAAAAAATCTGTCGGAAATTATAAGATGCATAAATTATCAGAGCAAAATTTTGTCAGTAGCTGTGCTCTTTTTTTCTATTTATTTGGTTTTCACCTGTTTCTGCATGCAGCTTTATTTATTTTTTTATTTTTTTTTTGGCACTAAATCATCAGATCTTTTTCTTTCAATCACATTTCTTTATTCACCAAGTAACAATACATAAATGGTGTATCTAAAGTAACATTAAAAAAGAAAAACGTGAATCTTTAACAGTTCATCTAGATAGGATTTTATTCATATTTTCTACAACATGGATCAAAAGCAATAACTTTTGGCATGGCATCTTTCTTCAGTCATTTTAAAATGCAGCCAAGTGTCGTGACATTTTCTCTCCACTTGATCTGCATGAAGTAGAGGAACACATTACTTCTATAATCCTCATCCTCTTGATCCTCATGTTTGATAGAAATACATGTATATCCTTTGCAAAGAAATCGTCCATCCTTAGGTTTTATAATTATGTAGAGACTGACATCAGTCCTTGGAGATAGGTATCAAGGATTTCACTTTTACCCCCACATCATGTGTGACCAAGGGTACTTTAACCTTCATTGTCATCTTGTCCATGTCTTTCCTTATAACATGTATATTTATTCGGAGTTTTGACTAACTGGTTGCTGTTCCAAGCTATTGCAGAGTGTATGTCTGGCTTCTTCTAACTCAGCTAGTTGCATCCCATGTAGCAACTGAACATTAACCATCTCCTCACCCGTATGCTAAATTGCTGTTGCACCTTCAATTTTCAGAAATGGCAGAGGAAGTTCTTGATTCACAGAAGGTGCAGACAACTGAGTCTGCTGCTAAACAAACAACAATGCAAATCATGGAATCTGATGTTGATACTGGTTTGCCAAGTGTGTCAGACCAGAAGGAACCAGATATGGAAAGGCTTGTGGAAAGTTTAAAAACTGATCTGTATGAAAAGGAGAAGACAGAGAAAAGTGGTAATGAGTCTGATGTTTCATCCATTGTGAGTTCAGACACTGAAGGAGAATTTAATATTGCACCTTTACCCTCAGCTGCTCCAGATGCAGGAAGTAACAGACCTGTTGTAGGTCGACAAACTTCAGATGAGAGGAAAAGAAAGAGGACAGATTCATTGTCTTCTTCTTCCCTCTCTGATGTTGAGGATAATTTAGAAAGTATGGAAGAGCTTCCTGAGAAAGAGCCTGTGAAGCCAAAGTCATCACTGCAAGATGCTGGTAGCCGTCAACCTAAGACTAGTCATGTTCATTTCAAAGAGGAAGAACTTCCTAGCTCATCATCTTCTTCATCATCTTCATCAAATGAAGATGAAAGTCAAGAAACACCCTCTAAGAGAGCTGAATCTGAATCATCTGATGTTAAATCTCCTGGTCCCACTACACCAAAAACTGACAGAATGGAAGAATTTCAGTTTGTAGAAAAGCCTGGTACTGAATTCAAGGATGGGAAGTCTGTAGCACATGATAAGCAGGAAAAAGGTGGTGGTGATGTTCCAGTAAAAGTATATAAACCTTCATTGACTGCCCAAGATACCATTGAAGAAGGACTCAAAATGCTTCCTGATGATGTCAAGAAAACTGGAGAGGAACCAAAACCAATAGCAGATTCAGACGTTGAGAAACAAATTGTTCAGGCACCAGCTCCCCCTAAAGAGGAGGGCAAAGAAACCTCTTCCTCTTCCTCTTCTTCCAGTAGTAGTGATGATGAAGAAAAGAAACAAAAAGAGGCAATTAGAGAAGGCTCATTTAAGGAGCCAAGCACGGATACTAGGGAAAGCAAAACTGAAAAACCCCTGGCTGATTTCAGAGAAGGATCAATTGAAAGGACTGAACGATATGAAGAGGTGCCACCAAAAGAGCAGACCCAAGTTCGTCCACAGGAAGAAAAACGTAAAAGCCAATCTCCACTTGAAGAAACAGCATCCTCACCTGAAAAGGACTCAGGTGATGGAGTACCTTTCACTGATACTGCAAAGCGTTTGAAACGAATGTCATCCTTGCAGCAACAAGAAGGTAAACATATCTTCAGTGAATCGTAAGGAATATTCACACTCACTTTGATGAAAAAGTTAGGTTTGCATATAGACAAAATGTCGATATACCATTGCATGTGTAGGCATGACTGATAGCATTGATATGTTATCCTTTGTTTCTAAATTCACCTCACAAACCACATATACATGTAGATGCCATGTCAAGATAATGGACATATATTTGATAGATTATACAAGTACATGTCTGGCATTATAGTTTTTTCCCTACAAACATGATAATCAATGGCAAGGTTACATGAAATTAGAATTTTAAGTAAGAATTAACCAGGCAAAATTCGTTAAACCATTTGTATGGACATGGGCTTAGACATTTTTCAAATACTCAAACTAAACAGGTCTAGAACTCCCTAGAGAATATTTAAAAGCCAGTCAATGGGTAGTTTATTCCGTTCCATTTGTTGATTTCATCGATTTGATGCGAAGAGAATGCAGGCATTCATGAGCATTGCTGTCCTGGAAACGAGTCGTCTGAGGATGTTAAAGGAAGTAGAATTAATATTAATTTTTATCTCACTTTAGTCAAATACTCAGGTGAATGTTACTGATTAAAATTTTTTATTATTTCCTAAATCTTTCACAATTTCATCCTCTCCAGAATCATTTGGGAAATTTTATTCAAATTTGCCATCCTCCCTTGGATGAAGGAGATTCAATGGATTTTTCCCTAAAAGATTGACATTGTAACGGGGAGAGGGGGGTAGGGAGTTTAAGAATTTGTAAAGATTGGGAAGTGGCAAACAATTGGTGATATAAGTTTAAGGAACAGTTAATAGGGCATTTTTAGGGATATTACTTGATTTTCACGCATTCACAGGTAGTGCATACAAGTCATGGTGGCTCCTGCGGTAAATTTGGACCACAGTAAGGGGGTGATCATTTTAGAATGGAAAAATGTGAGGATACTAAAAATGGACTGATTGATATAAAAATTTTAAAATACATATCCACAAATAATACAATCAGTAATCAGACCTACAATTTGGGCCCCAGGAAATGTCAGAGGTGGGATTAGGTAGGTGCTTGGAAGGAAGAAAATTTTATTTTGAAACATCTTAAACAAAAGGACGAGTGTTGCATTATAAAGTTTTCAATTTTTCTTCAAAAATTGAATCATAGGTTTATAGTAAGGCTTAAATCAGGGAGCAGTTTACAAATAGTGGTTACTTCTGTGGAACATTAAGGTCATGTTCATCTTGATGATACTGCAGCATGCCCAGGATATGTCATATTAGGTAATAAGTCACAACCCTTCTAGACTAAGTCGGGGCTACAATGAGGAGAAGAATTTGGTTTAAAGATGGAAAATAACTTTTTAATACCCTGTCGTGAAAATTGAGACTGATGGGGTGTCAGTCTGTCCATTTCTCATGGGGTAGGCACCCCTTATCTGCAACCCCCCTCCTGTACCACAGCATAATATATTTAATGAGACTCGCAGATAATTATATAGTAGTATTGTTTTAATTTACTTTTCAATGAGAAATCTTATTTTTGTTTTCTATATCAAAACATGGGACACTGCCATTCTTTCTGTAACATTAGAGGTAGTGCCAAGGGAATCTCCTTTTTAACGTTTTGATCGGACAACTATTTGGAGTTTCCCATAACAAGACGATCTTTGAATTTAGGTCATCTTAAAAAATTGCTTGCCCTTTTCCCACTCTGAATTTTAAAAAGTAGACAGATGGGGGAAAATTTTAAATTCAAATGAAGTTTAATTAATTATGAATGGAATGAGGAAAGTTTGGAATGAATTTCCTGAAGGATAGAAAAAGTCGGGCCGTTTTCACTACATCGACAGGGAGTGGGCGAACAAATTTTCAAAGATAGCCTTATATTTGATATAGGGATAACATGTTAACTTAACTCCTCATAAACCCCTTAATGAAATTCAAGTGAACTTTCACAGAATCTTATTTACATATTTCCATTAAATGCACTTTGTCATTATACTAATTTATAGGAGGAGGGTATCATTTTGTGAGCTCAGTGTTCACAGTACTTCTAGTTTAATCTTGTATTGAAGTACAGGAAGATTAGGATGATTCAGGTGAGCGTTGTGGCCCATGGACCTCTCTATAGTGTGGTATCAGGCAGTTAAGGGGATATCTTTCAATTCACATGTGAACATGAACATTGCTACTTACGAAATTTTAAGTTCCTCGTGTAGTTCCCGATATCAGTCAATGCAAAAATTATTTCATTCATAATTTTTACATTCTTGACAGATGATAATTATTTTTTAAACTGTGTATAATACTTAAAATTGAAGAATTAATCCTATTAAATATATTGAAACATGTCATGCAAGTTCTTCAAAAGGGTACTAGTAGCTACGGGAATGTGAAATATTATGATATATTAGCTTTTAAAACCATGTGATGAAACGTTTGTCAAATCCCGAAAATTTGAAACATAAAAGTTAATCAAGCAATGCAAAACATGTTATTAGAAACATTCTTATTTACCTTTTTGACCCCGAATAATTAAATCTTGAAACTGTAAAAGTTTTTAATAGTGACTATGCTATATATTTTATTAAAACGTCATACATATTGACTTCTGAAACCACATGGTGCATTATTCCGTTTCCCCCAAAATTATTCCACTCTAAAAAAGAGCATGATTTAGTCTCAACTAAACCACCACCATCTATGCTTTGGAGGTTGTGTTTGACTTGATACCTTGAAATAATAAATATGCCTTTTAACCCCAGCAAAGATACCGAAAAAGTTGGCCAGGTACTATAATTAAATGTCCTTTATCAAGCAGTGTTATCAATAAGGCCTAGTTAAAACCCGGATGTTAATTTTTAATCTATAAATAATGCGCAGTTTAAAGAATTACTTCAATGGAATTATATATACGCGGAAAATACATAAGGTGTGAGTACACAATTTTATAAATAGGCCAGTCATATTTTGTTCATGCCAGTATTTACTAGTAAAAAGATATTGCAATGTTAAATTTAGAAATTCTGGTGAAGAATTGTCTTCAAAACGGAAGTTGAAATGATGCAAATTATTCTGGTGCGTTAGAGAAAAAATAAACATTATTCTTTTACAGGCAAATGCCTTGTCATGTAGACTGCAAAACGTAAATGTTTTTTTATTTAAACTTATTTAGTATTCATTTATACGCTGTACTGAGTCATATATTGAGTATAAGCATATCCTGCTTTTTGCTTCGAAGTTCTCTCCATCATAGGGAGAAGAGCTCTTAAGTACCTATTTCTGTGTATCCTGAATGAGTTTGCGTCATTTCATACTAGATGTTATAGCCTGATTATTTTTTTTTAAATTTGATTTCTGTTCTAGTTTCTTTATCTCTTCTTCAAGTTTCGTTATTTGCTTGCTTTTCAATTATTCATGAACGCACTTGTTAGGGGCATATGTTATTTTAACTGCATGGTTCAAGGTCAATGTCGTCGTATCAATCTTGCATTCCAGTCTTTGAAAGCGAACTCGTTGAAGAAGAAGCATCGACCAAAGAAGAAGTCTTAGCAGATGGATCTAAAGTCATACGTAAGAGATATAAATCCGGGGATTCCAACAAAGGCGATAATGGAGAACAAGAAAGTATGGAACTCGTGGAAGAAGAGGGCCCAGAGGTAGAAGATGTAAAATATGAAGAAGACGAAGAGGTGCTTGACGATGGAACAGTTCATAGGATAAGTCGTACTCGACGCCAGTCACTAAAGCATATTAAACGTACATTGATTTCGGAAAGCGGTGAAGAGGAGGAAATTTTCGAAGGTGACGTGGCAGTACCAGGAAAAGCTAAAGAAGATGTAATTGAAGTTTTTGAAGAGCCAGCAAAGCCTATTACAAAGGTGGAGGAGGTAGAGGTGACTCAAGATGATGGAAAAGTTGTAAGGAAAAGGATGATTATGAACAGGATGGTCAGCAATGTCAAGACTTACCACCAATCTTTCGATGATAGCGGAAACTTAGAAGAAGACGAATATGAGGTTGAGGCCATCATTCCTGGTACTGAAACAGCTTTTGTCGAAGGTGATGATACCACCACAAGCTCTAGTGAATATAGCGAAGACGATGACGACGATGAGGAAATTGACGTACAGGACTTAGACAGAATTGACGAAGAATGTCAAAGTGGAACAACGGTCACCACTAGACAATTTACCAAACAGACAATTACCTCGAGCACTTTTGGAACAGGTAAGACGCTTTGTCTGGAAAATTTAGCCCAAGAAAAACAGGAAAAGTAAGTATTAACAGTGATACTTGAACGAGTCTTGCAGAGGTGCAAAGGTGAGTAAGATTTGTTTATATTGCATATGGGTAACTAATAAAAGGCAGGTTCGCCTGATGCACAAGTAGAAATCTGTCGGCATGAGCAATGTTCTCTTTGGACGATGCATGTCTGTAAAAATATATATTTATATAAAGTTTTTTCATTTATGTTTAATTTGATTTGCAATTCTGAATTGCTTTTAATTTTCGTAAAAAAAAATCTAATCGAATTACATTTGCTCAGGCGGCGAACCTAAAGAGTTAGAAGAAACAGGGCTTGTAAAACGAGTCGTGAAAAAAGTGACGTACGACCCCGGACAACCAGACCTGATTTATGATTCCCCTGAGTACGATGACGAAGGTAGCTTTGTATGGCGAATGCAAACTGCACCATTCATTTGACCCCAACAACCCAACTAATGTTTTAACTAAGTCTAACTCATATCAAATTCACATTAGAATCACAAAAATATTATTTTCAAGATTTTTGCAGTGATAATATCGCGCATGCAATTCTGCGTAAGAAGTGTATATTTTTCACTAAGTATTTGCATGAAGTTGGAGTGCAGTGATTTTTTTGTCGATATGGAAGGCTTATACAAACGGAATTTTACTATGTACGGAACTGGCAAAACAGTTCCACCAAATATTATTTTATAGATTTTTATTATATAATAGATTTCGTATAGATGTAGAACCTACAAATGCACGAAATGATATCTATAATAGACTAGACTACCGCGGTAATACATTGTACCTCGACCTTTAAAAATGACATTTAAACTATGTTGACGTCATGGCTTGACTGACATAATGTTGCAAATGCATTTGTTGTGCCCGTTTTGATTTCAGTTTTTTCGGAGATAGAAACACCTGTAATAACTATTACCGAAGACAATTCTAAACCCGTCAGTGAAGGCGACGACCACTTGGCTTATTTCGGATATAAGTCGTCTCCAGGTTAGAAAGATGGGGTAGTTGTATTTCAGTGGAGTGGTCATTTGTATTACGTCCTTTCATACTCAGTAACTGCATATTTGATGTTGTCACTTGGGTAATTGCTCATATTTGGGACAGTCTTTGGCAGAACTTTACGTGGACTTTCATCATGTTAAGAGGAAATGAAATTGTTTTCTTCTCCATTATATTCTGTCCTTTTATGTAAAGCCACGTTTTTTGTTTCTTTGTTCCTTTTATTTAACCTTGGTCTTAGAATCCGCATTTTCTTTTCGTCAGTTTTCAGCTTTTGAATTTCTATTGACTAGTGACATTGTTCTATTCCGCATGAGGTGTTTTGATTTCTATTGTAGAGACTTTTTTCCCCATCATTCAGTTTAATTTTTATAATTTATTATTTGGTTCATTTGTATGTGTTGGAATCATGCAATTTATACTAAAATATCCGAAGTTTAAATTTTTTGTACAGAAATCTTTATTCTGATGAATTATAAGGAGTGGACATTTAGTTAAAAAAAACACGATATTGTATTCTTTTTAAAAAATGAAAAAGAAGTATATTTCCATTTGCTTGATTCTGACAGCTTATTTTTTAAATACACATTTGATATTTTAAAAATTATTTTAGATGACACCGAATTATGGATCGAAGAAAGCGACATAGAAGATGATGCAGGTAGAACGTGAATCCACTTTCCAGTTTGTCACTGTTGTAGAATTGTTCTAATCAATAGCACACCTTTCAGAATCCTTGTATGGAATGTTATGTGTCCTGCTCTCCAATGGAATCATATCTTGATGGTCTAGCATGGATTTTGTCTACACCTTTTATGTGATTATTTAGATTCATTCTGACACAATATCAGAATTATTGGAGATATGATCAAAGGAAAAATATATGTTTTCACTTAATAACATTTAGAAAGAAAATTTAAGTTTGAAAATGAAAACAAGAGATATTTTCCAGTTTGAATCTGAGATGGCCACATAATTGCATTTTGCTACAGATACTCAAAATAGGAAAATAACTTACCCTTTATTTTTCAGCATATATACTAGTAGATGTTTCCCCAACAGAGACACGTGTTGATTAATTTTTAGAAAATTAGCATAGTATTTGATACACCTTATGTACACTTTTTAAAAAATCCTAACAATCTTTCTAACACATCTCAATCTCAATCTTTTAATGCTGCTTTTCTCTGGAAATTGCTATGGATTGTTCAGAATCTTTAAAGGAAGTGGAGGAAGAAAATCAAAAGAGCGTTGCGGAGATTGTACACATGTTTGAAAAAGATTCTCAAAAACAAACAAGTACACTCCAAGATTCTGATGTGTTAGCAGAAAATGAACAGTCGGCTTCTTGTTTTGCTGAGAAGGAAGTCGTTATAATTGAAAAGACCACTGAAGTTACAAAAGAAATGGAGCATGTTGATGAGTTTGTGCATGATGATTCAAAACCTGTTAAAGTGCATCACATGGTCGAGGTGTTCGAAAAAATAAGCAGCCAATCATCTATTGATGAGCCGTCAACAGACAGAAAAACTCATCTTGATCAAAGTGTAACAAAATCTGCCAAAGGTCATGAAAAAACTCGCTCAGAAAGTTCTTCAAGTGAAAGTAATACCTTTATTAATCAAGAAGGGAGTAAGACTTCTAGAGATGACAGACTCCCTCTCGAGAGTTCACATTTGTTAGATGGTACGCAGGAAATTGAAAAACCTGACAAATTAGAATATAAGGAAGTGTCACAAGAATATGAAATAACTGAAGAAATAACTTCGCCGCTTGTTATAGAAACGGTAAGTCCAGTAGCCAGAATAGTTGAAGACATTGAAACAAATATTTCAAAGTTAGAAGAAGCAACGATGATGGAACAGGTTGTTCCTACAGAAGAGGTGTGTGAATTTATTGTGAAAGAACCTGAACCACAGTATACATCTTCAAGTGAAAGTTTAGATAACATAACAATGTCAAGAGTCAGTGAAGAAGTGCAATACACTGATGAAATAGAATCTGCACGCGAAGAAACCCTGGCAGAAGAAATGGATCAAGATATGTTATCTCAGAGAGCAGAAAAATCAGAACTTTCAAATTTACAAGATGAAGTTGAAACTTTAGAAAAGTTGGAAAATTTTACATCTGAAAGAGACATTTCACCCGTATGTGAACAATCAGTTTTACTGCATCAACCAGGTGATCAAGAATCAATGTTGGAGGCAGAAGAAACTATGGAACCAAATGTTTTGAAGTCCTCATCAGTAACGGTTGTCAAGCTATATACAGATGAACAAGGTGCAGATGACAATGAAAATGAATTTGAAGTGTTGAGTACAGAAGAACAAAATGCTACAATCGTTTCACCCATTGCACAAGTCAAAAGCTTGGATGAATATCAAGTTATTGACAAGCAAGAACATTCAGAGGAAGAAAAAATAGATATAACTGATATTCAATACCAAGATGCAAAATCAGAGATTTCAGTGAAGACCTTGGTTGAATCTCAAGATGAGTATGAACTTGTAGACAGTACCAAGGAGCATCCAGATAGGGATAGTGTTGAAAAATCAGCTACGTCAGACGAAGACTGGGAACTATTGGATAAAGATGAAATTGAAGACATCCCAGATGAAACCATTGTTTCATCTGAACCTGAAATTGATCATCAAGAGATAAGCACTGAAGAACAGCAATCGAAATCATGTATTCCAATTGATGATGGTGGACTTGAGTCTGACGAGGATCTTTCTGAGGATACAACAGAGATTGCTGATCGCTCAGAGACGTGTGACATAGAAAGTCCTATAGAATTCAAACAACCCTTAGAGAAATTTGAAGAAAGCAATGAGACAAAGACTGTGCAATTTGACAATAAAGTATTAGAGGTCAAGTCAACATCAACTGGCATTGAATCATCTGTGGAAACTAGAGATATCATCAGAGATAGCACCACTTCTTTGGAAGAAGAGGATATTGAAAGTATTTCATCTACGGAGGAGTATAAAATAAGAAAATATGAATATGATCAAGAAATCAAAGAAAAAGATACCATTTCTAAACAATTACTGGATTATTCTGTTGATCAATATGAAATTAGCATACCAATGGAGAGTACCTTAGTGCAATCAATTGATACAATTGATACAGATACTGAAGAAGAGTTCAAAACATCAATTCATGAGAAGCATGAATATGAACACCTTTCTTCTCAAAAGTTATCAGATGATCAATCTCATGAATCTGACATAGCAAGAACAAAGTTTCAATTGTATGAAACAGAAATAATTAAGCAGGAGCCAGAAATGACAACGCCAACACAGGAGTCTGCTGTCGAGAATTTATCTGCAGAAGAAACTTTAACACAGCACTTTGAAATTTCTGGAAAGGAAGAAAATGCAAAGATTGAACAAGAAACACGTACCCAAGAGCTCAAAAAAGACATTCAGAAAATTAAAGATAACCAAACTGAGATTTCAAACCAAAGTTCTTCAGAAACTGGTATATTACTTGCAACTAACCAAGAAAGTATAAAAGATACCTTTGAATCTGAATCCGATAAATCTGATATATTTGCAGAGGAACTGATTACTCCTGAAAAAGTAGATAGGACATTCGAATGCACCAATGTGTTTGGTGATACTTTTTTTGAAAAAGAAATACCTGAGCTTGGCGATCTTGAAATGCAGGAAGAACCAGAAATACAATTTCAAGTTCAAACCTCCTGTCCAACAGTAGAAGAACGAGCACAATCGGAAATTGTTGAAGATGATATAAAACCGGAAATTAAACCGAAAGCAAAATTTGAAATCAGAGAAGATGAGGGTAAAATAAGACTTATGAAAGAGAAAAGCTTGGAAAAACAAAGAGATACAGAAACAGAAAATGGTGTTGTTTCAGAACAAAGAGAATCTCTAATTGCAGAGGAAAAAGAGCTGTCTTTCAATTCATTATCCGATGAAGAACTAGTCGAGAGACCAAAACGAATTTCAATTTCATTAGATGCAACAAGTGATGAATTTTCACCGAAAGTACCCGAAGACGTTTTAGATTCAAACGTATTTCATGCGACAGATCAAAATAAGGAAGAGAAACCATCGGGATCCTTTCAGGAACCTGCTCTAGGTGTAACTATACAAGCTGTCAATAGAAGAGTGAGTACAGGAACAGTAGATGACGAGGAAGAAGAGGTTAGTGTTAGGGAAGAATCAACAACCATATTTCAAGGACGAATAGAAGAAAACATCATTTCAACAGCAGATGCAGAAATGGAAGGAAAACCTGTTGATTTCATTGCACATTCTGCTTCTGATGACTTTACACAAGAAATACAATGCAGTGGAGATGATTTTCAGGAAACTAATCTTGTAACTGATCAAGGCTTCGATGAGAATGATTTCACTGCGCCACTCCAAATCAAAGACACTCCCTCTAAAAGTGACGATAAATCTGCTATAGAAGAAGCAGAGGAAACGAAACAAAAAGAACATTTGGAAGAAAACGAGTTAAAAGGAAAGCATGTTGATCTACAAGAGCTTCAACTTAGACGATTTGAACTTGGTGAGGAGATGGTTTCCGTTGATGAACAGGATAACAAAAGTACCGAAAGTGAAATACAGGTAACTCAAAGTGCAAAACCTTTAGTCCAACCTGAAACCATGGATAATGCCTACCTGGAAGCTGCTAATCTTGTTGGCATTGATGATAAAATTGAAGGTGAATTCTTAAAGTCAAGCCAAACCGACAAGAGTGAAGCAGTTGAAAAGAGTGGTTTTGAAAACTTGGGATTTGAAGATTACCCTGAGATTGAGGATGAAATGGCCGATCATAAACTCAGTGCAAAACTGTCCGGTGTTCAAGAAGAGAAATCAGAGTCTGTACTAAGTATATCTCAGGATACATCGGACCATACAAGTGCTATGATGGCTGATTCAGAAGGATATTCAGATCAGATAGACAGTTCAGATCAAACACAGAGCTTTACAACATCATTAGATAAATCTGCTGACTTACTTGAGTTTGAACAACTTGAAAGGACGATAGACAAGCTTGAAACGGTATATGATACATTTAGTGAGTCTCAAATTCTGGAACAGCTAGAAAAAGAGCATGAGATTGATCGTACTGAGCAAAAGCTATCATTTTATAACGTCCCAAGGGCGACTGAGACTCTGAAATCAGAACCCCAATCAATTGCAGATGAAAACAAGGAGAAAGAAATGAAGGAATCTGGTTTTGAAGATGATGCTGTCATAGGAGATACAGATGAAACGTACATCGATCGAACTGAGAGATTTATCACAATTAATGACGAGTCTAATAATATTACTGTGCAGCAATTCAAAAGGTCTGGGATTCTGGCACGAGAAACATCATTTCAAGATTCTCCAGACGATTTCCAATCAAATGCTTCTTCTCATGATTTGAGCCAGTCGGCAGGTGATACAAAGCCCCAGGACAAACAAAATGTGAATGATGACCAACCCCAAATGGATCAAGTAACCCAAGATATGCCTATTAACACTGATGATACTTCTCAAAAAGATATTTCAACCATGAAATCAAGTCATGTAGAAGACATCAAGCAATACAAGACTGATGTAGGAACGCCTACTGGAACAGATGAAAGACCTTTATCCCCAAGCTCATACACTCTCGAAACTGACGTAGATATGGAGGGAACACGGACGTTTGAATTTGAAGAACTTGAAGATGCAATTGACAATATCCAAAAATATAAAGAGGAAACAAATGAATTAGCTGTTTGTGACATGAAAGAGACTGATGAGCTGGTTGAGAAAACAACAGACAGCACTTCTCTTTCGACAAGCCCAAAAGACATTCAGTGCCCTCCCTCTCCTTCAGAATATACTTTAGTCATGTCGCAGGATCAAGATATGCTTTCCAAAGCTCTTGGAATACAAGAAAACTCTTCAGAAATAACACATAAAAAATCGGAGGACCAAGCTGATACGTCATTGCGTACCAGTCATTTTCCTATTGAAAGTTCAGGAGAAAAAGATCACTTTCTAAAGTCGTCAAGTCTAGATGACACGGAATCGCTTGAGGAAAACAGCCAAGAAACGGTTGTATCTCACGATTTTATTCTCCCAAAGAAAAGTATGTCAATTGAAAATTTGGACTCCGAAACAGCTAATGTGGAATTAGAAGTAGATTCTACAAGAGAATTTCGCAATGAAGAACAATTTGAAGAGACAAATATGGAAACTAGTCAAGAATTCGTAATGTCTTATGACCAAGAGAGTTTGTCAAAAATGTTAGGTCTTGAAAGCAGTGAAACACAACACTCGGAATCTGAATACCAAGGTAACACAGATGAGAAAGTGGTTGAGAAAATGTTTCAGTCATCATCATCAATCTGTGATCAAGACAAGCTAGAAAATGATGAAAATGCAACTTCTCCGGCAAAAGACTTTGATCACAGCAGAGACGATGCTGAAAGTGCGGAACAATCCACATTAAAGGGAAAACAATCTGAAATAAAATTGGAAGAAGGAATGTCTCATAGCCTCTCTGAATCAGCAGAGGACAATATTCTGCATGAGAACTCTCAAGTCACGCATGATTCAGGTAGATATATTTGTACTCTTAGTCTTATATAGTAAACCTGAATGTAGGGCACTAAATATTTTGACTTAATGGAAAGATTTCAAATTCATCTGTAGCAAAGATCAATGTGCACAGTAACTGTATAGTTCGTTTCATCACATGCATGACTCTTTTCTATAACAGTTAAACAAAAAACTTTTTGGGGGGAAAAAAATAGCTTTTTAAAAAAATATCACTTGTAATCATTTATCATTTTTAATTTTCTTTCACAGAGGATATATATGATGAGAGAAATACTATTGAAGAGCTAGAAAGAAATGCTGAGACTTTTCCACCCGACCAATCAACTTTACGGGGTACAAGAAATGCATCTACAGAATTGCCTGGTTTGCAGCTCCAAGTAGATAAATTAGCATCGGAGGCAAGGAATGTTTTCTCAAGTTATGAAAATGTCTATGATGGAGTTCCACTTGATCCTAAAATTAATAGGTTATCTTTGGATGCGAGTGAAATGGAAATAGGAGATCGATTTGATACCAAGCAAATGGATCTTCATTTATGCTCAGATGATCGCACATCTAGTTACGAACAGGTGTATGCCAAAGAATCAGCAGATCGATCTCTTCGCTCAGACTTAGGTGAGAAGTGCATCACTTCCTTATCCTTTTATTTAATGTCTTTCTCTTGTAATTTAGACTTTCTTTTGTAGCATTTGAAATACGTTGTAGCAATTTTTAGCAAAGATATTTAGATTTTGAAAAGTGAAATACATGTATACCCGTCTTCATTAATGGTCAACAACCTTATGTTTCAAAATCATTCCTTTTGATTCAAATTATGATAGTACTACTATGAAAAAATACTTCATTTGGCAGAAATTTTTTTTAAAAAATCACATCTATTCTGCATATCAGTCAAGCAGTAATTCTAAGGATAAAAGAGTTTACTTAGGGGTGTTTAAGAAGTTTAAGGAAAATGCAATTTTGCATGGTTTGTTTATCATAAGTGTGCAACACTAACTCAGTAACCCACAATAACTTGATATGTTTACGAATTAAAGCTGCTTTAGAGGAGGAAAAAGTTGATGATAAAATAAGTACCTCCAGTTCGGAGGTGGCACAGCATGATGACGATGCGTCTGATGAAGGTACACATCTTTTTTTTTTCACAGAAATGTCTACAAAGACATTTGTTTGTCCTGTTAAACTTTCAAGTAATCGTTTTAAAATTAATATATATTATTGGAATACATTTTTATTATAAAAATGAAATATTCTTGGCTCAATAACGACAAACAAATGGCTTTATTTATTCTAATTTTGTAAACACTGGGTAATTTGAAATCCATTGCTTGTTCAATGCAACATTCTGCTTGAATATTTCCTTCCAGAAAAGATAATAACAGTAACAGAAGTAGAATATAACTAATATTGTACACATCGTTTTTTGGATACTTTAACACAGATTTTAAAATCCCAACTAAATACCAACTAACTGACTATTTAGATGCTGAAGCCTGCGAAGCAACTGAAAGCAATTTGAATGAAACTGACGTAGAGGAACAATTTTCTCCCGTTATTGCTAAAACTTTTCCAAAACCTGTAATAGATTTACATTTCGAAACAGACAAACCTGTTTTCTCCATTACCGAATCACCCACTGAATTACATTCACCAGCCTACTCAATTGAGTCACCCGATTTACATGACAAAATATCTCTTTCAAAACCAGAATCCTGTACTGTTGGTACTTCGCCATCAGAACATCAAGGTTTTATTCCTTCTAAAGAAACTAGGCAAGAGCAGTCAGAAATAAACAAAAAACGAGATTCGAAACAACAAAAGGAAATTGATGAGCAATGTCTGATGTGCACCTATGAAGTTGACAAGACAGAGGAAGAAGTCATTTTAGACCAGTCCTCAGAAATACAGACAGAAGTATCTGCCAGCCTTCACACTGAATACCCAGATTTTGAAAATTTAGTTATAGACACATCAAAGACAAAAGCAATGGAACCAGGAAAAAGGTTCCAGTCAGTTGATGAAATTTCTCCAGAGGATCTTGAAGAAAAAGAATTTCAATTTGAGCTTACTGAAAGAGGCTATGTAGATATTGTTAAAGATGATAAAAGAGAAAGTGAGGAGGATGACCAGGATGTAGATGATATTGAATCAGACAGTAGTTCTGAAACAAATGAAATGACATTTTTTGACGAATACTCTGGAGTTTACGTGAGAATGCCTTGGGAAAGTGCATATCAATTCACACGTCAGTTTTCAGAAGGCTATGAACAAAATGAATCGGAAAAAAAGTATTTGAGAGCCATGAAAAGCATCGACTTGGGGTCTTTTTATAGAAGAGACAAAATGAAAGACTCCGATGTCCATCGACGAAGTAGTTTATTTTGTGGAAAGCACAATTCACAAGGAAAAGAACTAAAAAAAGAGGTTCGTTTTGCAGAAAAAATAGTAGATATTGCAGAAGATTCAGACTTAGGAAGTTCTCAAAGTGATGAAAGCGAAGAGCAAAGTTATGAAAGAACAGTCCTTCATGAACCTCATGAACAGATTGATAAAATCCATGAAATGACAGTTATTGCATCAATAATGGAAAAAAGACATCATTACAAGGAAGAATGGCAAGATCAAATACAATACCAAGATTCCTGCACTTCCACAAGAGATGATCAGATAGATGTTACTTTAAGCGCTTCTGACGATGGTAATCAAATGGAATTTGCAAGTCTAACTGGCGATGAATTGTTTGAAAGAGATGATGTCGCTACTGAAACAGCAGCAACACCAACGATAGGAACCTTTCCGCTTGCTGGAATTATTGTGACGGAAGCAGACTCTCCTAAGGACAAAGATGAAGCACTGCTTATAAGCAAGGAAATGCCAGCATCATCACATGGAAAGTTTCCAATGGCACTACCATCAATAGGAAAGTCCATAGCTGACAATGAAATATACGAATCCTCAGAAACCGGTGGTGATACAACAGAGGAAAAGTTATCACCAATAGATGAAGCACCTCAAGATGACTTTCCAGATGAAGAAGAGGATTCAAAGACACCAGTCGTTGAAAAGCATGTCACATTTCAAAGCGAAATATGTCATTTGCGATCAGGATCAAGTGAAGACTTAGTAAAGACCTCAACATCATCATCAGAAATGGAACCAACAATTCTAGCTGCATCATATGACCTTGATTCAGGACAAGTGTCAAAAGTTGTAGCAACATACGATGTCTCCCCAGACACAGTCGAAAAGCAATTTGTGGCACCGCCAACAGCAAAAGCTATACTTTCGAGTCCAGAAGATGATGTATTTGAAATGGAAAATAAACGGATGTTTGAGCCAAGTTATTCCCAGTCAAGAGATGAATGCCAAGAAGAAGAAACATCAGACAGATTGGAGAAAACAAAAATTGCAACAGATACCTTCCCTAATCCACAAGAAATTGATCTTCAGAATGATTCAGAAATAGAAGGTGCATATGGTGGAAGGGACAGTGCATTGTCGTCACCCTTTGAAGTAATGTCACCTAGTGAATTAGATGGGTATGAACACTACAAAGAGCACTTTGAGGAAGTTGCATTAAGCAAATTGAGTACGCAACGCGATGAGGAGCAAGAAAATGAAAAGGTTACAATGGCATTGTCTTTCCCGGTAGAAGAACGAGAATCGCAGGCTTTACAAATAACACCGAAAAGCGATTCTTCATTTGATCATTCTTCACTCATAAGTAGTGAAACAAGTGAAAAAGAAGATGACTCGTTAATTGATGTAGTAGGACCCTCACTTCAACACAATACTGAACCACTTCCTGACTTAGTGGAAATTGCAGTTGAATCTGATGAACGATCTCCTTCGTCCACCATGTTACAAAATGGTCCAACAGAGGTTGAATACAATCCAGATATAGATGTAAATTGCGAGCAAACACCGCAATCTTGCTCGCCAATAACATCTCAGCCAGACTTGCTTCAAGGTGCATCACATGATGAAAAATCAACACCACCGGACAATGAACTAGTAATGGAAAGTACTTCCATTGATACAACAGGAATTGTTTCAACTTCGAATGTTTTGTATGAATCACAAACAGCTCAAACACGAAGTATGATAGAAGAATTGGGCATAACAAGTCAAGAACATTTAATTTCTTCGGATCAGACTTTGTATGGACTCGAGATGCCATCAGAGGAAAATACATTACTGACATTATCTTCAACTCAATATGCACATCAAGAACCAGATACGGAATCGGATTCTGTAATTGTAACAGGGGCACTAGTATCCCAAACAGAAGAGGATATTTCTGAACAAAGTGTGAGCAAAGAAGCGGAAAACTCTGCCGAGTTAGATTCAGGAAAAATTCAGAGTGAAGAACTTCATGTAGAACAGGAGCAACTTGACCATGATAAGACTATTACCGATATTTATCATGGCAAACGGGCATTAGAAGTAGAAGAATGCGCCGGACTTGCAACTGTGAAAATGGAACCGGAATGTGTTGGTCCCTATGATGAAACTTTTGAAGACGATTTTGATAACATTGGAGAGGAGTCTTTGGATACGAATTTAAATGATGATGAATGTGATGAAAGGGAAGATTCTTTGTTTCAAACTGAGCCTTCAGAACCATTTGATCTGGACATGGATGCATATGATTTAGAAAGACCTTGTACACCGACGCCGGTTGACAAAAATCAGCATTTTTTCGATGATGAAGCTGAGGCTATTGTTAAAAATGATGAAATTGAAGCTCAAGCCAGTGAATTTGTTGAATCTGTATTGACAGAAGCCCGTAGCAGGATAAGGAAAGAAACGTCAAATTTTGACATGAAAAATGAAAGTGAAATTACTGATACTGAAAACAAGTATGATGACCTGTACATAGCCGATGTATCCGAAGAGAGAAATATTTTTTTAGAGGAGGAAAATGATTTTAAAACAAAGAAAGATGTTGATGATACAACTGATGGAGACAACCAGTCAGACACTGGAATCGGGGAAAACATTTCGCCAATACAAAGACATTCTATTCTTATGAAACAAATATCTGAAGATATCCCTGGAATCACATTAACAACACATTATCATGATGAAGATAATGAATCGCTTCACCAATCAGAACTAATTGAGAATAAAATATTACAGAGTGAAAAGCCAAATGCTGACACTGATGTACCAATAGAAGCAGAGGTTCAACAAACCATTGTTTTTTCAAGTGAATGTATCCCAGAGGAACCAGAAGATATAGTGGATGGTAACTTGGAAGATTCATATCAATCAACTCATGGCAATTTTGGGAAAGTCTGCATTCCTGAAGAAATTGAATCTAAAGATGAAAGCGAGGAGAAAGAGGAAGTCCATATAACGTCTTCAACAAGGCCATTGACGGTTGTTTTTCCCAGTGATAAAGTAGATTACGGAGAGAGTCATTCTCTCCCGAATATTGATACTAAGGTTAATGCTGAGGCCAAAACAGACCATGAACCCTCTCCCAATGAATACTCAAAGTTTGAAGAAGATGTAGCAGCATCTGCAAATGTTGATAAATACGATAGTGATGATTCCTTAGAGGAGAATTATAAGGATGATGTGCAACATTCAGAAGCTGTCCCTGAAAGAGTAGATACTACAAACATGGAAATTCTACAACCATCTACAAGTCAAGATTTACAGCAGATAGAAAGTAAATCCAAGAGTAGGGGTTCTTATCATGAAATTGGAGAAGATGATATTGGCGATACGTCTAGTGTTGAAAGTTTTACTACCGTTGTTCCTGTTGATCAAGAAGACGATGATGATGGAAATGAAAACCGCTTGGATGATTTTGCTTCAATGTCCTCATCCTACCATTCAGATGTTCTTGGTTTGGATGAAGATGAGAAAATGGAAGATTTTCCAATAATAGACTGGACACAGGAAGACGTCATGGAGTTTGAAGAAATAAATAGGAAACAAAGTGAGGAGGAGGAAAAGCACAGAGAGTTAAAAAGGAAACAAGAAGAAGAACTGTTGCAGAGATTTGAGGACCTTAAAGCTTTGCGAGATGAGAAAGATAGGCCTCTTATCGATTGGGAAGAGGGAAGCGAGTCTTCAATCGATAGTGATCGATATGAGTATATGGACAAAACTGCACTTTCAGTCATAACAGAAAATTCAGATGAAGATAAGTTTGAGCTCATGGACAATGAAGATGGAAAATCAGAAAAGTCAGACCATATATTTGGATCCCCAGAGGATTTCCCTCCACCTAGTCCTGGTGTCAATAAATTTTTTAATAAAAGTTCGGACAGAGATGACATATCTATTACTTCATCATTACTGGAATTCGAAAGGCTAGAACATGAAATTCTGGCATCAGGTTCGAGAAGCTCTATTGAAAATGAAAAAGACAATATATCAATTACTTCATCACTTGCAGAATTTGAACGATTGGAGAGAGAACTTGGCCAGTCAAGCTCGGCTAGTTCTGTCGAAAAAATAACTTCAGACAGTAACAGTAAAGAGAGTGACAAAGAGGGTTCTCGGGCTTCTTTAAATGATGTTGATAAATTAGACAAAGACATTGAGAGGAAGGATTCAGTTGACAGTATTACACGACGAAGTGAAACATCCTCCCTTGCGTCACTAAATGAATTTGAGCGATTAGAGCAGGAATTAGCATTAGCAGATGAATTGGAAGCTGAAGCACAAAAGATTGTTTCAATTTTGGAATCCGGGACACTAATGAATGAAGAAATTCAATCGGAGAAGTCTTCAAGATTAATGTCTTATCTGACACCATCCAAGAAAACCGAAAAATTTCAAGCTGAAGAAAATGAAGACTTGGAAGATTCTCTCAGTGAGGAAAAAACATCCAAAAAAGAATTAGATCAAGCAGAGGTAGACTCTTTAGATGGTGACGTATCAGAGTTGACATCCCTAACATCGAGTGTAATTATAAATCAAAAAGCCGTGAAAGAATGTGATGAAGATTCTTTACGTGATGATGAAGAATCAATGAAAATTTCTTCAGATTCTTTGGGTGAACAGTTAGGGTTAAAATCTTCTAGTGATAAAGACAAATATGACACTGATTCTCTTGCTGGACAGGAAGGCATCATGGAAAAATCAACTGACTCGCTAGAAACTGAGAAAAAGAATACAGCAGATGACAAAGTGGAAACGGACTCTCTCTGTGATGAGGAAGACCGGCCTAAAGCAGTAGATATCATGCAGACATCATTAGATTCACTTGAATCGTCAAAGTCGAGATCGAGAGAAAACTTAATGGAGTCTTCTATGTACAGTGTGGATAGTTCTATTTTCTCGAGGTCATCTGTTGAGACCATGAAATCTGCAGGATCCCAGCGAAGTGATTCAAGCACAGAAATAATGCAGGTCTCTGCAGAATCTTACGAGGAAAGGAAGCGCCGAGAGAAGCAGTGGCTGATAGATAATTATCACAGTTATCGTGAAAGCGGACATGGTGTAGAGCCTCTAATGGACCAAGAGGGAAATGTTCTGAAAAGTTTCCGTATAGATGATAATGTGGGCTACGGATGGGATGAGTCAGACGAAGAGGAGGATAATAAAAGTGCGCAAAGTAAACCCTTTTCCTGGGGACCCTATGAGGAAAAGAAAAAGATTTATACCATGGCAGAGTGGGAGGCTATGAAAGAGGAAAAGCGAAGGGTGTCTCTGGTAACAGAGATGTCAGAATCTCATAGTGAAAAAACTGAAACTACCACTGTTGAGTCCCAAAATGTCACATTAATAACAAATACTACAGTCACAACTAAATCATTATCTGAAACCCAAGTTTACACAAGTAGTGAGCAATTACGTTCCTCTACGTCAGTTAAAGCTACTGCTAAGTTTGGAAGTCATCTGTCAGATCCAGGTATTTTAGCAATGCATGTTGGTGTATGCTATGCTCTGTATCCCATATCAATAAATAATATTTTCATTTCTACGCCTCCTTTACACAGCGGACATACATCTATTTACCTATATGGCCTGCTTAAGTTAAAGAGTCTGTTCAAAGTATGATTACCTTAAAAATTAAAGAAACGAGGGAAAAAAACAACCCTGATGGGTAAAGTAAATGGTTCGAATGAGTTTTTCTTTAAAAAATGACGCTGTGTAAATCAAATTTCTTTTACACAAATTTTATGCTTTATTTGTCAAAACAGAAGTTTTTGGTAACTTTGTTGTTAAACCCAGTGTTTATTTTTGTTTCAGGTGTTGTTATTTCTATTATATCACAATCATTTTTATACTGTTATTTATAACTTCAGTAACCTTTTGAGCCTCATCCAGGTTGCAGCTTAACCATATCATTTTTCCCACCCTAATTTACCTTTTGAGCAGACGTTTTTGGTTTTATATATGTTTTCTTGATTGGGTATCTGTACAGCTATAAAACATTATTAATTTGCATTCATTTTTTACGTTATTAATTTATTTTTCGTTTCAGTATTTTATTTCTTGTTTACAGATGCCTTCACAATTGGTGTTGTTCAATTATCTTGTATACATGTACCTTGTTAGCATTCATTTGTAGTGGAGATAATTGATTTTTTTATAAACTCAAATTATGTTTGATATATGTCCAGTTCACAGATTTGTATTGTGTGTAGATAAATGTTGTTTTAACTTTCTTTTTCACAGTATTACTAAGAATTAGATTCAATTACTTCTCTTTTCTGTTTTATATAGAGAACTAAAAATTCAAAACGACTAACATACTTTTAACATACTTTTTCTTCAATTTAGAAATTGCATATACATGTAAATGAGTTTGCCCTAAACAACATCACAACTGTGCATTGAATTTTCAGTCATTGGTGTTAGGTTGCATAAGTCGTTAGTCTTGTTGGTATTATGTTTAACTAAAATTCAGGCTTTGTGCAATGCGTAATTCTGATAATCAACATAGAAAGCAAGCTCTTTTATTTACCCTTGGGAAAGTAAGCTTGTTGATTAATTTTGTATCGATCGATGGATAGCCCCGTGCTGTACGTGATCCTTCCCAACCTCTTTAGTCGTGCATTTGTTTCTGTAAAATAACTACTGATAATTCTAGATAATGAGTGATACAATTTGTTACTAATGCTGAGAAGATCAACACGTCGAAAGAGACAAGTATATTTTTATACTTGGATTGTGTTGCCTTGTGAACGTGTGCCTATGAGATGTATCTGTGGATTCGTTTAAATTCGATTTGTGTCACTCTAAGCTTGGCTTATCTCTATGTTTAGAATCGTGTTTAATCATGAATGAAAAATTCAATATTGATGGAATGAGGATGTTAGATTCCAAAGGTTGCCACTTATTTTTGTTTTAAAGATCCTTATCTAAGAGTAAATCTATATTTCTGTAAATGATTTAAACAGACACTGACCAAGTTCTTTTATCTACATTAGCTCCACAGAGAATAGCGTCGATAGATGACGATGATTTTGTTGAGTATGATGTCACTGAGCACCGTGATTTGATGCATGGTATACCTGAATATCTCGGTAAAGTTGTCTTCAGTTTAAATGTTGTCTGTGATGTTTTTGTGCATTTAAATTATCCACTCGTCAATTTAACTGCAACTATTATCAGCGAATAATCAATTTTGATAGCCCCAAAGTCAGGACCAATATACATAGACCCTGAAAACGTAGATTCGGAGGAAGATGAAATTGTCGACTATCCGACGGGTAGAAAAGGTTAGCGTTGTCATGGTGTCGTCTTTGGTTCGGTGTTGTAATTTTGCTTTTGTACAGGTGTTGGTTCAGTGAAAAATCTTTCCATTCCCCGTGTTCCCATCCAACCTAGCTTTATAATCTAAAAGGGTTTTTGGGGTTTCTGTTTCGTGGAACAACTGGTTATGCTGTTATTGTGGTCTATTAATTTTTGCCATGACCAACTAAGACTGAACTACGATGTACACCCTTAGACATATGACGATTATTTAGTGTCTGTTGTTAATTTTTATTTTCTTGTTTATAAAAGCGTAAGTATAGTTCAAAAATTGACTAGATCTGCATGACGTCTGTTTATGTAAGTATATTTATTAATTTTGCATGTTTATACCATTTTCTTACAGAAAATTTCGAAGCAATATGATTTCTTATTCATATTTCCTTTGCTTTGAGCGAAATTGAAGCAAGGTTGTCAATAGCATATGTTACTCTTTTGTAATTCTATGCAATAGCACGTTTCTGATTTATTCAACGGACAAATTTTGATAAGTTTCAATCAATATCCTGGAAATTGTTTTTTCGTCAAACAATAGATCTTGTATATGCATATTTATTCTGTTAATGATGAAACGATATACATGCAGATACAATCATATTTAAAATTTAGTTTCTTGTTTTTATAAGCTATATCAAAAGCAATAAAAGGATTCTTGTTGTCCAAGGCAAAAAGAATTTTTTTTTAATTTTACATCGATATTAACATTTCAGAAGATTCCGCTGATGGGGCTGAGGGAGGGGAAATAGAAACTCACAGGTAATATTACATTATCAATTGATGATATCTGATATCCTTACTGAGAAAAATAAAAGCTTTCAGTGTTTATAATTTGATACATTTTTACATGTCTGTGTTTATTCTTAATAACTCCCAATTGAAAACAGAAATATCAAGCTTCTGTTTTAATGTGGAAATGACGTATGCAACTTTTTAAGCCCATTTTTTAGAGAAAAAAATTCTGAATACAGCTTGCTTTGAAAAATGGTTTAAACTAGTTTAACGTTGATAGATTGATTAAAGGACGGGGGTTTCAGAAAATATCCAATGGAATTAAAATAGCTCATTGTAAGCTTTCTGCATCAACAAATAATCTTTCAAATTTTTTACTTGCTGGTGGAAATGTACCATTTCAAATAAATAGAATTTTTTAACGTCATTATTTTGTTCTGTTAAAGATTACATATCTGATAGTTCGGGCATATATGTAGTTTTCTTTCAATGTAAGCTATAGATAGTTTAATAATGCCAACTCTAAAATTTGAAAACCTGTTGCTGTTGCGTATTGATGCGGACAGGACAGCAGTGATTGATATCATTATAATTAACTGTCCATGTACAATCACGTTATCAATTCGAAGATGGTTTGTATCGCCAGGAAAGTAGAGTCTGAGCCTCGTAATGGCACTGTTCCGTTATGACAATTGTTAATGACTCTTTCTCTGAAAACGATGCATCGAGTAAATTACCCCCAAAGGCTTGTTTTTATGGAAGTTTTTACCATGTGTGTGTATGGGAGGTTTGGAATTAATGATAGTCTCTTGCATGCTATACTTTAATGCATTTCGGCCATGCGATGAAAATTCAATCAATATTCGAATTAACTCGGGAAGTGACTGGTCTCTATTTTTTTGTTTTGTTTTGTTTTCTAGTTTTCGTCAGATACAGTTTTTTTTTTCCTAAAAGAAATGGTAAATGTATATAGGCTATATTATTATATCATTTCCAGACTCCTTTCTTTCAAACAGGGTGTGTATTTTACTAAGTACAAAATCATGAAAATGGTCTGAGGTATTGGAGAAGATTTTTACTTAGAAAGTGACGTACATTTGTTTATGGTATTTCTACAAAATGTATGTGAAAAATTGAGATTTCATGTCTTTTGTTTTTTATTTGTTACAGACTAACCATGAAGAAGGAGATCCACACCAGAACCATGCTTGAAGACGGCAAGGAGAAGACGTACGTGCACGAGGAGGCCCAGATAGAACAGGAAGAGGACCCCCCAGAGGAACTGAAGGAGAGCATGCAACAGATCATTGACCAATTCATGGAAACCCCCGCCCAACCCGACCAGTACAAAGCCTTAGAACACGACGTCTAGGTCCTCCCAAAACAGACAGTTCTCAATCACAGCATTAATCCTTTGTGTCACATATTTCCCCGTTTTTCTCCATCAGAATTTATTTTATTGTGAATGAGATACATAGATTTTTTGTCTTTTAAGCTTATTGAAGGAAAAACAAAAATATCATGACCATTCCACCGAGTATGTTTTATTAAAGAAGCATTGCTTTCATTGTTTTGACATTTTGTACCTTTGACCACGTTGCATTGTAGTTTTGTTTTTGAATTCAAGCTTGCTGTTTTTGGTAAAAAGGATATACATTGAAGTGTGTTAAGGATTTTCAAATCAAGTATTCGGATTAAGGCTATTGTGGACAATATTGTAATAACTGATAAACAGTACTATGATTGTAAACATTTATTTAATAATCAAAATAATGATGCATGTCTTAAGTAATATTTTATTGAATTCAAAGAATTTTGTAGAGCTTTTGTATATGTATGTCTTTGTTAATTATATTGCTGTCATTATTTAGTCTATTTGATCATAAAATTCATTTATTCTTAAATTAAATTGCTTCCTAACATACATTTTATACTTTGTTATAAATCTTGTAAAAGATGACCTTCTTGTAAGAGATAAACATTACATTTTACATAGAGGTTACAATTGCTCCGTGGATGATGACTGGAATTTTCTACCACTTTTCAGTTTTGTAAAAGAATAACTTCAATATTTTACTTGAATAAATGTTGCTATAAAGAAAAAGATACGTCAGATTTCGAGCAAGCTATCAAATATTGAAGTCATGCAACACTATGAAAGAGTGGAACAGCCTACCACCAGACATTAAAGCAGCAAAATCAGTGGAGAAACTCTAGATACCAAAACAAACTGAGCCTTGTACTAAACTATTCTCATCCAAAAATGAATTTTTTATGAAGTATGCACACAGATACGGCCAGATGCGGGGGGAGGGGGGGGGAGGTGAAGAAATAAGTAATGGAATCTTTCTAATTTGTCAAATGCCATATTGTGATAAGACTACACCAGCCTGACAGATACTTGATTCAAAGAAAGTGTAAGGACCAAGGAATGGGTAATTGTGTACGTGGCACATTTATAGATTTTGTAAATACATTTACGAATTCAAAACTGCATATGTGCACTATATTGCTAAAAAGTAAAGATATTCTTTTCAATCCGACAAGCAGAAATAAAGAAGTGAAGAAATTCAAACATTTTTCTTCCTAATTTTTATGTTCAAGAAGGCTTGGGAGAAAACTGAGAAAATGCATACTACTCTAACGTTCGATAGTCGTTCATATCTTTTCAGAAGTTAATTGTTTCACATTATTACGTTATATATACCATTTCGAAAAGTAGAAACTCTTAAGAAAAATTCTATTTGTCAGTTGGGCAAGTTATTTTCAATTTACAGATTAAATCCGAGAAAGTATTAATCTTCACACCTAGAATTTTTTCTCCTAATCAAATCCAAATTAAATAACGTAAAATATGGCGCTAATATTTCAATAAAAAAAAACAAACCTTGACAAATCACCTCAGTAGGTTTACAGTGAAAACAAATTTCAATGGTTAGCTTGGTGTTAAAAATGTAATATAAACTTAAGAACGATATATACCATGATTATCAATTTTATTATGCTAAAAATGGATAACACAACCTACGTATATTATACTGTACCATTTTACATTATAAAATTCATACCGGTATATTTTACCTTAAATCTTTTATATATACTTTTCCAAGATATTCTGAAAATATTCCACATTAAACCTAATGAATTTGAGTGTGATCTAAAATTTTACTGAAATATTACTGAATATTTTCCTAAAAGTCTTTAATTTTCCAATGATGAATATACACAGAAAAAAAAAAGAATGATTGTAGTTTTAAACTTCTCTAGCATAATTTTTCACTCATATGAAGATATATTTGTTTGTAGCTGCTTAAATCCCCAAAATATTATTAATGGGGTCTTTGGGCAAACCATAGTGAACGTAAAGGATGATGGCGCTGTAAGATTTCATTCCACCTTGAAGATGGCCTTCATACTTTAAAAGTCCAACAATGGATCTACCAGTTCCAATCCTTACATCTAACAGTGCAGACGCTCAAACATACAGCAATGTATATCTTTATTATAAAAAAAGTCACGAAAGCTGCAGATACTGTAGTTACATTATCAAAACATATTATACAAGTACCTTATATCATCTTTTATATACAGACAAAAAATATTCCACATTAAATTTAATGAATTTGAAAGAAAAAACTAAAAGGCTTTATCAACTGACCATATTTATGTTTATCCTAAACGTATTTAATCCAAAATTCGTAAATGATAAATATAAAGAAAAGATTGATTGAATGACTGTATGGTGTTAAACGTCCCTCTATAGAATTTTTCACTCATATAGAGACGCCATCACTTGCCGTTGGAGAGCTGTAAATTTTGCCTTAAACTCAGCACTGAGGGCCATTGAGCAGTGAGGCATCTTTTTCGTTCCAGCACCTGCGACATGGGACCTCAATTTATTATCGTTTTACTAACAGCGTGACAGTTTGCTTGATAGGGCGTGCTAAAATTATTTATTGATTATCTTTTATCAGGACGACTGGATGTTTGATTTCAATGGAATCAATAATACTTTGCATATGAAATACAGAACTCAACAATACCACTGACAATACTGACCAAACGCATGGAAAAAAACAACAATTACATGTGAACGGACAAAGCAAATTTTACTTCATAAAATGATGATATTGGTAGCTACAATATAACATAGTACAACAGTAGCAGAGTAGCCTTACTAATTCCATTCTTTAAATTTTCTTATACGTATTTAAAAACCCATCTGGTCAAATCACAACAAATATATAATACATGCTTTTTTTGAGGACATAAAACGGGCTATGACTGACCACTTTTGTTGCTGCTGTATTATATACAAATGAGGTACTGAGAAACAATGAGTTCAATGTGATTGGCCAGTCCCATATGAATATAATTGCAGTTCCATGTTTTGCATATGCAAATCCAAAATATATGTCAGATCAAAAAGTAAAAATAGGAGGTGCACAATGGCAATATAGTAGGTGTGATTTCTGTGAAAGTGTGGGTTTTTTCATTAAATTTCTATTCAGTGGTATGAGAGGGACAAAAGAACTGTTTATAAAACGATCATGCACGGTTTTTACCCCAAAGCGTACCAAATTTAGGAGAGTAAAAAGGAGTAAAAATTTTCAATTCTATACAGCATTTTGTAATAAATAACAGTTAAAAGCGGCCATTAATACTTTAACTTTAGTTAAAAGTGAAGAAAAAAACTTCAGAAATTGCTTGATTTTTTAAACATTTTGTTTTAAATAGTGTAATGACCAGGGTGACGTTAGCTTAGTAGATTTCAATATATCGTTCTTTTGATAACCAACAAAGGAAACATGGTACATACTTGACGTAAAAGCAAGTGTACACTACTGTACTTAAATAACCTTTTCGATTGCGGATCTAGCCGATCAAAGATCTAATTTTTATTAAATTGAAATATACATAACCCCTAACAAACATTTCAATCAACGTTCCATTGTGCACGGAAAAGTTTGTATCAGGTTTACAAAAATTTAAGTTAAACCAAGTTCTTAATAAATTTAAATTACTAGTATGTAATTTTGACGATTGAAATTTACGAGAACAAAAATCATATCAAATTAACATATATCATTGAAACCAAACTCGTTATTTTTTCAATTACATAAATCAAACTTTTTAAACGGGCCTAGATATGTTTAATTTGTATGTCGCTTGCGTGGCCCAATGGTTAAAGCACCTGCCCTAGAGTCACGAGGTAAGGAGTTGAATCCCACTGTGGGACGTGGAGACCTATAAAGAATAAACAGAGGTCCCGTGTTGCAGAAGGTGTTGACAGGAAGATCCCTCGCTGTTCAATGACCCTGAGTGCCGAGTATAGGGCAAAATTTGTAGCAAAATTTGAAAAGTATTGTATACAAATCACTTACCCTATATTCGATGGATGTGGTCAGAAGGACACTAAGGAGCGTAAAATCATATAAAATCCAAATGAATCTTTGAAACCAAACACTTAATGTTTCAATCACGCGAACCAGTCCGACTGATTCCTAAGCTGACTTACATATGAATGATTTTTGAAAACTATGGTACAAGTCACTTAATTTAAAAAACACATATTGATTTATGTGTAGATGCAACCCGTGATGGGCGTGGTCATAATACAACTCGGGTGCACGCTCCCTGATGTCATAATGAACGCCCATGGGATTCTACAAAGTAACCAACAGTATGAAAGTGGGTATTCACAAAACCTATCGTAAGATTTGTCCTAAGATAGATCTTACGATCATCTTAAGATCTGACTTATGACAATCATAAGATTTGTCACTGCTGTTTCACAAAACTAAATCTTAAGACAAGTCTTAAGACAAACTCTATTCTTCAATATCACAGGGAAATTTTTTTAGAATATGTTTAGTTGTCATTCTTTAATTTTCTTTTAAATATTGAAATAATATTATGTTTAATATGGTTTCTTTTGCACTGTTAAAGAAACATTTCATTGCATCAACTTTAATGTACTAAAATTAAATTCACAACAGAAAAATTATTGAATGAAATTTGCCTAAATGTCTCTTTTGCTCATAAAATAGTAGTTGCTGACGAAATGTATATAATTATATTAATTAAAGTTACTAGTGTATCTGAACCATTGCAAATAATAAAAGATTTTAGCAATTGATCCTTTCGAAATACCAAATTGTGTTCAAAGTTCGGTCATAAATTTCGATGAAATTGTTTCTGAAACGCTTCAACTACTGCAACAAAATAATATTGCTAAAAGAAGAAGAAGAGAATTGAAAGAACAATTTGATTTCCCAATCAAAATTATAGTTTCAATACTATTAATAAATCGTGAAGAAAGCGTGTACATACAGCAACAAATGCATCAAATACTAGTATTTTCATTCAATATGTGGATTGATGAGGGATACGTATTTTCATCTAATTTTGTACGACTGAATGAAATGTTTACTTTCAAAATTCATTTTAAAATTCACCACAATGTAAGAAAATAAATGAAAGTAAAACGACAGTATCTGAGAAATGCTTGGTAGCTACACAGAAGTTCAATATTTTTTTTACTTTCATGGACTTATCCAATCTATAAAGAATGCATATATATTTCGTATTTGCTTAACCTTTCAATAAATAAACTGCATTTATCTCGAATCTCGTTATCCATTTCAAAAATTGCATAAGTTAGCAATGCAGACTATAGATATTATGATATTAATTCTTGCGGGATATTGAATTTAATTGCAGTTATATATACACCATGTATATGATATCTGGATCTGACATACATGTTAATTCATATATATACATGGCCTTAAGAAGGTTTTTTGGGGGAGGGAGTGTTGCAATATCAGTTGGGAAGGGGGCAACCAAAGAAAAATGTCTTGAAATGAATATAGTGGACAAAACATATAGTAGGTACATTTTAGGTTTTCTATCGTGTATTTAAATTATTGGCAAATTATTGGGGGGGGGGGGGGTCATTGTTCTGATTGGCCTGATATAGTCCAAAAGATTGTTCTATCTCTTATTTACCGTTTTTCTTTAAATATCCTTCTGTATTTAGCCAAAACATATACTGCTGTCAGTTTCTTTTTGGACTTAAGACAGGTATCTAGTTGTCTTAAGATTATGATAGATCTTAAGATTATCATAAGATATGATAGTTTTGTGAAACGGCTATGGTACAATCTTAAGATAATTTTCGGTCTTAAGACAGATCTTAGTCGTAGGATAGTTTTGTGAAACGGGCCCCAGCACACAAAATTTCAGCCCGCCCCATCAAGCAAACTGTCACGCTGTTTGTAAAATGATAATACAATGTATACAGTCTCATCACAGGCACCTGAAGTATGGATAATACCCCCCCCTTTTTTTTAATGAAAAAAAAAAAATGTAAGAGTGTATAATATCTCAAAAATATAAAATTTCCCCGTCAAACACATCTATATGTCGTTATATGCAAGCAGATTGTACTTTTTCTCACGTTTAAAGAATGGCCTTATTCGGTATAATAAAAATACACAAGGTAAGAAACAAAAGTTGTAAACAAACGGGGAACCCCTACTTCGAGACAGATTACCAAGGTAATAATTAATGTTACCTATCATAATTTTGCAATCACTCTGTCTGGGAGATGTTCTTTGATTAGTCTCTTTAACCTAAACCCCGCTATTAGCGTTTGATATGCCGTAATCAGACGATTTATTAATCGGATACATAAAATTTTCTCCATTGGCAGCGTTAAAGGAGGTTTTGGAGCTGCTTTTCTGTTTCGCCTTATCTGATTGGTTAGATATTTAAACTGTATTATAATTAGCGACACTATACTATAATTAAAATTATGCAGTATATCAACTTGCGTCATCGGGTAGGTTTGTTTCCTGTTGCAAATTCTGACCTATACTCGGCACTCAGGTCAATTGGGCAGTGAGAGATCTTTTTCGCGCCAACATCTACTGCAACACAGGACCTCCGTTCATACGGTCTCATCCGAAGGACCGGTCTCCACATCCCACAGTGAGATTCGAACCCGCGACTATAAGGGTAGGTACTCAGCTACCCAGTACTTGTTCCTTAAACCAAGAGGAGGAAGCATTCTCCAGAAATGACGCAGTGACCAATTTAACAAAGAATCCAGTGAATTAACCATTAGAATGCAACTCAAGCTGAGTCCACAAGAGGTTATGATTCTTTGTACATGAACTAGTATTTGGGTGTCGTTCGTTTGTGTTTAAAGAGGTCAGTCATACCTTTGCCATCAGCTGTCTTTACCGATTGTCTTTCTTGTCAAAGTCTCGCTTTTTTCATCCAACTGCCAAGGTTGTTTTTCATTATTTTTCTCTTTTTTATAGATAAACATTTAACATTGGGTTCACTGACACTGGTAAAAAGAGGACATGCTCAGGGTAAATGACCATATTCTCAGGTGACAGATACTAGTATTGCTGAAAGGCCTTTTCTGTCAAATTTTTTTTCCTGTCAGACATGTTGAAATATTTTTTATTAGATTTGTTTTCGGAATTCAATTGCATGAAAGTAAAATTTTATGTGTGAAAAGAAGAGAATGAAAAACCTTACAATAACTTAAATAGTCCTTAATATTCAGAGAGGAAAAGGAGAAGTTTCATTGGTAAATTGATTTATTCCAGCAGTATAAAAGTGTAAAAGAGCTTTAAAAATGCTTTTTTGGATTTCTTTGATTTTCAACAATGACAACAATATTTTTGTTAAAAGTACACTGCAATCACATTTCATTTAAAATCATATGAGGCACACTCCTCAATGCCTTTTTATACAACACATTTTAAATTTTCAGTGAACATTAAATAAACAAAACATAGTGCTGAAAAACTTGTAGGATCTCCCTACGATAATAATTCACAACATGGACTCAAAAGTAAGGAATAGATAACGACTATGCCTGCATATATTTCTCTTAGAAATGTTTTTAAAAATTAAGAACTGTACAGGTTTTAAGTTTGACATGCAACAAACAGAAACAAAATTTAATTCAAAGAAAGTAAATTCTGATTTCTCTGTGCTTTAATTTAAAAATTCAATTTAAAGATTTCTGAAAATAACACTCTGAATACCTAAATCTTGCTTGTTCCAGAAAATCACTTTACAATATATCATCACAAAAAAAAAATCAACATAATCAGAATAATATGTAGCCAAATTTTTAAAAAAGAAGATAAGATAAGGCTCTACTAATATTACGAAGTGATACTATGCTCTATATAAAGTTGTTTAACAATTGTTTTGAATTTAAATAATTATTATGCTAATAATAAATGCTCAAGTACACAGCCATAAGTCACACGGGGAATCAGAAATAGCACTAATTTGATCATAAAATATGTGAAGGTTATATAACTCCCTCTCATAGTTATCATTCGAGAACAATAAGCAGAATCACTGACTATGTTACACAAGAGATTGTCTTGTAATGCACAAACTATGTTACATATACCCGTAACTGCTGGTATGAACTGTAACTGCTGGTAAGAAAATGAACTGAACACATCTGGTATATTTGCTGCTAAGAACACGAAAATGCATATCTTGTTTCCAGTATTTTGTTATGAACACACACTGATGGAGCAGTAACAGTCTACTTCAAATTCCAATTGAAAAAAAATTAAATGACATGGGACGGAGAAAATAATCATGAGGTAATCATACAAAAATCAAATATCAAAAAAAGCAATTATGTAGTATTAACTGCATATAAACATCTTATTTACAAAAGAATTTCCATTAATTTTCTTTATGATACTTGAAGCAAGGCTTAAGTTCTTGCACCTTAAAATCCAAATCGAGTGAATGCCAAAAAATACACTGTACAACAGCAGAAGGTTTGTTTATGAAACAAAACTAGAGAAACATTCAGTTGATAACAGGTATATACATTCTAAGACTAAACTAATTTACAAGAATGCACCATTCAGTATCTGATACTATGCTGCCTTTTTAACTAAGCTACAGAATTACCTATCATAAATTCACAACAATACCTATCAAAGCCTATGCTAGTGTTTCTACTATGATACATTCATCACAAACAGTACTGTTCATGATATTATCACATGGAAACTTCCATTATTCCACAAACTAATCTTGTGGCTGCAGAAAAGTTGAAAAATGTCTTTTTCTTTTCCCGTAGCTTTCCATCTTTCAAACTGTTCACAGCATTCTTATTTAGGAGAGTGGGGGGTCACTTTTTCACCATAATGCATGGGAGGAAAAAAAATCACTCATATATTTTCTGTCTTCTTTTCCTGTTTTGCTTCAGATTATCTAATCTGATGGCAAACAGTTCTGGAATTCTCCATTTCACTTTGGTATCTTGGCTAAAACTTCATTTATCTTCTGTGTCATCAACTCTGTGATATTAATCAATGTTCACCATTAGTACTGTAAATTTGAATTCAGATACACATATTAAAATAAACTACAGAATTCAACACGATTAAGCATACCCTCTGTCGTATGATATTCATCCACGGCTTTTGTAACTTCTCCTTTACAGTGCTCAAGTTCCTGTATTGCCGTTGTCACTTCAGCTACAAAATATGATGACAAAATAATTATTCTATGCACACATACATACACGATAAAAATATCAAAATATCAAGAAACAAAATGGGAAAAAATGAATCCAGAAGTATTTAGTGTATTCAGAAATCTTGTCTAATACAATGGGAACTAAGTCTCTGTTAGTAAATTCAATTGATTGAGATGTTGTCTTCTCGTGAATGTTGCCTAATCCCATTATTATCTTATGACCAGTGCAGTGGAGTCTAGATAAAACAAGTTTTACTGAATTTGCAAAAAATACCTGATGTTTGTTTATATTCTTCACATATCCACATCAAAGAGGCCATCATATTCACATAGGAACCTACCACTCTCTTCTGTACTTCTGTTTAAAAAAATACATGGGGGGTTATCTTCTACATATAATTCTTTAAATCTGGTTGCATATGGCTTCATATTACACATGAAAATTACCTGCAGGTCCATTAATTCTTTTTGCTAACTCTGCTGCAGATTCAAGGAGACTTTTGCTTTTGCCTGGTTCACTGGAACTCAAGTTCAGTCCTTGTCTGCTGCTTATTGCACTGGTTGCAGAAACATCAGTACTGTCACTTGAAGGAGGGTTTTGTTCTCCATCGTTTTCCTGTGCTAAAGGACCTTGACCTTGATTGTCTGTTGAAGAGTCTGACTTTGATGGATTAACACTTTCTGAATCCACACAACCTGGATCAAAGCCCGACACCTTTCTACTAGCCTTCTGAAGAAAACTGTGCACATCCCTGACAGGACTAATCTTCTGGGCTTGTCTGGTAGATAATTGACAGGCTTCACTGACAGGGCTAGTCTTAACTTTTTCAGAAGCTAACTGGTTGGTTTCACTTCTGCTCATTTGTGTTGAAGCACCCTGAGTGTTAGTATTTTGACTTTGCTTTGGTGAATATATTTGGCCACTAAAATTTGACTGTCCTAATCCACAACTGAGATTACTAACTGGTTGACGATTGACTGTCAATGCTCTGTCAGAGAGCATTCCTTGACCATTGTTTTGTCCTTGAGAAATTTGATTGATTTGCTGTTGGTGGGAAGATTTTGAATACTGCAAGGTGGTGGCACTACTAACTGAGGTTCTCATGGTTGGATGTTGTTGCTGGTAAAAAGTCATGTTTTGCTGAGATGGATGAATACTGGTTGATGTGACTTGCTTTGACAAGATGTTCTGATGAGCTGCAGCAGTCATAGTCGATGGAACCTGATTATCTATCATGTTCTGATGAGCTGGGGGAAAAGTGGATGGCTGTGCTTGATTGTACATTTGTTGTTGGGAAATACGCATTGAAGAGGGTTGCACTTGATTGATTCCGATCTGTTTCTGTGAAAGTTCCACTGCAGAAGCATGTTGCTGTGGAAGATGCACTGCAGAAGACTGAACCCAGTTGGTTCCCAACTGTTGCTGGGAAAGATGTGCTGCAGAAGGTTGAAATTGGTTGTTTCCCATTTGTTGCTGAGAAAGATGTGCTGCAGAAGGTGGAATCTGATTGGTTCTTATTTGTTGCTGGGAAAGATGTGTTGCAGAAGGTTGAAATTGGTTGTTTCCCATTTGTTGCTGGGAAAGATGTGCTGCAGAAGTTTGAAATTGGTTGTTTCCCACTTGTTCCTGGGAAAGATGTGCTGCAGGTGGAACCTGGTTGGTACTAATTTGTTGCTGGGGTAGATGTGCTGCAGAAGGTTGATATTGGTTAGTTCCTATCTGTTGATGAGAGGGTTGAATCTGGGTGCTTCCCATTTGTTGAAGATGAGGACGTGTCATGAAAAACTGGTTTTGATTGGCTTGTCCTACTTGAGTGGAAGACCCAGTGGAATGATTATTACTATATGCTCTCTGATATGGTGGAGGTGGAGGTCTCATCTGATGTCTTGTATGACTTTCCACAGATTGCTGTAGACTGGATGCTCTGTGCACCTCTGATGATTTTGTGACATTCTGCTCCCTTAGCATTTTTGCTATCTGCTGGTGCACTGTTTGTATTTGAGATGGGTTGTTTTGAAGATTGACATTTTGTTGAGTTGCCCTATTTAATGGATTATCATTTAGATTTGATGTTCCTTGTGATCCAATTGGTCTCATTACATTCTGAGGAACAGAAAATGTCTTTGATGTCTGAATGTTGAAATTTGGTTGTTGATAAAATGCTGCATTTCGTTGCTGTTGATACCTGTGGTTCAGGTCCTTTTTGAAGCTTTTAGACATCATCGAATCATCACTGACAGATCTTGTGTTCTGGATATCAGGTGCCACATTATTTGAATTTGGTTGAAAACTTTCAAGGGATCTTCTTCTTGTTAGATCACTTTGAGTACAGCCAGGCAGCACAGTGTTCACCATTTGAGCAGGAGGAGGCATTATGTTCCAATCTTGTTGGGCTCTAAATGACGCTTGAGACATTCCTGTAGATAAAGAATCTACACGGCTCTGTGTCACAGGATTATATCCCATTCTTTGGACAACAGATCGCCGCTGTACAAATTCTACATTAGTAACTTCTAAGGAGTTCAGTCCTCCAACATTACTATCAGTTTGTATTCCTGTGGTAGGTAAATCTGTTGTAACTGTTGACTGATTTGTAGTTACATCGTACTGATTAATCCCATATCTCAACATCTGTTCTAAAAGCCTCCGAGCACTTGTATTTTGTACTGATTTGATTCCCATTATGTCATCTGATAAAACATTAGCGATTGGTGAATTGTCACTTCCTCTTTCATCAGTTGAGGAATCTCTCCTGTTGTTCTGGACATCTAACATTGTATCTTTCTGAAAAGAAATGGAACAACGATATATAACACTTCCTGCTAGTTTTATATGTCACAAATTAAAAGTGAATGATCATATAGTGGTATAGTCCTTTATTATAATAGTACAACCAGATTCCGGGAAGTCAGAGCTTTATCAAGAAAACATCGGAATTAATTATTTCTCACAAATTTAGAGAATATATACAGGATTAATTAGGTAATGGTCTTTTAGATGTGACAGTTATGGTCACGCATTTTGGAGGTAATCCATTCGCCTGTCTGGGTACGTCGTGGTCTGTGATTGGAGATCCAATCTCCTCATCGACACTAATTATGGACCGTTGTCCACTCAGACGTCATTAATTGGGTTGCGTTTCCGGAACTATCAATCTACCCTGGACTTAGTGACGGAAAATAAAAGTCATTCATAGTAAATTTCACAGATTAGTGCTTCCTAACAATTTATAACAAGGATAATTATTCGCTCTCTCTGACTGTCCCCTTAAGGCATAATATTTTATTGATACATCAATAGATTAAAGTAACGGTCAAGTTAACCTGGAACATACACAAAATACCAATACAGTTATATAAAGAATATTCATTTTTAAAGTTTATAAATATATGTCATATAAGTCCTATTAATTAAGTTCAGTCGTAACCAATTATAAGGGCTATTTTGTTACAGATATCCTATATATATTGTATAAGTGGAAATTTTAGCGAGATGCAAATTTAGTAATTTTCCTTAAAAATTGGAATTTATTTTTAGCGAAATGTAATTTTAGCGATTTTAAAAAGCTCACTAAAGAATCTATTACAAATAAAGCACAATTAATTTTTGGCTACACTCACTTTTAGAGATCTTGGCACTCTTGCTAGTAATGCCAAAATTAAATCCTCACTAAAAATTCTGCTTATACAGTAAAATATTAAAGATATTGTCAACTTTGCCCAGGCAATACAATACACAACTTTAACAGACTTTCAGATTTGATGTGTTCATAACTGTTATTACAAAATATAGTAATTCTAGTTACCTGTGTTTCAAGTGGTACATCACCATTTCTTTTCTTTGTACTTCTTTCCATATGCAAACTGAAAAAAAACATTAAATGCATTAATACATATTGTTGGCATAGAATGTGCTGCCTGATTACATACTGTATAAAAAGTACATTTCAAATTCTTTTTTTTTTTAAATATTTATAAATAATTTCTTATATCTATGATTTTTGTCAATCAGGAATAAACATCCTAAATTCCTTGTTAAGGACAGTTTACTTGTTCTAAAACGAAATGTTTTCATATTCTTAAACACAATAAAGGCTACAGGCTTACACAAGATCAACCTCTCTGTAGAAGTACAACTCGCAAATAAATTTGTACATCCTAAATTTACATGGACAGGAAGTATTTGCTAAATAAAGTTAAGATTGCACAATGCTAATCCCTTATCATGTAACCATGTACATGTATACTGTAAACCAACTTTAATTTGCAGGCAAGTAATATTCACGACTTTCCCGATCTACTTTCTATTGCGAATATTAATCGCAGTGAACCAATCATTTTGCTTGTAATTGTAGAGAATGTTTCCTCAGTTGCAAAAATTGATCCTTGCAGATTGATTTTAAACCGATGAATCGCGAATAAAAGATGACACGAATAATAGTTGGTTTACAGTATATAATTTTTCAAAATCACTTGATGTTAGAATAACAATGTTACATTCAGTGATTATAAATTTAATAAATTGTTTTACTATTATACTTAAATCAGTAAACATTTTTCAATTAAAAATCAATCTATTTCATATATATTAAAATTAAAAAAAAAAAAATTTTTATGAACACTCACCCCAAACTATTCATCTTTGCGTCCACCAAGAAATTCTTCAGGGTAATAAGGTAATCCCAGATCTTCCTGACCTCGGGCTCCATGTTGCCCACTGCTGGCTGTGGCTCGGTCATTAGACACTTCATCTCGTCAAGCTTCATCACATCACTGTCATAGTGCAGCAGAAATCCACAGGGGTCAAAATATCTACAGCACAAGTTGCACCTTATGCACTGCAGTTTTGGATCCTTGAATTTCTCTGGCTCCAGGAAACCAACAGTCAATCTGGCATTTGGATTTGGCACCTGCATATTTTTGAACGACTTCTGGTGAGTAAAACCAATAGGTTTGAAGTTCTCCAGATTTTCTCTCCTCAATTTCGAAAGAAAACCGAGGACTTGTTGTGCATCTGTATGACGTTGAACATTTTCATCTGCATTCAATCCTAAATTTCTTTGGCCTGGCATAATTGTTTGTAGGTTTGGTACAAAGGATTTGTCATTTCTCATGCTTTCAGGTTCATCAGAAGGATCAGATATATCTGAATAAGGAGTTCCCCTATTACTGTCTGTTCCATAATCTGATGATGTTTCAGTTTCCTGTGAATTGCTAACATTAGTTGCTGCACTATTACTTTCTGACTGTGATGTTGCATTGTGAATTTCCTCCTCTGGTAGAATTTTCCTTGCTGTTGGTTCAGTCCCTGTACTGCCACTCACATTGGGGGTTTCTGGTCTACTGCTAGGGATGATGATGTCTTTTTGACTTTCCTGCCCTTCCATTGTGCAGATGTCAGGAAGAGTTAACATTGGGAAGTCCTCTTCACATACAATCTTCTTTGTAGTATGATCTGTTCCCGGACTGCTGTTTTTGCTAGGTGTCCCTGGTTTGCTGCTTGGTATGATCTCTCTTTGAGGTTTAATTTTCCCAGGTGTTGGTACATTAGCAATGTCTTCTTCAGCCACATATGGACTTTGGGGTACACCGCAATTGTAGTACATTATCCTTATGTCACTGTAGTCAAGTTGATCCTCTGCAATGGTGCCTGTAGGGATTGCTGGAGAAAACAACTCTATATCAAATAGATTCTTAGGAGGTACTCTTGAAGTTTCCTCCATGACACCTTTCCTCACTTCTTCATTAACGGCTGGTTTTTCGTTAATGACTGGTTTTGTTATGTTTTGTTTTCTTGTCTTGGCACTGTCCTCAGAAGATTCCTCTGATTTGTCTTGGACATTAGTTGCCTTCTCTTTGTCATCAACTTGGTTTCCTTCTTGCTGATCTTTCTCCCTGTTGCAGGAAGCATTCCTCTTATCCGGTGATTTTGAATCTAGATCAATTTGTAGATTTTCATCATCAGTGGACAATTCTGTGTCTTCTACATCTTCATTTACATTTCTATACTCTTGGAGGTTTAGGCTTCCATTAGACACCTGGTTTCCATCTGTTTCTGTTCTACTGGTATTGCTAGTACCCTCTTTAGATGGTTCCTTTGAAGAATATGCAACTTTTTCAAAATTTGTGTCATATATTTCTATTCTACCAGGAACTTTTTGCAAAATACTTTTGGCAATAATATCCGTTTCACTCTGTTTACTTTTTGGAAATGGTTTCTTAACTTCTTGAGATTTAGTCGACTCATTTGAGGTTTTCTGTGTTGATAAATTAGACAAGACTTTCCTCTTTCCTTCATCTTTACTTTGACATTTAAGTCTGGACACTCCATGTTTTAGGACAGTTTTACTATGAAGAGCCTCAGCATGTACTTGATGTTTTAACTTTTTAAACTTTTCGGATTTTAACATTTTCCTTCCACCTGTGTGTCCATGCTTTAATTCCATGCAGGTTCTTTGTCTCACCTCCTTATTCTTCTCCAGAACCTTAAGCTGTTCCACAGACAAAGTTCTGCTTTGTCTCTTTCCTCCAAGAGGCGAAATTTTAGGAACTTCATCAACTTTTCTTCCATTTTCTTTGTCATTACCTTCTGCAACTTGACTACTCAAGATATTGTTCTCTGTGGTCTCCATTTTTTCATTTTCAGAGTCATTTTCCTTGGTATTCTTTTCTTCCTGTTCTGCTGTCTTTGACAGAGATGATTCATCTGTTTTTGGAGTACTCTTTGTTGCATCAGTGGAATTTTTGTCACATACGTTCGATGGCTGATCTGCTGCATCTGCGGATTTACTTGGTTTATTTGTAAGAGCAGATGCAGTATCTTTTGGTGGTTTATTTGCTGTTTTAGTAGTAGTTTTGGAAGATGTCATGGCAGATGACTTCATTTTGTTGTCTTTTGTCACTGAAGAGGTTCTATGCTCTTTACTTTTTGTTTCTTTTGATTTCAAATGACCAGAATGAGATTTTTTCTTCAGCAGAGTGTCTGGTTTAAATAGATCTTCCTGATCAATCAGTTTAATGCTTGGTGATTTTTGATTTTGTTTCTTCGACTTCTTCAGTATTTCTTTATTGCTTGATTTAGATGAACTTTTATTATTGCCACTGGGTGCCAGTTGTTTTCTTTCAGTATCGCTTGTATCAGTTAAGCTTTTGGAACTGACTTTCTTTGCTTCTTTGTGGTTTTCTTTATCTTTCTTCTTTGCTTTTTCCTTCTGTTTAGATATGGAACTTTCCATGTCACTTGATTCCACAGATGTTGTTGATGTATCTCTTTTCTTGTCCTTTCTTGACACAAGTTTTCTTTCACTATCACTTGTATCTTTTAAATTTTTGGCACTGGCTTTCTGTGTATCCTGATTTGGTTCTTTATAGTTTTCTTTGTCTTTCTTCTTCCCTATTTCTTTCTGTTTAGATATGGAACTTTCCATGTCACTTGATTCCACAGATGTTGATGATGTATCTCTTTTCTTGTCCTTCCTCGACACAAGTTTTGGCAAAGTTTCATCACAGATACTATTTGTTGAGGAATTATACCCACTCTTGTTTTCTTTCTTAGATGATGACTTAATTTCTTTACTAGTCTGCACTTTCATTGTGTGTGAAGTGGGTTTTGGTGTTACTTCACTCAACTTGGGTGATATTTTGTTGGATAAAGTCTTTTTACTTTTTTCAACAGATGTATCACTGAGTTTTTCTTTTGTTACTGGAACTTTCACTGAAGGTTCCCTGCATAGTTTATTCTCTGGTTTATTTACCAGTTTATTCTCTGGTGATTTGGTATCAAGACTTTTCTCTCTATTTGAAGCACTGTTTTCCCTTTTCTGACTAGTGTCTTTCATCTTCTGATCACTCTTGGTACCATCTGAACCATCTACAACTGATTTACAAGTGGTTTTTGAACTTTTAATAGCAGACTTGAGGCTTTTTTCTCTAAAAGACTGCTCCTGAAGCTCATCAAATGATGTTTTAGTTATCTTGGATTCTTGTTCTTCTGTACTTCTCATTGTCTTTGGTTCATTCAGAGAATCCAAGCTATTCTGCATTTCACAGTGACTTGATTTATTGTGGTGAATCACTGAAGAGTTTGTTGTAAACAGACTATGTTTAGCAACTTCTCTATCTTTCTCTTTTTCTTCTGAGATATCACTGTTTTTGATTGGTGTAGAAGTTTTAACCATTCCTTGATTAGTAAGGCTTGATTGGTTGGTTTTTCCCACTTCATTTACCGAATCATTTGATAGTTCATCATAAAAATCAGCAATGTTACTGAGTGCATTGTCTGGTTTTTGATTCACAGTCTTTTCTGTGCTCCTCACTTTCACTGATTTTGGACTCACTGACTTGTCCATGTGCATCATTTTCACTGTCTCCACATTGGATAATTCACTAGATTTTGGTTGAATCATATCTTGGTTTGTCTTTGAAATATTGCTGGAGTTTCCTTCTTTACTGGAGGTCTTAGAACTGAATTCCTGATCTGAATCTGTGAATTCATCAAATGACTCTAACTCTAGGTCTGAGGAGTCAGAGTTCAGTTTAAGATTCTTTTCATCCTCTCCTCTGGAAGACAGTTGCAGATTATTTTCATCAGCTTGTGTTTCTGTAGATGGCAATTGTTCTTGAGGAGCAGTCTCTACTATGCTTCTGCTTTCAGGTCCTTTAATCACAGCAAGGCTCTTCAACAAACTAGATGGTAATTGTTTCTTTGAAATATCAATAGATAATTCTATTGATTGTTTGACTTTTTCTTGAGTCGCCTTTTCTTTATTTGGCATGATCTCATTTACACTCTTATGTGTCTGTATGATTTTTGTTTCAGTCTCTGGAACTTCGGTTTTTTGTGATTCTTGCTCTTTACTTGCAAGATTTGGTGTTGCTTTCTCTTGAATACCATTGCTTTGATTCATGCCTAATTGACAATTCATAATTGGAGCTGAATTTTCTTTACCCATCTCTGGTTCAGTGGATTTCTCTGTAGAATCAACCCTTGTGTTGACTCTGCCATCATCTAACTTTGGTCTGCTTTTTAGGAGACAGTTCATATTTGGAGCAGAATTTTCTTCACTGATCTCTTTTTCAGCAGAATTGTCAGTAGAATCAAGCCGCATGTTGGCTGTTCCATTGTCTACCTTTGGTCTGCTTTTCAGTAGACAGTTAAAATTTGGAGCTGAATTACCCTTCTTTGGTTCAGTGGATTTCTCTGTAGAATCAATCCCTGTGTCGACTCCTCCATCATCTAACTTTGATCTGCTTTTTAGGTTAATCAAGATCTTCTTACTTTTCTTCGCACCAGTACAAAGGTCCGACATATTTTCTTTGTCAAATACTTCCAATGGGTGTTTTCTCTTTTTAGCACTACATGGTTCTTTTTTCTCTTCTTGCTCTTGTTCACACACTACGTTTCTCTCATGATCTGAATAAAGAGAAATTCTTAGATTTTCATGCAGAGATGATGTGTGCCTATTGATTTCTCCAGATGCAGAAAAGCTTGTATTTATAGGGCCAATCTCCCGAGGTGATTTTGGCTTAATTTGAATTGTTCTGTACTCACTCTCCAATGTGGAAGATATTCCTTCTTTAGAAGTGATTGTTGCATTTCCTAGCTCCATACGACTATGCTCTGCCACATTTCCAACAAGTTTTCCAAGCAGATCATCAACATTTGCCAACATTTGCTCTTCCTTTTCTTTCTCATATTTTTCATACTGTCTTCTAACAAAGGCCTCATTTCTGCTTGGTCTTCGACCTTGAAATCTTCCATGCCTGTATATCTTTATTTCACGTAAATTTTTACTTCTCTGTAATGGTGAAACTGTCTTCTCTCTGCGAACAGGTGTTTTGCTTCTACTTCTTTCTGAGTTTGGACTTGCACTTCTTGACGAAGACTCTGAACTCGATGAAGACCTTGATCTAGATGACTCTGTCGATGTTGATGAGATACTGCTTAAGCTTCTTTCAGAGTCCCTCCTTTGAAGTCCACGTGATCGATTTTTAGGGGAAGGTGATCTTTCATTGCTTCTCCTCCTGTTTCTTACATAACTGTCTTTTGCTGGTGAAGAGCTCCGTGATCGACTCTTTGATCTCTGAGCTCTATCATCTGCCCCTCCTCTGGAGCTTCTTTCAGAACTTTGTGATCTGTACCTAAATGGACTAGAATATTTTCTTGATGGACTCCTTGATTTGTATCGTCTATCTTCTCTCCTGTCTCTCTGTCTACTGTTAGATCTGTATCCTCTGTTTCTTGATGGACTTCGTGAACTTGATAGAGATCTTGATCGGTAATGTTTTCTATTTCTGTCTCTTGATCTTTGTCGACTATTTGACCTATTTACACTACTTCTTGATGAACTTCGTGACCTGGAACTTCTTGTTTCGTATTGTCTGTCTCTTCTGTCACTTGATCCCTGTCCACTATATGACCTGTATCCACTATTTCTAGAAAAACGTGAACTTGATAAACTCCTTGATCTGTAACGTCTTCTTGAACTTCGTGATCGTGAACTTGATGGACTTCTTGTTCTATCACGTCTGTCTCTAGATCTTTCTTTACTACGTGATCTGTATCTACCATTCCTAGATGAACTCCTAGAACTTAAACTTGAAGGACTTCCCGATCTATAGTATTGTCTTTTGAAGAACTCCTTGGAATTTCCTTGAAATTGATTTGATTTAAATCCTTCATTTCGGTAAGGACTCTGAGAATGCACACTTGACCCACTTCCTGATCCTGAGCGGTATCTTACTCTATCTTGGGGTCTGGATCCAGAACTGCTTCGAGATTTCTTGGAATGGTATGGGTCGACATCATTATAAGTATAATGCCTTTTCCTCTTCTGATAGTCATACTCAGCGACACTGTTGTTATGGAATTCTGCAGACCGACGATTGTCTTTAAAACTGTTTCTGGGATAAAATTCTGATGAAGACTGTTCCAGGCTCTCAAGAAATGTTTTAATTGGAGAAGGATTTCTGTTTCTGTTTTGGAGAGATATTTTATGTGGTGCTCCTCTACCACGAAACTTATGCACACCTCTACCTCTGGTGTTCAGATTGCCTCTTGTTCTTCTGAATGGATAATCATATGCTGTTGTATTAAGGTTTCTGTCAAGGTCCTGAACAGGTTCATCTAATTCATCAAAAGGTCTGACTTTGCGAAAATCACGCTGTTCAAAAGGTTCAGAGTTTACTTTGGTTTTGGAATAGCCATAGGAAGGTGGTGAGTAGTTTCGACGGTCTCTTGAATAGTCGTTGTGATAGCTTTTGGTAATTTTTTCTCTTCCATAGTAGTTGTCATATTCCTTTTCCTGGAATGCCATGTTATTCTTTACATCTGCACAACAAAAACAGAAATCATAAGTCACAAGTTTTACAAAAATAAACCATTAACATATCTGTTCATAAATTCTGTTGTACTAAAGTTTAAATATACATAATAATTATAGTTGTCATTTTGTGAATTAAAAACTTAGATACTTTTAGTATTTAGTATTTACTTATTCTTTTGCTGATATATAACATGCCATTATCATTATACCCAATCCCAGGCAATAAAGTATTTGCATATATGCATATATAAGTGCCAATTGTTTCACATCAAGTCAAACCAATAGAGCACTCACGGAAGGAAGGGAAAAAATGTGAACATTCCATGCCTCTGTTTGAATTTTAAATATTTTTTTCTGACAAATCATCCAATCACACCCTTAAACACATATTTCCATCAAAAAACACATCCCAATTATCCAAAATAAAATATCCATCCTTCAGAATCAGACACTAAAAAAATACTCTTTTCCATGGAAGCTAAACAAGAATATTAATGACTAACATTTGGTTATTTCCATGACAAATTTCTATTTTTATTGGCAAATGGAAAAAGAGTATTAAATCTGGTTCAAAGTTCAAGGTTACTGGAAAATCCCCAGGCTACAAAAAATTTTTCCATTGTGAGTGCATGGATATGCCTAAGGTAGCAGGAAAATCTCCAATGTACAGAAAATTTCCATCATCAGACAATACATGTATATGTATGCCAAGACAATGGTCCACTAATCAACCATTAAATTTTCCATCATGAGCCCAAGGTAGCTCGAAGATCCCCAGTCTACTAAAAATTTCCATCACCCGAGGAATTATATAAATGCCATGACCATGGTTCACTGATCAACCATTAAATTTGGAGGAGAAACAGATCTTTGTCTGTTACACTTAATGATTTAGCTGACAAAAAAAATCTGTTTATTTAAAGGTGTTACCCCGGTATTCAGAGTTTTAAAAAAGTCATTGCTCCAGTAGGTATTATGTGCTGAAAACTATTTTAAACTCCATTGAAATCTTGGTAACCAAAGAAGGAGAATAACCTTGAACCAACTGACACCTTGATAAAGGTTAAAGGGCTAATTTCCCACACTCAGGTAAATTCCATTGAATTTCATCCACAATGCAATCACTGAACCATAAAATCCCCATACAATGCTGATGGACAAAGTATACAATAGTTTGGGTGACTCAGTTTCTTAGTGCCATGGTAGCAAAAAAGATTTAAAAATCATTTTATTTTTTGACAGCACAATTCACAGGCCACTTCCACTTAAAATATCTGAAGAATCTTATGATAAAAAATAATTTTCCTTAATTGTTGCAGCTGCATAGAACAAATTTTGAAGATCAGAAAAATTAAATTTTTTATTGAATAGTCCATCTCAGATTTTGATATTGATAACCAAATAACCGGCAGAAAATCCACTGTACCTTGTACAATGTATATAATAGGTCATTGTACATGAACTGGTGGGGTCAACATGGTCAAGACAATAAAACAGCACACGTATTGCTGACAGCTTGCCTTCACCAGTGTCAATCAGCAAATTCTCACAATTATACTCCCCATTCAGACACTTCATAGTATAACTTATGAAAATCTCAAGTTTCTATCTGCACAAATTTGAAAAATAATTTTTTCCTTTTGTTTGCTTGTCAAAAAAAAACTGAGCTTTTGGAATAACAACCAAGTAACATTTATAATGCTGAATTTCTTTTTTAAACTGCCTTCAGGGTAAATTTTAGAGTAAGACACCTTAAAAATAACTGTTAAGAATAGAGTTGCCGATAATGGAGATGACTTTAGATGTATGCATTATCTATTCTATATCTAAAACATATTCATTCTTGACCATTTTTACCATATTCAAACAGCTTTGAAGTGATATATACAAGATAACTTATTAAGATAACATTTATTACACCCACCCTTGAGGGTATTCTATTAAAGGTACACATTTAAAAGATATTTATCTAACCCAAAACTTAAAATGCACTGCTATATAGCAGAAGGATATATTAATTGATAGATGACAATAAATGTATGAATATAAATGATATACAAATCAACTTACTGGTATAAACACTGAAACATTTTCTGTTTTTAAATGTAGATCGAGTGACAATTAACAGTGATAAATTTTATTGCTTAAAATTCCCAATGAATTGTTTACAGTTAAAATTATCATCTATATGGCAAAAACAGTGCAACATGGATGATTTTACAAGCTTTTAGACATCAAAATTCAAAAAGACTATATTTCAGCACTGACTGAAAATACTTCGATTTGGTTTATTGGGTTACCTGTATTAGTCAATTCAAACCATGTATGTAAGGTGAAGTGTAAATTAAATATCTTTGAGGTTGCATTCACTTACTCAATAATTATTCATAAAACATTTACTTTTCAAATGCCTTACATATCTGCATAATTTTCAAATGTCTTTGAAGTATGATATTATAATACCCTTGTTAATTAATTTACTCAATCTCTAATTACTCCATACTGATAGTGACAGAGATAGGTGTGACATATCAATTAACAGGATTTAGATTCATACCAATTCAGCTTTGTTAGCGTTTTATCCTATCAATTCATATTGAGACAATCAAATTTTCACTTACCCCTACCCCTAAATTGTTTGTTTTAAGAGTCCCAGTATTTAATAGACAATAAATAGAGATTTTGCAAACTTAACAGAGATTTTGAATTAAAGAAAGCTATAAAAGAAATTAAATGGCTTGAGTATTGCTGCATTGTTATTTAATCAATTTAAGCATATAAGTTTCTTAATATTCTTTGAAAACAACTTGTTTTTTTTACTCATTCCCTGAGACCAAGAAAGAAAGAGTGACATCAATTATTGTTAATAGCGTGAGAGTAAAACTCTGTTCCTTCCTTTAAAACTGATTTATTATAAATGAATGTACATAACTCTATCTGTTCACCAATCAATGTATCTATAGGCTCCAATGCATTTACACATTAACATGATGAACAAAAATATGGCCAGTACCATTAAAATTTCTCTCAGGTCAAGATGACACATTCTATTAGCTGATTACCAGGGAGTTCATTGGAGTGATTATAGAGCTATTGGAAAGCATAAGCTTCATATGTCAAAAGTAGGTCAAGTTTCCCACATGATTGCCTTCCTTCAAATAAGCTTTTAAAATTGTTTTCCTCATGTCAAAAGTGCAAATAAACAAAACTCTGCAACTTGTACATGTAGATAAATTTTCATAAAATAACACTACAAAGATGACCACTTCATTCAAGTGAAAATGTCCTCAAAACATTTTAACAAGTCAGACTTTAACCAAATTGTGACCTCAATATGATTCTGGTCTTCAACCAGCAAATTACTTTTATAGCAATATTACATCCTTTATCTTAATTCAATGTCCTCCAATGCTATTGACACAATTTTCTAATATCAATTCTTGTTCATTCACCCTTTATTGTACTACATATTTACATCTTGATCCACACAAGGTGAACCCTTCAATTATGAGGGTTTTAAAGATTTGTTACATAACTCTTATTTAAATAAAAGTTTGTTTAAAGAATATAACTGTTTCTTTGTTTAACATTGCATAATTTGCTATTTCTTATTTTAAAGATATTGCCCTGATAAGCAACATGATGACATAATCCATAAAAATTTTTGTTTATTTGTGAAAGCAATGAAATTTTTATTACTTTTAGCAATAATATTAAAAAAGTCATCTCTATCATGCTTATATAATGGACATTCAATCAGTGAGTGTATCTCATCTTCCACACAGTTTGCTTTTGTGAATCAATCTTTCCACCTTGGTCTAAATTTGCATATAAGTTCAAAATTTTTTAATAATAAAACTTTTCAATTTCAAAACTTCTTTTTATATAGAAATATTTAAACATATATTCTTGATCCACACATTTCAATGAGAGATTTGTTCAACTCTTAGAAAGTCAAACTCTGCAAGTGTTGATTCCATTATAACTAGAAATCACTATCAGCCTCCTCCCTCTTGAAATGGGGTTTGTGTCTTCATTTAATGATAAAGAACACAAACTTTTATCAATTTTTATTTGTCTTCAGCTAAAAATGTGAAAGTCTTTAAAACGTTTGCTTAGTAACACGCCATTCTCATTTCCATAAATAACCTTGATAAGGATTTTGAAAAACCTATGCATTATTAAAATGACAATTTTTTGCTTGATCTAGCTACAACATAATGATAAACAAAGTTTTAATTATATTTAAATTATTGTCATCTTAATTTTAGCAACGTTAAACTATTAACACAACATTAAGGCAATTTTAAAGCTACAGAACAAAATCATTGTTAAATCCATAATATGAAGGTATCGGGTAGTTATAATATAGTCTCTCATTTTTTTAAAAGGGGAGGGGGAGATGAGTAGTTTAAATTAATAAAATGCCTCCTAAATATTTATATTTATAATGCAAATTATTAAATTCCTCTTCCTAGCTATTCTATATGATACTCATTATAACTCATACTTGCGTTCTAAGAGTACTATCATATGTCTCCAATTTTATGCATGCATTTTATTGTCACACCTTTCATATGAACAACTGTACCTAACACAAATTCATGATAATTATGCTTGTGGGCCTCTATAACATTATGCAGGCTCTATTCTCCAAAGTAAATGAGTAAACTATAAACATACAGGGAGAAATATACCACAGCTCATAAACACTTCAACTATAACAACTGGCCCTAAGTTTTCTACACACACATATTCATATTCCTAATCATTCCCTCTCTAGCTCAAGACAGCTGCATAATGACAACTATACATTCCAGAACAAATTGTTTTGACTCTCTGCTCTCTCAAGGAACTGGTAAAAAAAGATACATTTTATTCTGAAAATCATTCACAGTAACACATCTAGATGAATTCTATTGAGCAGTCTAAAAATATTTGCTGCTGAGCAAAAATTTAACTAACATTCAGCTACAATAAAAACCTCCAATTAACAAGAAAAATCCTTACAAAAAGCATCCACCTGAAACAGCTTACCTGGCACATCATAAAAACTCTGTGAACTCCTTTCCCAAAGGCAGAATTGCCCATTATGACCCGATATAAAGGGATTCATTCCTTGTATTTACTATAGGTATTTTTACATCTGTTCCAATTTCTCAGTAGCAATTCTAATGCTAAGTGTCCAAATTCTGATACAACATCTTCACTGCCTATGCAGCAATTTTATGATTTTAGCAAAACTCTTGCAATACAGAATCATTGTTTTCAGCTAACACTGGCTTATACACTTCTATCAGCCCTTCTCAGCTATAAATAGCAGTAGAGGGGTTTTATTTACTTGGAACATTCCACTACTTAGACAATAATTGACTCTCCCAAATCCTACCTTTTCCACCTGCTCCTGGCCAAACTCATTTTTAATCCAAAATATAATTGTTTGTTTTCATTCTGTCAACATAATTAATGAATTAAACTTAACAGATATATGATAAACACTGTAGTGATTTTTTTTCCTCTCCTCTTACACACCTGAACAACTTTTAAATTCCCGCCACTCATGATTAAAAAAAAAAATTAATGACAAAGACAACATTCACGCCTTATCATTGAAATCTACTCTTTTCTGAATTGTTAAATGGATCACATAGCAACCTGATTTTCAACAAAGAAATAAGTTTTGTAAAGATTAATTGACATATTTTTTTCACTAGTCATGAAATTTTAGTAATTAACAGCTAGACTCTGAATTTGTGCTTTTACCTTTTTTCATTAGATATATAGTTATCATTATTGTTAGAATTTAATTATATGAAAGAATGTGATACATTTTAGGAATCACTGAAATGTATGCTTTAAAGCTTTTTACAACATATATTATTTATTGTATTTCCAAATCACATCATGTGCATTATGCTGCTAAGAATGAGGGTGGGGTTTGAAATAGTCCTTTATTGTAGCTACTAGTTAGTGTCTGTGTTAATCATATCAAAAATAACTACTTTACATTGAATTATCAATACCAAATGTACATTTTATTTTGCAACTTCTCTTATAATGCTCACTTTCAAAAGAACACTAGATATTTCATACAAGTGAAGTTAAAGAAATGATAATTCTGTGGAAATTGCTGATTGTTCAAAGAAACAGATGCATTTATGCAATAGGGCATTTAAAACTCTGGGAGTCCATTTATATGAACTGTCTGGTCATAGCTGTCAAATTTGATTTACTCATGAGCAGATAGTTGATAGACTGAAGCTAGTACAATAAAAGAGAAATAATAATCAAAATGCCAAAATTTCAATCCCTTGCACATGTTTACACCTGATTAGAAAAATAGTTCCCACATTAAGTTAGGTAAGTGACCTGTGAATGCAAGGTTATCATCATTTTAAAAATATCAGTATGACAACATTATCTTGTTTTTCATCAACATTCTTTCATTTCATTTCTGTCACTGTTCAAATTTTTATTCAAATGTTAGAAAATAATTTAGAAGAACTTCAATGCATGTATACTGATCTTAACATTTTCACGTTTCTTTTCTTGCATGTATGTATAATTACGTACATTTACATGTTCATTTATTTAATTGCCATATTTCATAAAAATAACTCCATTCTGCATAGCGACAGACCTTTAGCTCTCCAAAAAATATATTGACAGGTTAGAGAGCTATAGTACCACCCATTGTAAAAACTGTGTATTAATTGCGCACAAAAAGTTGCACTTAGTTCTGGATCAATACTCTAAATTCTTAATTACTTCAATCATGAAAAAATAGATTTCAAAAAATTCCTGCCAAGTATTCTCGTAGTCGACATCTGCATGAAGCATGTTGGACCAAATTAGAAGCATGTTGGACCAAATTATCTTGCAAACCAAAATGGCAGTATGAATATACAAAATTTTCAATGATCTTAATTTCAGGGCCAGGAGGGCTATTAACAACAATTATAAGGGATGTTTTGTCGTGGAATAATTATAAGTGAAATTATATGTTATGAACACACAGTTAGTAATATTTTGGGATGACAGTATAAAAACATGGAGAATTAAATGGAGAAACAGAGCACTTTGGTCTTTTTTGTGCGCAATAATCATACATTTTTTCAATGGGTGACACAGTTACTGTATCTCTCCTGTCTGTCAATAAATTTTTTGGGCAATTAAGCCACAGTTCTGCAGCTACATTCTGCAATAACTGAGTTTTAATTAATTTTGAAGTGGAACTTTTGGATTTTTTTCCTTCAGTACATATTTTATGCTTTATCTGTCATATTTATTGCTATATATATATTGCGATATTTTAAGCTGTATTGCAATGTGTACTGCAATATTTTTAATGACGGTTAAAAATGCTCTTTACCTTATTGTATTAACCTCCATTTATAAGCAACATGCAGACAAATTATAAATACGTTGTTGCAAAAAATTTCTGTTCATTTCACTACCGTTTTGGAATAAAATGCAACCATACACTAACATCCCTACCATTTGGTACTGTTTAACAGTCATGTACTGTTTTGGATTACCCATGGATTAGATATGGATAGAAACGAAGGATGACTGCAACAAACAATACAATGATCTGATTTCTTTCTCTCCAAGTACAATTGCCCACTGATAAGGAAGTCATTGAACATATTATATCTACAATCCAAAGGAAATTACAAAGAGGGCTTATACTATAACTACATCATTACATGTATTCAATTACTTTAATATGGCATAATACAAGATCCCAAGCACTTGAACTCTATATGCACTTAATAAGTGTATTTATAACTGATACTTATGATCAGAATGTATAAAAAAGACACTGATTGTCAATTTTTTAGTTAAATAAAAAATTCACATACCTCATCCTTCATTTGATTAAAACTGTCGAGTTCTTTCTTTTTCATGGAAAATGAGTTGATATACCTGAAAAAAAAGATACAATGAATTGAAATGACAATGTGTCGAGATATCAACATGGGGCCTGTTAGTCATTCTATATAATTAGAGGAGAAAGGGTGCTGATATATAGATAACCAGCTCCCCTTACTCATTATTGTTAAGCAAAGCTAATAAGCTTTGTAGTTTATGAACCTGCTAGTTTGGTGGGGCTGTGGCAAATGTAAAGTATTTATAAGCTAATTATACAAGATAATACTTACAATAGTAGTGGAGATGAGACCTTAAAAACTGAGGCCCCGTGTCAGCGGCAGGCGTTGGCACAATAACTCACTGCTCAATGGCCCTGAGTGCCGAGTAAAGGTAAAAATTTGAAGCATACGGTGACGTCTCCATATGAGTGAAAAATTCTCGAGAGGGACGTTAAACAATATACAATCAATCAATGGTAATGTAAAGTTACATGTATCATGACGAAATTCACTTATTTTATGACTGCAAAATCTCTTTACCTTCCAGTAATTTTTTTTAGAAATATTAAAATAAAATGCTTTCTTTGGTTGTTAGTATTGAATTTTCTCTTGCAGGTGTTGCAAAAAAATACATATCCTGCATATAAGCATGCTTTTCACATTTGAAGGAATATTGAACAAGGGCTCAATCTCCTAGAGTGAAATTGAACAAGGGCACGATCTTCTAACAGTCAAATTGACCAAAGGCACAATCTTTTACACAGCAAGCATGACAAAGTAGAGCATATCCCATTCAAACCCATTTTCCTCTCAAAACAATTATATAGATGACTGCTAAAATTTAAATTCACTAAAAGAATTTTAGAATTTGTTATAGCACTATGATTAAAAAAATATCAAATTCTCTTTTTACATTTAAAATAAATATTCAATGCTTAGACAAAAGAAAAATTCTTTTTCAAATTTCTTTAAATTATTAAGGAGGATACCAATATTTGATTTCATAAGATTATAAGAAAGTAAAAAAATGCCAATGAACACTTCAGTGTATCAAAACCAACAAATGCTACAATGTCAAACTCCTCTGATTTTGAAATTTTGACAATGATGGATTAGCAAAGCTCAAAATAATATAAAGAACCAAAACTGACAATGTCTTTGTAAAACAATCATTCATGGGGGCAAAGATCCAGGTGCCACATATAATTTACATAAATTAGTCTACATGGTTAATTATTTATTTTCAGATAATTTCTTTGTTTTTAAGCATTCAATGGAATTTTTGACAAATCTCATGACTGTGTCAATATGAACAAGAGTTACTATATATAACAGTTAAATATTCACTTGCACTTCTTTACAAACTAATATGCCATATCTGCTGGTTTTGCTTTGATTTGGATATTTAAACATGTAACTATACATATGCAAGAGCTCTCAAATATCTGTGTCAACTTTTTTTAAAATTCACAATGAGTCGGCATCTTTTGTGAAACTTGCAATGCTCATTCTCTGATCTTTTACAACTATCTACAAATAATTGCTTAGTAGAAAAATAAATTTTTTATACGAGATTCGTAGACATACAAATCCCTGTAGATGCGACCCCTGTAGATGAGATACTAAGCTCCTCAAATATGGCATTAACAAAACCTAACTACCGGTACCATTATCCTGCATACTCATTATAGAGTTACTACTTAATTCCTACCTCTACTTGAATAAAATTTACCGGGTCTAGATTAGTGTAATTCTACAACAGTCTTGGAAATCCTTTTCTAATGTTTAAGTGACACACTTCAGAAAAGGTTACAGTATTTTTCCCCCAAAATTTACATCATTACCCATAAGTTATATAAGTTTATAAAATAAAAAATACCTGTTCTGTTTCAAAGTTGTGTCACTTTTCCCTGCAGCTTGCGCTATAATTTCAATAGATGTGTGTGTGTCCTACTTTTGATTTGATTTTCTGCAAAAGCCCCCTCTCCCTAATTAAACCATTCCCGTATCCCAGAGATTTATGGGCTTCTAGGTCAAAGGAAACTTCACACTCCCTCAGCTCCAAGCTGGCGTCTGAGTCTGGGGTCAACCTCTATCATCAACACATACCCCCCTGCTGCTCAAGTTTTTAACACAGGCATCAATTAACCAATGTAGGCACACTGCTTATCATTAAAAGTACAAGTGTTTATTGATCAACCAAGTGCTGTTAATACTTCCTTTGGTTAGATGGATTATTTAGGAGAAGGCTTTTAGTTATACAAAAACAAATAAACCTAATAATATTGACAAATAAACTTATGAACAGGAAGGAAACTTGCTATCATCTACAAAAACAAAACTGAAAGCTATTAATTAATTTATGTAGAGGTGCATTTATTGACACTCTTTTTTTTGAAGAATGAGAGGTAATATTTGCCTTGAAAATATCGAACCA